GGTAAACAAACTCGTCAGGTACTCCTCGGTGGCATTGCACGACGGCCAGCCCATGATGAACAGAAGTCAACAAGACAGAGAACAGCGAGAGAGGATGGCGAGGGAGAAAAGACAAGGCAAGAGAGAGAGAGGGACGAGAGGTGCGATTAAGAGAATTCCCCTGCGCCGATCACGACGGGGCTGGCTATGCCCGATCGGGCAACCAGTGCGTGGCTGCTGCACAACCCGGCATAATTACGTCAGCGAATTAGGCAGCCATTTGGGCTGCATAACTCGGCCCGTATATCCGCAAAGCCTTACTCCGTATATCCGTGTAGCTCCCAGTAGTTCCTGCCATCATCAGGTTTCACTAGTCAGGTGTAATGATCCTAGAGAGTATAGTTATAGTATATAGTATATTTAGTTCATAGTAATACATGTAGTATATGTAGTATATATAGTATATATAGTATATATAGTATATATAGTACATGTAGTACATAGGTCTTCTATACTACCTATACTCTATGTTTAATTTCAAGTAGTACAAGTAATTATATCAATTAATTCAGTATTACATTCCTGATAATATACATTCCCTATTGGCAATGCTGCCGCCTGACATACCAGAAGCTTTAATATAAATCAGCTTATAGTATAAAAGCCTTACAGCTCACTCAATAACCCCAAGTACCCAATATTCTCTAAACTTCTTCATCATGCAGCTGTCTACCTTTATTATCCAGGCTCTAGCTCTACCTACCATGACCCTTGCCCTGGGCATCAACTGTCGAGGAAGTGCCCTGTGCAGCTTTGTGGATGCAGGTTATGATGGGATGTCCCTGATGGCAAATCAATTGCAAGCTGAGGTTAATAAAGGGCGCGGAGGTGTTTTCTATCCCACCGGCGGTATGTACTTGAAAATCCAGGTCGTGGGTATAGATAGTACTTTTTTACTAACAAGTGTCCAGCACATATTGTCTGTACAACTGAGCAATGTGCATTCTACCAGTCGGGCGCAAGTGGGACGATTGCTGATGCCCTTGGACACATCCAAAACCTCATTAAACATGGCTGCAAAGTCTGTGGCAGTGACCCTACCCAGCCGGGTAATGATGTTAGTAAGGGGCAATTGACTGTGAACAGTGTCTCTTCTCCTAATTGCAATGGTGTTTGTTCTCCTTGACTAGATAGACTAGATACTACAGTATATACTATATACTATAACTATAACTATATACTATATAGTATTATATAGTATATAGTTATAGTATATAGTTATAGTATGGGGTATAAGATTAGATAGTACTTATGGCCTGATCTAGTTATTGATAATAGTCTATCTCTATCTCTTTCCTATCTATGTCTCTATCTCTAAAGTTACCCAGTCTTGGCCTGATAACAGCTATCTCTGCCCTATAGGAACATGTTCTCTATCTCATCTCTATGTTACTTCTTAATCTGCTCTCCTGGGTATGTACTTGGCGTTTGCAGTATATATTCCTCTTCTCCTTGTCCTTGTCCTTGTCCTTGTCCTGTCCTTGTCCTTGTCTCCCTGTCTCCTTGTCCCACTCTGTCCCACTCTGTCTCACTCTTCTCTATTCTCTATTCTCTCTATTCTACCTCTTCCTCTACTCTCTATTCTCTCCTCTACTCTCTTTTCTCTCCTCTACTCTCTATTCTCTCCTCTACTCTCTTTTCTCTCTATTCTCCCATGGAGAAAGATAATCAGGAAAAAGCAGGGAAAAGCTCCCCCCCCGAGTCAGGAGAAGTCCATGACATCGACTATGGCGCCGAAACGGAACTCCATCGCACCCTCGGCACCCGCCATCTGACCATGATCGCCCTGGGCTCCTCCATCGGCATGGGCCTCTGGCTGGGCAGCGGCACCTCCTTAATCGACGGCGGCCCTGCGGCGCTCTTCCTCGGATACCTGCTCAGTGGCACCATGATCTGGGCCGTCTCACAGTCCATCGGCGAGATGGCCGTCATGTATCCTCTCCCCTCGGCCTTTGTGCAGTGGTCCTCCAAGTTTGTCGATCCCTCCGTCGGCTTTGCCCTGGGTTGGGCCTACTGGTTTTCCTACTGGATCACCATCGCCAACGAGCTTCAGGTACTTCACTACTACACTACTACTTCACTACTCGGTCTGATAAATTGATTCTAATGGTCTAGGGCGTGGTGACGGTCCTCAGCTTCTGGACCAGCAAGGTCCCGACCGCCGCGTGGATCTCCATCTTCCTGGTCGTCATTGTCTTCATCAACGTCTGGGCCGTCAAGTACTTTGCCGAAGTCGAAGTGGCTGCTTCTTCGATTAAATTCAGCTGGATCATTGTGGTCATCATTTCTTTGATTGGTATTTCCCACACTTGCCGAGTACAAGTATAGTACAAGTACAAGTATAGTTATTGATAATTTCTAGTGGTGTCTGCCGGCGGAGCCCCCGACGGAGGCCCGATCGGGTTCCGATACTGGAACTCGATGCCCTTCACCAACGGCTTCAAGGGCTTCCTCTCCATCATGCCGACCTGCATCTTCGCCATGTCCGGCAGCGAGAACGCCGGCCTGGTCGCCGCCGAGACGGCGAACCCGCGCCGCGCCGTGCCCCGCGCCGTGGGCTCCATCTGGATCCGTCTGTCGCTGTTCTACATCCTCGGCGCCTTGATGGTCACCATCACCGTCTCCCCGGAGGACCCGAACCTCTTCGGCGGCTCCGGCACCAACGCCTCCCCCTTTGTGATCGCCTACCGTAACGCCGGCATCCCCGCCATGGCCGACATCATGAACGCCGTCATCTTCATCTCCGTGCTTTCCACCGGCAGTATCTCCGGCTATGGAGGCTCTCGCACCCTCATGGGCCTGTCGCACCTGGGCATGGCCCCCAAGATCTTCAGCAAGGCAGATAAACATGGCCGTCCCCTCGCCGGCCTGGCCGCCACCCTGATCATCGGCGGCGGTCTCGCCTACCTCAACGTCTCCACCAGCGGAGCCACCGTCTTCTCCTGGCTCTCCAATCTCACCAGCCTCTTCACCTTGTTCGGTTGGGGGATGATCTGTCTCTCCCACCTGCGCATGCGTCACGCTTGGAAGATCCAGGGCCGTGACCCTGCTGACCTCCCCTGGAAATCCGGTGTCTACCCTTACGCCCCCATCTGGGGTCTCTTCTGGTGTATCCTCCTCATCATCGTCGAATTCTACCTCTCCGTCTGGCCCTTGGGCGGGTCACCCAACGCAAAGACCTTCTTCGCAAACTACGTCAGTGTCCCCGCCATCATCGTCGCTTATATCGTCGGGCGCCTCTATTATCGTGGTCCCTGGTGGGTCGATGCCGCCACCGTCGACCTCGACGCCGGTAGGAGGTTCTACCATGACGTCCAGGATGAGGAGGCAAAGCCCGCTTCCTCCAAGAGTCTCTGGCAGAAACTCGCCTTCATCACCGAGTAGCCTGTCCCTTTCATCCAATACTATTCTTCTAGCTGGCCACGGCCCTCTTGTATCTTTTCTACTCCTGTATATTCAGCGTTGTTAGACTTGTGCATTGTCCATTCTTTCTCGCTCTTCTCCAGTAATCTTGTATTTCTACACACTGTAAATTTCTTGGCAGGTTGTGCTTTGGTTATATTTCCTTATCTTGATCGCCCTTCAACAGCCTTTGTAGTGTAATGGTTATCACATCGGATTCTGATTCCGGTAATCCTGGTTCGATTCCAGGCAGGGGCTCTTTTTTTTCTTTTTTTTTCTCTTCTTATTTCTCGATTTCTCTGAAATAATAATATCATCCGAGCTAATTGATGACCTTTTTATCCAATCTTAAATAGCTAGCAACGATTCTTCACATTCATATCTATGCACTCATCGCCATAATTGCCACCACCAGCAGGGCGACGGTCGTGGCCACCACCGCGTCAGGGATGCCTCGCACAGCCTCCGACCGGCCTGGCTGGCCCGGCTCGCCGTTATCGACCTTGCACACCTGTCGGCATGGATGCTGCTGCGACCGGGCCGCTATCGTGCTGGTGTTGTAGAACATCTCGATCCATTCGATCTCCATGTACGCGGCGCCTCCGACGGCCATGTTGCCGCTCCAGTACCCCCCGTTGCTCCACAGGTTGATGATGAAGTGACTGGGTGCCTTCGGGGTCCCGTACGCCTTGGTGAGCAGCAGCTGGTCGTCAAGGTACCAGCTGCTGATGGCGTCCGTCCAATCGAGCCGGTGCGTGTGCCACTGCGACCACTGCACGCCGGGCGGCAGGGTCATTTCGGTGCTGGCGTCCGCGATAGGGTGTCCGTGGCGGTCGACGGTGGGCTGGTTGGTGTAGCGGATGTGGTCGACCCTGTCGCGCGTCAGGATCTCAATGTCACTCTCCGTCGAGTCGTCACGATAGGTGAAGATGCCCGCCACCGCCCCGGGCGACCCGGTCACCCGTGCCCGCACTCGCAGCGAGGCGTGCCAGATCTCTCGTTCCTGGTGTTCCATCTCGGCGGTAGAGCTGAAACCGGGGTGGCGGTACGTCCGCAGCGTCAGGTGAGAAGTAGAGGCAGAAGAATCTAATCGTCAGCAGAGTCAGCATGTGTTCTTCGCGTGATCTTCTTCTCTTCAACTCACCAATCCACACGTTCTGCCGGCTGTTCTGTACGCGCACCGGGCGATCATCCTGGGAGCCACGCCCCCAGGTCTGCAGCCGCCAGTCGCGCGAGAAGGACGACGAGGTCAGCACCCCAGGCTGGGCGGGCTCGATGCCCAGGCTCGATGTCACGTTGGGCGGTTCCTGGGCTGTGCCGCTCAGGGAGCGAAAGTCGTAGAACCGGTACGAGGAGAAACAGGCGGACGAGTTGCCGCCGGTCTGGTAGCAGTCACAGTCCGGCTTACTGGCTGCCGCGAGGGTGAGTATGGGGAGGGAGGATAATAGCCACTTCATCCTGATGGAGAATCAATCGCTCGCTCTGGGTGGGAGAGGGTGGCATACAAAGAAGGCCGCAGAGATGGAGGGAGATGAGGTGGAAGTGGTCGAGGCAGGCGAGGAAAGAGCGGCGCTGCCTGGCGTCAACCAACGCAGTGATCGATCCATGGAAATTTAGTTGGCAGAAGCCCAAATTGTCTTAACACTGTTGTAGGGATGTGTATGATCCATGGTCTTTCCAGGGTCATTACATGGTCTACTTGATGTCTATAGTGTCGGTGTCATATATACCCAATGATCTGGTTCATTAAGGTGTACTCTCAATATCTCTATAACCTGACTATCATAGAGGACTGTATAGATAGTCTCTATGCTTTAATACTATGGCCTCAATGTATATTGTCTACGACAGTTGCCCTCCTTCTGTGCCATGTCCATAAACATCCACTGATACCTATAGGACTTGAGAAATATCCAGAAATATATATTCATCTAATGTGACTTGAACACATCTTTATTCTTATACCCCTTTTATATTAAATATCTAATAGTGACTACTCCATAATTACCAGTATAAGAATATCATATTAATAGACCGACTCCAATTGATCTTTAATAGTATGATCATATAGTTACTACCTGGGCAGGTATAGAGTGCCTGGTGCGTCTCTAAAATTAAAATTGGTTATATATCATCAAAGACACGTCTTTCCATCAACATCCGATATGGTGTAGTGGCTAACATCGGCGTCTCTCACACGCCAGCCAGGGGTTCGATTCCCCTTATCGGAGTTCTTTTTTCTTTTTTCCTGACAGACCAAACAAAAACCACGAGAAATCATCATTTGCTTATATTAAACTGAACTAATATGATGTATGATTATTTTCTTACTATCATATATATCCATTTAGATTCTGTAGTACCCTGCCTAAACGTATATTCTAATACAAACAAACCATGCTCGACATGCCGATCGCTGCAAGGGATGCCATTTATTATTTACCTACTCCCTCTCTACTCTGTCTCTGCTGTCTTCATTACTCCTGAACTCATCCAACATCCTCAATTCTATGCTCGTCATCATGTTGCGCGTCTTCTCGTTGAGCCTCATGCTCGTTGCCCTCGCAGCCGCACAGGGACAGACCCAGGTATGCTTGAGGAAGAAACAAACCAACAAGGAAGAAAAATTGCTAACAAGATCAAGATCCATCTCACGACCGCTGAAGAGAGTCACTCCTTGACTGTTCCGTTCAAGGAATGCGTCAATCTGCCGGAAGAGTACGCTCCGTCTACTTCCTATCGCTATTCTATACCGTTGAGATGGACTAACAGTGCAGACCTATCACCGCGCTGACGATATCGCATAAATGCGTCTTCTTCACGTACGTACTTCAATTTATTTATCCAGGCCCTTCTTCTCTGACGGCTAATCAACATTCTAGACACCCCGAATGTATCGGTCGCGCCGTCGAACTCCGGCCTGGAGACCATTCTGCCCCGGAGCCCGTGGAGGTCGCGAGCGCGTACTGCCAGTTTACCTTTTGATGTACAATAGCCTATACTATCCTATACTATATCTTCTAGCGAGCCTAGCGAATACAAACAATCGTCTGGCCTCCGTCCCATGTGATCCGTTTCCGGACCATCATCTTGAACGTCCGCTGGCGTACATCCTTTATATCGGTGTCTCCCTCGCGCAGGACCGCCGAAGGGGCAAACACAAGGGCTTCACCCGTGCGCAGGCGGGAAATACGGGCCAAGCCATCCGAAGGAGAAGAAGGAGAAGGATCGTCGTCGCTCTCGACCGCAATATGTTTCTGGATAGTCTGGTACCATTCCGGACTGGAGAAGCGGTGCACGATCGTGATGGAGCACAGATCGATCAGCCGCGGCGAGATGGTCGGCTCCTGCGTCGACACAATCAGCCGGACGCCCAGATGTCGTTGCTGCCGCATCACCGTCATAAACGTTTCTGTCAGGGCGTGTCCCGCGGGCGTGTCGGTCATGTACTATCTAGTCAGTAAAAAAAAAAAAAAAAAAAAAAAAAAACATAACACCAAGGGTAAAGTGAAAGGGTAGAGTGTAGGACCTTATGAGCTTCGTCAGCGACAATCATCTTCCCTCTGGAAGGATGCGCGTGCAGAAAGAGATCGATAGCGATGCGGAACAAGATGCACGCCGTGCTCTCGTCCATGAACGGACACGACAGGTCGAGGATGGTGATCCCGCCATCGACAAAGTAGTCACCGGGCGGCGACGCGGCGGTGCGAGGCTCGAGATCGAGAAACGAGTCCAGCAGGTCCAGCCGCTGGTCGAGGAAGGGTGTCTGGGACCGGTCGAGGTGGAGGCCGGTCAGCCGGCGACGGAAGGCGAGGTAGTCGAAGGCGCCCGAGGTGCTTTCCATGGCCATCTGGCGCAGCAGCTTGGTCACCTGCGCCATATACAGGGGCATGGCGTCCTTGCGGCCGAGCGACATGAGGGCCAGCATGGTGCTAATGTTGAGGTGGCGCGGCTGCAGGCGGAACGGCCGCACCTGCACGTTGGGGATCTGCGAGTACATCTGGCGCAGCGGGTGGTAGTTGGACGGCGAGACCAGTACCGTGACGGGGATGGAGCGCACATCCGCGCTGTACTCGGCCAGCACCGAGGCCAGGAAGGCCGCCTCGCTCGGCTGCGAGCTGCCGTGCGAGCTGTACTCGTTGAACTGCAGCACCAGCGTCGACAGCGGCTTCTGCAGCCGGCCCAGTGCCTCCAGCCCGAACGAGCAGTTCTCAATGATGCATGAGGTCGTGTGCGACTTGCCGCTGCCCTGCAGACCGCAGATGAACGCTGAAAACGGCACGTTCGTGTTCAGCATCACCCGCGGGTCGGCTCCGGCCGCTGCGCCATCCGCCCCAGGCAGATGGCCCAGCAGCGCATACTGCGCTGGGGTCTCATACCCGACGGTCTCCAGCCCGGGCGAGAAGAGCACCGCGTCAGACGCACGCCCACTTGGCCGTTGATGCTCCCCTTCTTTCAAGCTGAGAAGGTGCACCTGCTCCTCCAGGGAGGGAAAGGCGGATGTCGTGCGGGTCTCGGGGGGTCTGCTGGCTCGGACGCCAAGGTCTTGTTTGAAGTCTTCAATCGTGAGAAATGCCCTATTTCCATCAATAAAAAGAAAAAGAGAATGACATACCATTGAGGATTGCGTTTCCAGGTTCGACCTCTGACTTCAGCTCCAGCTGTTCAACAGGGAGCTGAACGCCCTCCGGTTCCTCAACCTATCGCTGTCTGTCAGCGTCACACACCAGTCAGTCTGGAAGACATGACACTCACTTGATGGTCGCCATTTGTTTGCGCTGGCGGAGCATAGACCCCCGGCTTTTACTCTGTTAGCAGCCATTCTTAGAATCCACAGATGGTGATGGTCACTTACAGAAGCTGGCAACGGAGAGTGCGAATCATCTGGGCTCTTTTCCTTATTCTTATTCTTGTTCTTCTTGCCCTTCTTGTCGTTGGCTTGAACAGGTTCCTGCTGTAGCATACTCTTAGGATCCAGATCAAGCCGAGTGTCTGTCTCGTAGATCTTACCTCTCTCTGCTCTATTATCTGTTTATTGGCAGGATCTACCTTTTGGACAGGCTCATTTTTGTCCTTTTTCTTCTTCTTTTTGACAGGCTCCTGCATCTGTTAATCACCCAGAATCTAGATCCATCTTGTCAAGGTTTACGCACCTCGTTCTGGCCATTCAATGGTATACTGACAACCGGCTGATCCGACTGCTTCGCCTCCGCCGCCTTCTTCTCCAACACCGCCCCATAGCTGACTTGGTCAGAACACCCAGATAAACAGTGACTACGCGGGCCGTAATTATATACCGCGCAAGGGCAAGGCAAGGCAATACATACTCAGAGACGATCTGACGCACCGACTCCGCATTGCCAGGATACTGCGCCAAGAAGCGTGCCAGGAGAGCCGCTTTATTCGCCGGCTTGAGCGTGCCCCGCTCGTATGCCTCGCGCATCTCCCGACGCACCACCTGCTTGACGTTCGCCGCTGGAGCGGTCGGCGGAGGAAGAGTATGAGGGACAGAAGGAGGGGCAGATGAGGCCTTGGAGGGCTTCAAGGACGGCAGCTGAGACACAGCAGGCTGCTTTGGCGGAGCTGCGGGCGCGCCGGTGGGCTTTTGCTTGCTTTTTTTCTTGGACATTATTTCTTCTTTCCTTTCTTTCTCTTTGCTATTCCTCAGCGAATCGTGCTCTGGAAGATAGAGGAAAGATTGAAGGGATGGTCGTTGACAGGTCAGAAAGGCTGGCTGGCGACCAGCCTCTTCGCTTAATGCTTAGTCATCGTTATCGCATTGTAGATGGCTTCATTGGTTAGTATAGGTACTTTCAGGATAAGGTATTTATTATTCCAAAAAAAGTAGAAGAGCTATATATTCAAAATTACAATATGGATATCCCCTTGTTCTCATGAATCACATTACTGTGTGGCATCGCGGATGCCCGAGGTGGGATGTATGATAGGTCAGTATAGTATATTCTATGAGAAACATTAACTGCTCAGGTGCTGGTCGTCGCCTGGTTGACCTTGCAGTAATCCAGGTTATGGATGTCGGTGTTCGGGTTACCCGCCCAGTATCTAGAGAAAAGATCAGCTTGGTAATTCGGAGAGTAGATCCCAGACTTACGGGAAGTTGTGGGCGACACCACTGCCGCCAAATACGGCAAAGGTCAAAATGAAGACGCAGATCTGCGTGCCGCCGTCCAGGGCGGCGGAGACAATGTAGTTGTACTTGTTGAACAGGTGCGGATGGTAGCGACGCAGCCAGAACTGTGCGACGAAGCCCAGGACAAAGTACATCAGGATGGAGGCGTTGATCCCGACGAACAGCCAGCCCATGTACCACAGGATGATGGACAGGTTGATGTAGCTAAAGAACGGGTGACGCGTATATTTGTAGAGCAGCCAGAAGGGCACGGGGACGATGAATCCGATCAGGTACGAAATGGTGACCCACTGGTAACGCGCGCCGATCGAGAACATATCACCGGCGATACTCCACGCGATGGCCAAACTGTTGAACTGGTAGAGAGAAGTCAGTATCATCCATCTCCGCACTGGGGAAAGGGGTCCACATATCTGAACGTTGGCACCACTCCAGATATTGGTTCCGTCAATCGATGTGAGAATGGTGGCTTGGTTCTCCACGATACTAGAAGGAGTCAGTCGGCACTGATAGAGAAAGGGGGAAAAAGACGTACATCAACATCATAACGTAGTTGAAGAGCGCACCGATAAGGCAGCCCACTACTTGGACAAAGAAGGTGCAACGCGGCGACAAGTGTGTGTTCTGCGCGAGTCGTAGATCTCTGGCGAGTACCTGACCCTGTTGCAGGGAGTTGTAGGTGTAGCAGGTGAAGTAGAGGTCTGAGATGGTTAGCATGAAAGAGAATGAATCAAAATGCAAGAAAAAAAAAATTAAACATACTGGCCAGAGGTTTCCCAGGGAACATATAGCCTGCCAACATCTGACAGATGGGTTGGACGTTGAACTGGAAACCAGTCAAACCGTACTGGGCGCCGAAGAAGAGCATGAAGAGCGCGGTCAGAAGGTTGCCAACAAGGAACCCCCACCAGGGGAGTGTGGAGGACATGGCGTAGAGACAGCCCAGGCCGACGGCGAAGCTGAGGAGGAGGACGGCGCCCCACCACCACAGCGGAGTGTCGTAGTAGAGGTTACGCAGCATGAGGCGATAGTGAGGGTCGAGGGTGTCGTCGTTGAGGCGGCGAGCCAGGCGCTCCTCAGGGGTCTCCTGGTTCGCCCAGAACTTGTAGGTCTCGGGCTTGAGCCATTTCTTGAGCTTCTGAGGGTGGGCCCAGGCCCAACCGACCTTCATTTCCTCCCAGTTCCAGAGCAGCATGTGGGTGAAGGTGGCGGTGAGACCCATGTTGGAGGTTATGAGGTAAACGACGTAGGTTCCTGTCAGATACGGAATGCCCTGTTGCTTGAGGGAGGCCGCATCGACCATGTATTCGGAATTCAGGATAAGGGTTTGATTGTATTCGTGGAACCAGGTGCCGTTAGAGTCGCCATAGAAGAGCAGCTGGGACAAAAAGGGGAAGTCCATGGAGCGCCAGATGTTGCCGTAGTAGACGGCCATGAAAACAATAATGCAGCCCAGGTAGCCGATAAAGTTGTTGGTCATGGCGTACAGCGGAAGCCACAGGGGGGAGCCGAGAGAGGCGATGTAATTCCAATCGAAACAGAAAGACACTGTTCATTATGAGTTTTGCATGAAGAGACAGAGAGAGGGAGAGAGAGAGGAGACGTACAGAAACCAAGGCCTTCATTTCCGGAAGCGCCACCGAAGAGGTTGGTAATAACCAGATTGTTCTGGTCAGCCAGACAAAAGATCGACACACCTTCTAGAACAGGGAAGATATACTACGGGATGAATGAGCGAACGATGGGAGATTTTGGCTTGACGGGACAGAGGGGCTTACCTCTGGGAAGATGGTCCAGAAGAAGAGGGCAAAGAAGAAGATGTAGAAGATCCTGAGACGGGCCTTGGCGGTAGCCTTGTCCTTGTGCATGGACTCGAGCAGACTACTGATGGGCAGGGTCATGGGCCAGATCATCTTGGTGGGGCGCACGATGACATCGCGGAGGAGGCCAGCGATACCGAAGCCGATCATCTGGGAGGAGAGGACGATGAAGACGGCGGCGGCGTGGTTGGGGTAACCGCCGTAGAACAGTTGCTGGGAGGCCAGGGCTTCGGTGGCCAGAGCGGACTGGGTGGCAGCGGAGGACATGAGTGTGATGGCGGCATGTTCCTTGGCATTGAAGGGACCCGGGTTGAGGAAGCGGCCGAGCCAGCCACGACGGGGGATGGCGTAGGCTAGGAACTCGCCGATGATGTAGGCGAAGACGGTCAAGAAGACCTGGGAGACATAGATCGTCTGCGGCTTGAAATAGAAGATTTCCTGCAATACACCACCGAAGATGGATAGACCGGCACCTGCAAGAAAGCAAGAAATCAGATTCGTACTAAATACATAGATAGGGCTGTGGTAAGCATACCGATGAAGACCATACGGACGGTCCACGGGTTGATAGAAGGATCATCCTCGACCGCGATGATGTGGGTGACGAGATCGTTGGCGGTGCTGACCACCTCGTCGGAGCCGAAGCCTTCATCCTCGTCAGAGTGAGAGAGATTGGCGGCGCTCTCGGAACCCTTGGACTTCTCCTCGGTAGCGAGGGATTTATTCTTCTCATAGTCGTCGTTGCTGGGCCGGTCCCAAGCGGGAGCCATCTCAGACTGTTTGACCTCCATTCTCTCACGGACGGTATTGTGAGGAGCAGCAGCAGCAGCAGCAGCAGCAGTTGATTAAGGCGGCAGTGACAACCACCACGATATTTATTTGCTGCCATTGCCTTTTTGCCCGCCTGGGGATCGCCGTCGCAGTTCCGTAGGAGCACGAGAGGAGGCAAATTCTCGGGACTCTTTTGATAAGACGCGATTGGCGTGCATTGGCTGACGGGGGCTAACTAGGTTCTACACAGCGGAGCTGTCAGAAACTTCTAGGGACAGAGCTAGTTTTGGAGAAAGCAATAATAAGCATTATTAGTTGATGAATTGCTGGCCGGGTTTTGTCCGGCAGGCGATAAGCCAGACGGGTTACACAGACCGGCGACCGGCCGCCCTGAAGTGTGGTAAACCCAAGCTGCATGTCTGACAATTTTGCGCCTATCAGCGGTGGCAGCATGATGAACAGTCATTGTCTTTCTTATCTTGTATTTGTTGTAATATGTCGCAGTTGCATTGCAGGGGTGCGTATCTGGTGTGACCACCGTTCAGCGTCCACTGTCTATGTAGTAGGTTTCCATCACCCCCCAAGATCGAGAATCCCCGGGGAGCGATTCTCGGTGGTCTGCAAGGGTCGACGGCCGCCGATTATGCAACAGAATTACCTTTTTTTCCGTCCGATCTGCCCACCAGCAGCTGAGCTATCGTGGGTTGTGTGGGCTGCGGAGAGACCCACGGACGGCAAGGGTCGAGTACCGAGGGAGTACCTGAAACAAATTCCATCGTTATCCACTGCCTGCTGTGGTTATTTAGGTACTTCGTATACTACGTACCTGATTCATCTCGGATTTCCATCTCTGACAGCCTCATCTTCTCTTTCTCCAGAGTCAAGACGTGTCGCTTGTTGTCCTGGTGTTGTCTCAGGTCTGTCTACTCCGTAGGTCGGCTCTCGGGTCCCACTCAGGCCCTGCGGAGTCCGTTAAGGTAGGAGCCTAAGCAGAGGCTAAGCAAACCTTCTGCTCGTAGCGAAACCCCGGCTCCAAGATAGCTTCCTTGGTTGTGTGAGCAGGGAGTGAGTAGGGAGTAACTCCTGAAGTTCTGAGGATTCTCCTGTTGCCGCCTTCCAGAACGAGTCAAGTGGAAAGGGACTGCACGTGATGCAAGGGGTACGCTGCGAGCTAGTACTAACTAGGCAGTACTATCCCAAATAGCTCAAGCCCCACGTGGACAGCCGATGTCTCAGAGGAAACTGACTCGAGCCTTAAAATCGTACGATAAAGGACTGGGTTGACAGGAATGAGATTTATCAGGCTCACCAATCTCTTCTACTCATATTGAGAGTCGCACAGGACTACTACATATACACGTACTCTGTACTCTGTACGGAGTATATAAAACGATGATCAGCGGCGTCCTCCGACGTTACATCGGCACGTATTCGGTTAGTCCCTCGGAGTACGGCGTATCGTCCTCCGGATAGATGCTAGTAGCTAGCTGCCTTAGTAAGGCCTTAATGCCTTAGTGCCTTACTGGGACTGTTGGGGAAGTTGTCTACTCTAAATCTCTACTCTCTAAATACTGGAGGGGCTACAATCACTGGTAGAAATCATACAAGAATCTATTCACGCTTTTATAATGCAAAATTACTCGTCACCGTGTTTCCGCTTGAATCGCGACGCCTTGGGCTGGCTGCCGTACGCCCGCCGCGCCTGCACCTTCTCTCCACGCAGGCTGGCCCCCAGCGTGATGTCTACCCGCGGTGGCGTCGTGAATCCAAAGCTCTTGGCCACCTTGGCCAGGTCCAGCTTGTTGACGTCGAACACGGATCGCAGAGAGTGAGACGCGTACGCGTGGATGTATGACCGGTAGCCTTCCTTGGCCGACTGTGATTGTTAGAAAGGACAGAAAGAAAGAAGAAAGAAGGGAAAACAAGAGAAGGAAAGAAATACCTGGTTCAAGTAGTAGTTCTGACCGATCAACTTTTCCAGTTGCGACTGGATATTGACAAGTTGCTTCGCCGGAAAGGCAAACTCAACCACTGGCACGCGTGCCTCCTTGAGGTGTGAGAGGAAGGCCACCTCCGATGGCAGCAGGAACATCAGCGACCGACCCTTCTTACCGCTGGTGCCTCGCGCCGTCCGCCCCACGCGGTGGATGTAATCGCGCGGGTCATCGGGGGGGTCATACTGGAGGATGAAGTCGACGCCGTTGATCTGTCGAGTGTAAGAGTTGATGTAGTAGATGAAAGAAAGAGAGAAAAAAAAAAAAACTTACGTCCAATCCTCGTGCCGCAACGTCTGTGCAGAGCAGAATGCTGCCCGAGTCGGAGTTGCAGAACTCAAAGAAGGTATTGGTGCGTTTCTGCTGCTTCATTTTGCCATGCAGGGCGAGGCAGCCCAGGTCGACATAGTTGAGCAGTTCCGAGTAGTACTTGACCGAATTGCAGCTGGAGAAGAAGACAATGATCTTCTTCTTGATGTTCTTCTTGAGGAAGGTGAACAGCAGCAGGAACCGCTTGTCCGCCTCGCAGATGATGTACCCTTGTTCCACCCCGTCGACCGTGCTGTGTTCCTTGCGGTGGTCTACGTTGATATACAGCGGGCCAGCCCGTAGTGATATCCGCGCCAGGTCCTCGACCTTGGTCGTCTGCGTGGCAGAGAACAGGAGTGTCTGGCGGTCCTCGTTGGGAAGGATTTTGATGATCTATGGAGTCAGTAGGTAGAACGTACCCAATCAATATCGACTAATTGACTAGAACGTACCTGACGCATTTCATCTTCGAAACCAACTTCAAGAATGCGATCCGCCTCATCTGAGGTATGTTAGCCAGTGCAGTGAAAAGCGATTGGAAAAGAAAAGCTACCAATGATCTACTTCAGTTAGCAATGTCGATGACAACGTTTCAGAACGGGACTTACCAAAGTCTTCAAGTTGCGGAAAACGAAACCTTCCGTGTTCCTCAGATGGTCCAGCAGGCGACCGGGAGTGGCAACCAGCAGGTTGACGCCCTTGTTGAGTTTCTCAGCCTCGGCCCTGCGATTGGCTCCTCCCATGACGACTCCGTACGTTTGCGAATGGAACTGCATCAGTTCGCGGACCACGCCGAAGATCTGCAGCGCGAGCTCGCGCGTGGGGGTGACAATAATCACACCGGTGCCTGTACTTAAATATTAGTATCTCTTCCAAACCCGTTTGAAAACTCATGTCTGCTCCTGTATGTACCGTTTCTGGGCTTGAAGCGCAGCGCGCTCAGCATCTCGACAGCAGGAATCAAAAACGCCAACGTCTTGCCGGATCCAGTCTTGGCCGCTCCCAGAATATCACGCCCAGCCATAGACGCCGGAATCGTGCGCTGCTGGATCTCCGTCATGGTCTCGAAGCCCATCTCCTTGATGGCCTTGACCGTCGGCTCGGAGAGGGTCAGTTCGCTGAACTTCTGCGGAGCGTCGCCGGCGGGCAGAGACACCCCGTTCGCCGAGGGCAGCGCCGTCGCATCGTCGGCACTTTCATCGGACTCTTTGTCTTGTTGTTGACCCTCATCTCCGGAATCCTCTGCGGGAGTCTCTTCGGCCTCTGCGGGAGACTCTTCCACGACCTTCTTCTTATCGACCTTCTGCTTCTTGCGCGTTGCCGTTGCCGTTACCGCTACCTGCTCATCGTTTTCGGGCTCGACACGGACTGGTTCGGGGGCCTTTGCTGCTTCTTCCTTTGCGCCCGAGCTCTTGTGGCTCCGCTTCCGCTTCTTGACCGGCTCTTGAACGGGGCCCATGGTGGTTCAGATGATATGCTCGATGCAGTTCAGACTCTCTTTCTGTCGGTGAAAGAAAAAAAAAATTGGCGGCAGAATTATGGTCACGTGGGGACTACTCTTTCCGCTCGACTAACCCGATACGCGCTAGCCGGAATCCCTGTGCCTCAGGCAGACACAATATGTATGCCTCAGGCAGAGGTGTTAGACAGGCATGCCTCAGGCAGAAATATACGTAGTATAACAACAGTATAACAGCAATAAGTTATCATTTCATAGTAGAGTATTAACCTCTAGTTACCAGGCTTATCTAATTCAGCCATCAAACCAAAGAAAACTTCTTCACATTCACCCCGGCGACTTCCACCCGCATATCATCCAGCTTCATATCCCCAACATCAGCTTCAACTTCAACCTCGAGCCTCTCCCCCGGAAACAAAGTGAGATAGTTATCCGACCAAGAGACGGGGACGATCTCTTCCCCCGTCGCAGCATGCAAGAGAACCATCCGGACAAACAGCGCCGGGACGTCCGACTCATTATCGAGCACGATCTTCGCAGCAAAGTCACTTCCCCTCTCGGTCTCCACCATGTCTGCCCGGAGAGTCGCGCGGGACAGTTTCATCGTCGCTCGCAGATCCGTATACGAGGTGACTGGCGTGCTGTACCAGGTTGAATTTTCCCAGTCGAGTTCGTCGACGGAGCGACCGAGCCAGTACACATTGCGACTGATGATGGTATCTCCTCCATCATGATCATCATCTTCACTCTTCAAAAGCAAACGCAAGAATGCAATGTCTTTGATACGATCGAGTCCTGAAACCGTCCCGATCCGACCGGAAGTGTTCGGCGTGCTCGTCACGTTGGTGATGTGTTGCTGCATGAGGAGAGACTTGCCCTTCCGATCTATCAAGTCGATCGTCACGCTGCGGTTCCCTCCCGTCCTCAACCCCCTGTTGATCAGGTAGACCGATCCGTCCTGGTAGTTGTACGCGACGTGTTCGTGGCGAGAGCCTGTCTTGGTGCCAAAGTATGCTCCTGCAGGTTGGAGGTAGTAATCGAACAGTTGCCAATGGAGGTTCGGCCAAGCGGCATTAAGCATCCAGTAGATCCTAGATAGCAAGAGATTAGAAAAAGAAGACATAAAACGATACGAGTCATATGAAGACTTACACCCCCGTTGCAGGCCTCTCGGCATTCTGCAACGCAGCAAAAGCCTCAAATTCCGCCCGGGTGGCCTCGTAGTCCATCATCTGCGCTTTAAGCACGTACTCGTCCAGACTGGTCGGTTTGCCGTACCGCGCGAACAAGCCCTCGTTGTAGATCGACCGGTCGTAGAACTGCGACACGTTCGTCGACATGTGGAACAGACCGGCGTCGGGCTCCCTCCAGAGCGCATCGAGATCGCCCTCGCTCAGGAACCGCTGTAGACTGGCTCGTTCGGGCGTGCCCACGCCGGCGCCCTGCTCGGATCCAAACCCAAATGCGGCGCCGAGAAACTGCTGCCCATCACCTGCGTACCAGTAGTTAGGCGGCACCCAGTCGTAGGGACCCTCCATCTTCATCCCCGACGGGCCCAGTTGATCGGGCCATCCGCGCATGCTCGCCGACGCGACTATGGGCGTCGCCCAGTCCATTCGCTCCAGTGCCGACACGTATACCTGCGTTGCCCTGTCGTCGGGCCACACATCCGACCCGACCAGGAAACCCAGTAGACTCGGGTGTGTCTGCATCATGGCGGCTTCGTGTAGCATGGAGGCGTTGGCGACGGTGTAGTCATGTTCCGTCCATTTATACCCGGGGGCATCATCGTTGTACTGTATTAATGAAGGTTAGACATGTAAATTGAATCGAATCGAATAGAGGTTCAAAGAGAAAAAGACGTACAGACCACCCCTCCCATTTATCGCAGCATTCCCATCCCGCCAGAAGCATGACTCCCATGCGATCCGCCATCTCGTACAGCTCCGGATGCTCCTGTTTGCCCTCGAGACGAACCGTGTTGAGCCCCATGTCGAGCACGTAGCGGAAGATAGAGTCCACGCGGGCAGCATCCCACCGCATGAACAGATCAGGCGAGTATCCCGCGCCGAGAACGAGAAAAGGGTGTCCGTTGACGGTGAAGGCCGTGTCGTTGTGCGCGTTGAGCGTGGCCGTGACCTGCCGCACGCCAAACTGCCGCACGGGACTCACGTCGGAGAGCGTGTCAGCGATAGAGGCGTTCACGGTAACGCTGTACAGGGGCTGCTCGCCCCATTGGCGTGGCCACCAGACGCGGACGTCCTCCAGTCTCGCTGCTAAGGAGACGGTGGTTTCTTCGTGTGCGGCGAGCTGCACAGAGTGTTCGGCCACGGCGACCTGTGCGTTATCATCTGAGATGGTACCCTGGATCCGGGCTGTAATAGGCGAGTCTTCGTGGTTCACGACATCAACCTTGACGGTGACGGTGACGTTGTGCGCGAGCTCATCGGGCTGAATATTTGCGGCTTCATAATCAGTAGTAATCCGCGGTGCAGACAGAGAGACAGCCCCCGTCTGGACAATCTCGACGTCGCGCCAGACCCCCGTCCCGTTGTCGGGCGGATAGGGATTCCAGTCGACGAAGCCCATGGCAAAGTCGCGCAGGTAGTTGGTCGGATAGGCTTTCACGAGGACGACATTCACTCCCTCGCGCAGATACGCGGTGATCTCGTAGCGGTGGCCGCCGTACGACCCCTGATGGAAGGCGTGGGAGGCGATGCACACGCCATTCACAAATAGCGACGCCTTGGAGGTGATGCCGTGTGTGTCGAGGAAGACGTGCTCGCCTGGCTGGGGGGAATACTCTATTTCGAACTCCTCGCGGTACAGCCAGGGGGCCGTGAAGGGGGTCGAGTCCACGCCCGTCGCCAGCGTGTCGGAGTAGAAGAGCTGCTCGTCGCTAAACACCCCGTTCTCGATCAGTCCGGCCATCACCGTCGACCGGGCGCCGACTCGGTACCACGATGAGACGTCGACGGCCCCAGGAAGTGACAGCTGCGTCATGTTCTGCGACGCGTCGAGGATCGACTGCATGTTCCATCCCGCGAGAGCTGAGCGGTCGCCTGGTTGGGAGACGAGGGGCGAGACTGCCTGTGCGAGAGTCAGCGCCAGGCTGGCGAGGGTGGCTAATGCCACAGCCATGTTGATCGATAGTCCTGCTAGCTGATAGTTCTGGACCAGCTGGACTGGTAATTGGTTATATTCTCTATATTGATTCAAGGCGTCGAGGTGGAGGATGGAAGGATGAAGTAAGGAAAGAAGAGAATAATTCGATCATCTTAATGTGAGGTGAGTTAGTCTTCAGTAGAATCCACGGTTGAGTTGGAAAGTGAAGCCAAAGTCGAAGTTTGGATAGACGTTGTTGCCTGGCGGTACTATGCCTTTTCAGTCAATGAAGTATTCAAGATGCGAGTAAGATGAGGTAATAGAAGAAACAAATCTATGGTATCATGACATATACTACCGAGACAGGCTATGTACAAAAAAAAACAAAAATGGTATCTGAAAGAAAAGATCAAAGAGCCAAGGTGAGAGCCAGCAGGGAGGCTGCTAGAGCTATACTGCAAGGGACGGGAAGGGCGACGGCGGCTCCCTTGACGGAGCCCGTGGAAGAAGGGATGCTCCCGACACCGACAGGCTCGGTGGCATCGGCGCCCTTGGCCAGGGTGGTGACGGGGTTGGCGACGGCGGTGGCGCCCGGGACGGCGGTGGTGCCGGTGCCGATCTCTTTGATATCGCTGTCGGTGACGTTGAACTTTGTGTTGGCGAGGGAGATCTCGTTGTTGGAGAGGTCGTAGACGACGTAGGCGCTGCGCAGAAAGGTGTCACCGAGGATGCTGGTGTCGCCGCCGGGGGCAATGCCAAAGACACAGGCTGGGGTGCCGTCGTCGTAGGTGATGTCGCCGTCGTAGAGGACGAGTTCGCTGATGTCGACGCGGATGGTGGGGGAGGAGAAGGTGAAGTCGAGGGTGTAGTCCTCGTCGGCCAGGCTGCAGGGGACGTAGCCAACGCCGGCCTCGGACTCGTAGGTGACGCTGAGGTTGGTGTACAGGTCCTCGACCAGGTCGTCGGCCAGGTAGATCAGCGAGGTGCCCGAGTCGAGCAGGACGCCGAGGGGCAGCGAGGAGGACGAGTATTTCTGGACGGTGCCGGAGGAGTTGAGGGCGACGCCGGTGAGGGCCAGGACAAAGGCCGCATACTCGCCGTCGACTTTCTGCACGGGCAGCGTCTCGAGGGTGCCGCTGTACTTGGCCGAGTCGACGCCGCCGAACAGGATGGAGCCCGAACCGGAGTCCAGGTCGTTGAGCCACAGGCTGTAGGCACTCGACTTGATGTAGCCGGCATTGACGAGGGCTCGGGGCAGGTTGGGATATGTGCCGTCCGTGGAGGCCTGAGCTTCGTCGAGCGGATAACCGATTCCAAGGAGATTATCTATCATTATTAGAGGCCATTGCTCACTGTTTTGAAAGAAATATTATATCTACTATACCGGTGGTGGTTGAGTTGAGTCCGATCCCCAGGCGGAAATTCTTGAGGGTTTTGCCGCCGATGCGCACGGTGTCATTGGCGTAGTCTCCGCTGGCACTGGAGCCGTCACCGTAGGTGATGTCGAAGTCGGAGGAGACATATGAGTAGGTGGAGGAGTCATCCGGGTCATAGGTGCCGTAGGCGCACTCGTCCGTCGACTCCGAACACAGGTCGGAGGTGGGAGTGTTGACCCAGAGATCACTGCTGCCGGTGTCAAGGACGACCTCGACGTCCTGGGCGGGCGTACCGATGCTGATGTTGGCGAGGTACATGGTTTCCTGCAGTGTCAGCACAATGATATTCATTCTCTCCTCGCTAGTCACCTGAAATTGACCAAATAAAACGATGATGTTCATACTTCATTGTAGAGGGTAGTGCTGACGGTGGAGGAGCGTCGGCGGAGACGGTCTCGCCATCCGGGGCTGGCGTTGCGGACCGAGCGACGCTGGACATCGAAGCCGATGACAGCCGGGGAGTCGCGCTCGTGTAGGGTCAGAGCGTGGACGGCGGGCAGGCCCAGACTGAGGGCATAGAGGAGGGGAGTAATGATAGCCATGGTGTGAACACTGTATGTAGAGACTCAAGACAGCGAGCACCGTCAGGGATCGTCGGCAAATCTGGCAGTGTCGGATTTATATGGGCGGTAGTCACTCCGTAGTTATACGCCATGGTCCGTCCGCAGTGGCCATCTAGCGTGCAGTGGGCCGCGTTATGGCCCACCAGGGCTCTCACACCTGTCGTCATCTCGCAATAATGAGACGACAGGGCAGGGCAGATCCCAGAAAAGGAAAAAAAAAAAAAAAGCGGCGCGCCATGGCGATTGATGGCTGTGCCAGAGGCAGAGCCCGCATTTGGTCGGTGGCGGTTGGCGGGGGGGGGGGAGATTGTGAATCCGAATCGAAACTGTACGGAGTAACTACCTAACCTACTACCTAGACCCAGTCAGTACAGCCCATGAGCAGAAACGAGCCAGACGCCGGGGAATCACCAGAACGGAGGTGTTTGGCGAGCAGCTCCTGAGCTGGGCGACTAGGCGCAGTGATGACGAGGACAGCAGCGATTTGCGGCGAGTTGGTGGAGCCAGAGCGCGCGTCAGATTCGTACGCAGCGAATCATGGGAGCAGCGAGTCGCCGCTGGTGGAATAGGACGAATCATGTATTGAAGAGAACTCTGCCTGAATCTGTCGATGAAATCAAGTGAAACAGAGACGAGACGAGATAGAGAGAGGAAGTTGAGGGGGAGAGAGAGAGAGAGAGAGGGAGAGAGAGAAAGAGGGGGAGTTGAGGTTGAAGAGAAGAAGTTTTGGCGGGAAAATCAGTCCACGTGCGTCGATCATTGATTTAGATTTAGATTTGTATTTATTATTCTATATATTATTGCATATTTTATGTATTATTTTATATTCTACTATTGCATATTTTATTCTATTCTATCTATTCTATTTGTCTGTCTATTCTATCTATCAATTCTATGCCTTCTTCTCACTCTGCCTCCAATGCAACATACGTCATGACTTGTATAACAGTAGTAAGTAGCATCAACAGTATAGAATAGTTATAGAATAGAAAGTTGACAGTGAGAATTATATTTATCTAGAGTATATACTGTATATACTGTAAATACTAAATACTGGATAGAATCTAAAAATAGTGGCATAACTATTTATTATGTAAATCCTATTCCAGGCTCCAGCATTAAGATCCATGGTTCAATACTAAATATTATTAGCCTGAACTGAGTTCTATAGGCATGAATATTATGTATTGATTATATTTGGCTCTGTAGTAAATAGGTACTCTTCACACAGCCAAGTAGAGATACATTAGGAAATCATGTCTACATGAGAGATCTTAATTCCAGTAAGCGACTAGTTTAGACATAATCTCCACCCGAAAATCCCTGGAAAGATCCAGCATTATCCGTCGTAGTCGCCAGGACGAGCGGCATCCGCGTACTGATACGTGATGCGGGTATCTCCAGGGCTGGCTTCACGCAAGACCTCCAGCCTCACTCGGTCTCTGCCCTTTTTATCCTTGAAGTCATGCACCTTGAGAACAAGACCGGCGCCGTGGCTGCGTCGTTAGTGAGAGGGTCCACTTGGACAACGGTGAAGACGAAGGAACAAACATACGGATGGTATTTAACCTCGGGCAGGTTCTGATAGTAATAGTACAGAGGCGTCTGAGTGAAGTTCTCCGTGCCGGTCAGATAGATCGACCCCAGCAGGTATTTGATCCCCCACACGTCCTCGAGCTTGCGAAGTCGGTCTTCGTGTTCGAGAGGGAGGACTTTTCCTCGGAGGAGGCGTTTGCGGAGTCGTTGGTATTGAGTGCGCTCATCAGTTAGCAAATCTTGACATCTGATACAAAAAGAAAAAAAAAGGGAACAAAAGAGAAGGAATTTACAGCCTCCGATTCAGTCAATGCAATCACGTCTTTCGCCCACGACTCTCGAACCCTCTTTTCCAACCACTCCGGCCGCTCTTTCGCTCTGGTGTACCCCCAGAGAGGGTCTGCAGAGGAGTCTGAATCGGAAGCCTTGCCTCCCTGCTCAGAGGAACTCGGACTCAGCTCGTACTCCTCCTCGGTGACCCATCTGCAGCGCCGGTTGTGTGGGTGCTCCGGGTTGGTGACCTCCCAGGGATCCCCGAACTGGTCTTCCCACCGGATCTCGTCGTCGGAGCCGTAGTCGGACATCTTATGCTCTGCAGGGATGCCCAGCGTGAAGTCGGTGTCGGGGTCGGACTCGGGGACCGTCTCCCACTCGGAGCCTGAGTCGTCGGCGAAGTTCGCCTCGTCCTGTCAATCAGCCTTCGTCTTTTCTCTTCCACGTAGCTACCAAGCTAGCAACCCTCACCTCGAGACTGTCGGGGTTGACCGGGTTGTCGGGACTGTCGGGACTGTCGCGAGCTTCGGACGCCATAACGTTGGGTTTGAACGCAAGAAAAGATGGCAGAGAGCTCAGGGGATGGAAGAGAAGAGATAGAGACACAACATGAATAATCATAGCGTGTTCTATTAGTAGTTGACATCATGAAGCTGGTGACTGTTGTGTAAATCTTCTATTCACGACAACTTAAAGATTCACTGTAGATTCTATCAGCTATAATAAAGACCTAGTGACGACAGACAGTGACGGGTGTAAGAGGAGAGTGACGAGGAGAAGTTCTAGCGTAGGCTGCCATATAAAGAAGATATCGAGATTCACACACCCACGCAATTGACGCCTAATTCTGAGATATTTAAACCCCCCCCCCCCCCCATGCTTTTTTCCTCTTCTTATTTATTCTTTAAAGCTGTGGTCTTTGGAACTGGTCTTTATCTAGTTATACTTTATACCTTATGAAAGAAGAAAAAAGCTTCGGCTTGTTATGATTTACTCCTCTTTGCCTTATCTTCCACTGAATGGTTATACTGGCAGACATTCTCGCTGACTTGGACTCTGCTGTCTTGAAGCAAGACTCGATGGCTGCGAGTCAGCATTCTAATGCGGTATGCTACCTATCTCTCATCTTGTTCACTACTAATCATAATAGTGACTCCGACTCTGAAGCAACCTGTGTTCGGTAACGTCGCTATCTTCCTTAAGGTTCTCTGGGATAATCCTCTGGGATACAGGGCCGGGATGGAGCCCAGTGATTCTGGATCACATCTCATAACGGCCAAGGAGCGGCTCTTCCATTCTGCTATATTAAGGCGCTTCTCCAGGGACTGGAGGCTGCCCGACCTGACTGTTCCGTTAGAGAACTATAAGCAGGTCCGTACAGGAAATATGATAACCCTCTGTGAAGACTGTTCTGACATCCACAGATAAGTACAACAAGGGAAGATCGAAGATGCTGCATCTGAGACAAAATGCGTTCCCCGATCAAGGTCCTAGAGAAAGCCTATAGAGACGCGGCAGTCTACTCTCCGGGCTGTTTGCGCAGCCTCCGCAATCACTCACCAGTCAAGGCGGCTCCAAAGTACCCAAGGGTCTCACCTAGAGCAGATATCTCGTCTGTTTGCGTGCGTGCAATGATAGCGTTGTAGTATCAACCCAGTTCGTGACGAAGAAGCGAGACTGGAAGAGGATACTCTGCCTTGAAATCTCAAGCTCATGGCTCGTTCAATGCCCAGCGCTTTCGTGTCGGCTACAGAGGCAGAGGCAACCATTCTTTCCAAGGACGAATGTTGCCTCGACCTCATGGGAACCCAAAAAACTGGAAAACCGGGGCCGATTTTACCAGCTTCCAGGGAAACGCCAACATTCCCCATTTTATGGGCGTTCTATTTTATTGTCTCGGCTGTTGTTCCAGTTAATGGTCTGCTTTCAACGTTTGGGCTCCCCGAAAACATGTCTTTCGACACATTTCGGTACCCTGGGAGACGACAACAAGGTCACCCTTGAGATGGGTCAAACAAAGGCTGGGTAAGTTACTCCAGATGAGTCAAGATGATAGTTCTAACGTGTTCGACCAGAATCTACACCCTTCTTACAATGAAAGGGACCTTGGCCAGGGGAAGACTGCATTGATCGAGGTGCTTGCGCAAACGAGGAATACCTTCGGCAACACGAAAAGCGATCCAGACAAAGATTCGAATCATGGATGAAGGATGTCTTCCAGGAATCTATGCTCACGGCGGCTGATCTTTTTCCACATGGGACTCATTCTCCTGAGATGGGAAATTCAATCGAAGCGGTTGTTGCCACCGTCGTTCCTACCACCAGTGGAACGTTTTTAGAGAAACCAAATTTACAAGTGAGCAGTGGCAGCGTCCTTAAGGATCGCGAGAGAGGAACTCCGACCGCTTTCATTGCGTTCGAGACTCCCAGAAAGACCGCTCTAGTGGTGAATCTCAAGGTCCCTTGGAATACGGACCTCAAGCTCCTAAAGGAGAAAAGAAATGGTCCACGTTTGAAAGAACTTCCTCAGTCTCACAGTAGAGCTTTTGACCAACACTGACAAAGTTGGCGTCCCCGGGAAGGCATCTTATAACAATTTAAGACCCCCGTTTGCGAAAGGCTGAGCTGGTGAGTGAGCCACACTGTCCGACAGACAGGACGCCGCGATCATTGCGAGATCTCCATCAGAGACATTTCTCATCCCGGAGCGACCCAAGAAGCCGAGCAAGCAAATTGACCTCCATCGCAACTGGAAAAAAGAGACGGCTACACTATCCAGCTCCAAGGTCTATGCCCGTTTCTAATCTCTCCTCAGCGGATGAGATGGGATGGCTTCCCTGGCTGCATTGGAATCTATTATGGAAGACAGCCGACGAAGTCAGCGGCTTTTTCGCTCCCAGCGTGGCACATGGAGAAAGAGAGATATTATCATAATACCTGTTCGTGTTCGACCTTCTGTCGGAAATCTCACGGCCACCAGGTGGCGAACAACCTAAGCCTGTCATTCAACCGAGGTAGCACAGGAGTTTATCATCGCCCTACCGGAATAGAGCAACATCCGTTGCACCGTGCAAACGAGGAAGAAGTCAATGCCCCTATGATCTTCAACGATTCGGCAGTGAGCATGTCGGATCACAGGCTGATAGGAACATCGCAGCCATTGCGCCCGAAAGAAGATCTATAAAGCAATACTGTGGCGAGACAGACAAGACCTTCGGACCATCCCACAGCAGTCTTTGCTGGCTTTCGAATCCCCCGGTCACGACGACAGAATGGAACCGACCTCTACAGAGTCCGGGACACTATCGCCAACCCGGAGATCAAGGGCCTGTCGTCTCTGCAAAATCATGTCATCGTCCACTTCTAGTGTCACCATTCCAGGTCAATCTGTGACCAGCAGCGTCCATTGTGACCCGGCCGGCGATGGAAGAGGGAGTAGAGAAGAAAAAAAAAACAAGTCGATCAAACATCGATGGGCGAGCAAGACTGGAATTTGTTCCAGTTGGGTTATCTCATACCCTCAGTCCTACCTTTTGTTTCTCTTCGGGGACAAGAAGAGTCATCGGGATATCTGGCGTGAAAGAGGGTTCGTCATTGACTCTTCAGCATGGAATGCCCTCAACCTCTAACAGGGGGCTGGGGACAGTTGGGTGGGCATTGCTCTTTATATTCTTCTGATGATCGAAACATGTTACGTTAGATGAGTCTTGAAACCTTCCATCTACGCAGGTGTGGTGGTCTGTCTCAATGGAAGATACGATACCGGATATTTATCCTTGATTGCAATACTTGGTTCACTTCTCCCAGGCTTAAAGAAAAGCCAGGTGGTTTCCTTTCGATTCGCGGAATGCTTCTTGACCATGAAATTGGCACCTTTGAACAAACCGACACCGACAGAGTACGATGACATGATGACATGACGGGAACCCACTATCCCACTTGCCCGACACTGTACAGAAACTGAGTTCCTGAATACCATAATAGTAATGGTCTCTAGGTAGCTGGCTTTCAGTGGAGAGCTTAAAAGGACTTTGGAGCTCGGGTTGGAAGATTGATGCAAATTCAAGTCTGGAAGAAGAGATCGAGGGTCTAGTCGGACGTATAGACTATTGCAGGTTGCAATGCTAGAGATGCAATGGATGGTCGCTCGGATACTGCAAGGCAGCACGTTAAGAGTCGAGAGCGTGGATGTACAATAACAGCATAGGAATACATGGCAGTACTCTCTCTATGTCACTAGCATTAAAACAGTCTCAATTGAAAAGTAGTAGTAGCAGAATGGACTCAAAAACTATACTTCTCCAAGCTACCACCTCCATCGACTCATCAATGAATAAAAAAAAAAGGAAGAAAAGAAAGATTGACATCTAAAAGCACAAAGGCACGAAGGGCATGAAAGAGAATGAAAGTATCCAACTCGCACTCATTCCGCTCCTCCCTCTCTTTTAGCACTTGGGCACAGTGCTTCCCTCGAGCTCCGTCACCACCATCTCCCGCTGTGTATATTGTTGCTGCTGATACTTGATCCATGAGTCGTCCCAGATCCACTGTCCGACTGGCTGCTGCGCCGGAGGGGGGCTTTGGCTCTGCGACATGGATGTACTGGGTGGCGATACCGTGTGCGATGTGGGTGCGCCGGGGCTTGCGCTTGACACGGAGACTGACGGAGGGGGAGTATAATGTTGATTCTGGTTCTGATTCTGATTCTGATTCTGATTTTGCTGGTCTTGCAGTTCCTGCACGGCTGACGGCAATGGATGATGGTGCTGTCCCGCCGTCTCAGTCCCGATGACAGACAGTGGAAGCGTAGGAGGAGAAGTAGCAGTGCTATAGCTGGGTGTAGCCCACCGGGGGACTGCTCGCTCGGGACTCGGGTTCTTGGATGCGCGAATTCGTCTCCAGACAAAAAAGAAGAAGGCAAAGACCACGGCGGCGAAAGCGGCACATCCGATCGCAATCCCTGCAATGTCGCCCACGCTGAGACGGTGTCCACCACTTGAGCTGGAGGCGGAAGAGGCAGACGACGACGACGAGGAAGAAGAAGAAGAAGAAGAAGAAGAAGAAGCGGTGCCTTCTGCTGGGGGATCCTGTCCTGGAACGAGCATGTAGGGGTAAGTTAGCGCCTTTTTGTACTGCGCTTCCCAGGTCATTGTTGCATTCTAGTTGATTGCTGGTCAGCTGGTATTTAGTCAGGCAGTTACTGGATCATACCGGATTAATTGCTCCCACCATTCCATTCCCGGTACAGGAGTCAATGGCTGTGCAGTAGTAAAAAGTTGGCTTGGATGTTAGAGCAGACTGGCTACTTGGAAGGTGAAATAGGCTGCATACCTCGGTGTCATTGATCACCACAGACCATGTTGGCGGCTGATCAAAGTCCCGTCAGTACAGACTCGCAGAGGAAACCAAACCATCCCGAATGGAACAAGAAAGTTCTTGACGACGTACTGGACCGACCAGCTCTCCATCCTCCTGGTCGAAAGTGTTGAACATGCCCGAGTAGAAGATCTCTCCTGCTGCAGGCACGCAGGGGGCTCCGAAATCCGCCTTGACCACGGAGTGATTCGTTGGGTAGAAGGCGAAGACGACCACATCACCGACGGCGGCGGTGAGGTTGTACGGTGAGTACTGATATGGGTTTTCCTTGTTTCCGACCAGAACCGTGTGCGTTGCGGGGACCTGCCCGGTGCTCGTGGACGTTGTCTTGGTCGACGCCGGCGTCGAGGTCGAAGTGGACGTCGTCGTCGTCACGACGCTGAGCCGGAAGATATCGCCTCCTGCGACGGTCACCATCTTTTTTTTTTTCTTTTAACTTTTCCTTTTCCTTTTCAGTGAAGAGCCATCACACCCAGGCGAGTAACAGTAGATAGGGTTGTCGAGGTGATGAGTTGGATGGGAGATTATGAGCTGGCCTTCACTCTCAACGCCTGGCTGAACATGACAGGACAAAGAGGCCGTGATGGCCAAGGGTAAAGGCGAATTGAAGCCCTTCCGTACTGCTCTAGATCTGTCGACAAAGAGAGTGACGTCTAACTAAAGATGCCTCTGAAACACAGTGGCGTCCACTGTCGCTGTTCTTTGTCTTCCTCGACGCTATATCGAATCCATGTCAATTCTATAAATATAACCCTCACGAGGACTCGAATCGAACGAAATGTTCCTCGACGGATTAAGGCCTGGTGAGGACCAGCGAAGGTTAAAAAAAAAAAAAAAAAACCATGCTTCAAAATAACGTTCTAGACAAGAAGGTATCCCAGGCATAGAAAAAGCGCATCAACTGCTCCAATGTGTAATATGCACAGACCAAACTTTTGTCTCGGGTTTAGAGCCCTTAGAATGACAAAGGAGAAGAACAAAAGAAAGGTAAATGAACAGCCCACCAAGACTCTTTTTGGGTCGCTGCTGCCAGTTGTGTCCAACACTATACAAGTAATATATATACAACCCTCCCGAGCCCAAAGTGACAGTAGACTACCACGAGTTTCTCTCTTCCGGAACTGTTGACGGAGATCGAGTCTCATATTGGATCGTCACATTGTCCGTCCGGCGGATCTGGCTGAGTTCATGGTTGTCGCTGTGCTGGGACTCATCGGCCAGGATACTTTCTTGACTGCCGACGGCGGTGGTGGTGATGGTTTGCTTGCGTGATGCTTTGGAGAGCTTGCTTCGCTCGTAGGAGTGACTGTAGTCGTTCACCCCGCTGCCTTTATAGTTGTTGCGACTGTTGCTCAAGGAGCTGAGGGACCGCTTGCCCATGATGATTTCCAGGAGTGGCTGCAGGGTAGGGATACAGGATGCGATGATCACCACGCCGGACTCGACACTGATACAAAAAAGCGATAAATAGTCAGCCAGGCTGGATAGCAACAAGAGATTTGATCTGAAAGGGACACTCGTACTTGGTCCAGATGACCAGCTCTGCGGTTCCGTCTACAACAAAAAGATAACAACGTCAACATCACTCTGGCTGCGTTTGGTTGCAGGAGCTTACATGTGTAATCCGTCTTATCCGCTAAACCCTTGAGCTGCGTGCACTTGATGATAGCCATGGCGGAGGCGCTGCAAAAAAGAAATGAAAAGTCAGCATTGTCAACGGGAAATTCCAGGAACGCTGCAACGACCGCGCCACGCAATACTTACACTGACCCTAGTCCGAGCGCTGCACATAAAGCAATTTTCTTCCGTAGAGTCATTTGCAGCTTCTGGAGCACCGTAGCTGGATAGATAGCAAGACACAGGTCCACAAAAGCGGATAGAGCTGGAAGGCATTCAACAAGGGTGACACTAGATGAAAGAAAACCCCTCGGAGAGTCGACAGCGTCTTACCTCCTGTGAAAATAGCATAGTTTATCAAAATCCATGGATCCTTGCATTTGGCGCCCTCCGCAACAAGGGTTGGTTTCCACAGGGCTTTTGGAGGATCACACATAGTGAACAGTACCAGAATGCAGATGATCGAAACGATGGTCGTAAAGCCCGTCAGGAACCACAGTGACAAGCGCTGGAATCGACTCGGGTTCATGATCCGGTTCAACAGGGCGGCCACTGCCAGTTTGGGCAAAGTGAATGAAAGAATGCCGAAGACAAAGCTGACCGTATTGAGCAGGAGGGCCGTCTCGAGGGCACTGGTGGATAGGAACTTCTGGTGGCGTCCATAGCCGACCATGACATTGGCGGTGGTGATCGCACAGTAAGCGAGGGAAAGAATCTAGTCCGGAGAAGCAGAGTGGTTTTCCCTTGTTAGTCGAATTCATCTCTGACATGTAGTCTCCTATGCAAATATTCAATGCTCACTGTTGACACTGCAATGAGGTAGTCATCGACTCCAAAGTTTCGAATGACCTTTGCTCTGATGAGCAGCCTGGCTATGACAATGATGGTTGTGATCGAGGTCAACGCCCAGAGGACCACCAAGATGGTTGGGCCCCTGTTGGCATTCGCATAGTCGGACGCTGTAGTCATCGTCTGCGGTAGATCAAAGTATTCTGAAAAATGAATGAACAGGTAGCAAAACGGAGAGCACTCATTGCATAGCTCCTTCAGAATCTCGCCACGGGTCGCTCGATTAAAGTATCTTCAGGAACAATAGTTAGGGTCTCCTTCCCGTCACGATGGCAAATGGCCATCTCTAGATGGTGGAAGGTTGAAGGTTTGACAGCGACGATCATCTGGTCCAGCGTTTTGCTGCCAGCCTGAGCTCTGTACTTTTTTCCCCGTCTCGCGTAGACTGGTTGGCAGCCGACTGTTCATTTTCCAAATCCTATCCTCGGCTATCATGCCAAATCTAGAGGAATGGGTCCCAGGGCCATAGTAGTTTTTTTTTCTTACTTGTCCGTTCTGTATTGTTCAACTGACAACCTAGTGTGTGGCCCACTCTCCCTGAGCCCCGGACACGGCACGATGCAGGGATCTGAGCGCGGGACGGCGTCGTAGATCAACAGCGCCATTAATGCTCTAGAAGATGGCGCCGCAAATAGACCGTGGTTCTTAGACATGAAACCGGGGCTCGAGCTGTCAATTGTCGGAAAGGCAATGGTTGGAGAGGGAGAAGGATTCAGCTCGGGTTCCCAGGGAGCCTGGACGCTTTGGACGCTTCATTTCCACCGGGGAAGCCCTAATGAGCAGTTAGTTCCGACTCAACAGCATGAAAGCTTGACATTTCAGGGGGCGCAGACAAGAGGAGGTAGGATACTTCAAGATCAGCATCAGAATACATAGCTGGTTCAACGTTGACAGTGACAAATTGATACTGCACCTTTATTGCCCCTGGGGCGACGTCTCGTGCCTGGCATTCAACGTCCAAATCTGACGACGATCACGCATACGTGTGGTTAAGTCGGGAGGATCCCCAGCTGGAGATCTTCATTGGTTTCCTTCTGGCATTCTGTCCCATCTTGCCAAAACTTTATACAGAGAGTCCTTCGTTCTTCGTCCTCCATCCTTCGTCCTCCGTCCTCCGTCATCCGTAGCTCAGTCTCTGTACTTAGTACATAATCAGTTAGGTGTCTTACTACCTACTAGGTAGTACTGGCAGTCAGTCCCCTGTCTCCTGTCTTAATACTCCCTAAATCTAGGGCACATTCTGACACGGCTGAAGAATAACTGTCACATAATGGTTGACGATACGATTGGTCAGATGAGCTTTTCCGGTCTTGAATAAACGGCTCCACAAATATGAAGCATTCCTTGTCCCGGGAACATAGGCATGGACGTCTTGACTGTCAACTCTCGAGTGTCCAGTTCCCTGAACGTGTCCCTTTCTTCAAAGTTATTTGTCTGATGATCGACAGTCCAATAGCTTCCTGACCCGTTCGGGTGAGGCAGACGTGCTCTCACTAACTCACTCTGGAAAGCTTGGAGTTTTCTATGAGAATTGAATGAAAAGCCCATGGGAGAAAGAAGGGGCTTGAGAAGTGATCGGACGGTCTGCTTCCCTATTGAGAAATGTATACATGGGAGGCATTTCCACCCGTGGGCAGTGAAGCGCTAGTCAGTTAGTCATCAGTCACATACTCCGTGGGTATCCCATAGACAGGGGCGCGTCTGTTTAGTCAAGTCTTGTGGCTGTTGGAAGAATGGAGACACGCGACCACTGTTGACGTCCAGTCTGTGTAGCAAGGCTGAATATTGCGTGGGAGGAAGTTGCTATTGGATTGGTCCAGGTAAGCCCAGTATATATGTGGTAGGGGGGGGAGCTTCAGGCACAGAGCGGAAATCTAACTTCGAGGAATATCCCAGTCTGTGCATGAGGTTGCCCCGGCGTCGGGGCTTCTCCATTCCCTGGCTAGCGAGATGAGAAGCCCCCTACCCACTGGATGGAGTTCTTAGTATTACTTATACCATCCCAGCCTGGTCTCCCTGGGTCAGTTCCGTTGAAACCAACAAGGATCTCGTCTGTCAAAGTTAATTCGAAAGAGGTGCCTTTTGTTAAGTCCATACACTCAATATGCCTCATAGAGATGCTATCCCATCCAATAGCTATAGAAGTGGCCATACCGACCAGGCTGTGGTGATCGATGACTCCATTGCCATCCGCCCCAACGACCCTCATGCAGTCTCGGATTTGCTTAAACAAATTGTTATCCAGGGCTTTTCGTTCAATGCCGACGCCGGGGCAGCCTCGCCCACTCGTATAAGTCTTCTGGATGCTGCTCGTTCGTTGGTTTACGCACTTGAAACGCCCCGAGAGGCTATGATCAGGCACTGTTGGTCAGAGGTGTGATCTTCCAGAACAAGGCAAGATATTACACCATGGGCTGAGATGCTGACCATGCTATCCGCAGAGCACGGCGTATGCAGCTATCGAGACCAGTATCGGTCTCGGTCTCTTCAAAGCCCTAGCTCAGAGGGAGCAGTCCATGTCTGCAACTGAGCTAGCGCATGCAACGGGTGCCGAGCCAGTGTTTTTGGGTGAGCTGATTTCAATTATACTGAATGCTCGTGGCCTTCCAAGCTAACAAAATGTTTTGCCAGCACGGATCCTCAAGCACTTGGCCGCTATGGGTGTCATCAAGGAGACCGGGGCCGACGAGTATTGCAGCACAGGATTCTCTAAGACGATGTCCATAGAACGATTTAGTGATGCTTATCCGTGCATGTGAGTCGAATGATACCCTTGTGTTGCGTCTCATACTCGTGAGGCTCACTGTATATCGTTTCACAGAACTGGATGCATCGCTGCTGGGTGTCTCGCCCTCCCTGAATACTTGAGGAAGAACGGTTATCGCAACCCCAGTGATGGACATGACACCCCATTCCAGCTTGGCTTCAGGACGGACCAACACTTTTTCGAGTACTTGCAAGCAAATCCCGTCATCGCAGGCCAATTCAGCAACCATATGTCGGCTTACCGCCAGGGTCGACCCAGTTGGATGGATATTGGCTTCTACCCGGTTAAAGAACGCCTGCTTGGAGAATCTAAGTTCGGATCTGACGACATCTTGCTTGTTGATGTCGGTGGGAGTCTGGGGCACGATCTGTCCGAATTCCGACAGAAGTGGCCCCAGGTCCCCGGCCGCTTGATCTTACAAGACCTCCCTGCTGTTACAGAAGGGGCGAAAGGGCTTGACACCACCATCGAGGTCATGGCTCACGATTTCTTCACCGAACAACCCGTCAAAGGTAAACAAAGCCGTGCTTTCCTTCTCCTGCAATTGAAAAGACTCAACTGAACACACCCTGTCTTCTAAGGTGCCCGGGCATACTACATGCACTCCGTTCTGCATGACTGGACCGATGACAACTGCCGTAAGATCCTGACCAACCTGAAGAACGCAATGAAGCCCGGATACAGCAAGATCCTGATCAACGAGAATGTTATCCCGGATACAAATGCCTATTGGGAGACCACCAGCCTGGACATCCTCATGATGAGCAACTTTGCCTCTCAGGAACGGACCGCGCGCCAGTGGCACGCTTTGGTGGAGTCGGTGGGCCTCAAGGTTGTCCAGATTTACACCGTGCAACGCGGCGTCGAGAGTCTGATCGAGTGCGAGCTGGCATAGCGAGCGGAACGAGTAGACACTGGACAGTATACTATAGTGACCCTAATGAATCAATCAGCGAAGCTTCTTTCTCTTTTGAAGACACTTGCCTTACGTGCTGGAAGTAGAAAACAGATAAACGGAGTGCGTTTGTTGTCAGAGTTGTTGTTGTTGTTGGTTGAGATGGAGCGGAAGGAACGTTATCGCGGGATGGTTGGAGCCTCAGGCTCTCAGGCCTCCACAAAAGTACAAACCGAGCAAACATGCCACTGCTCTTTCCTGAAGCAGAAAGTGCGCTTCTCCGGATGGTTCTTACGTTCTTACCTGGACCTCACTGCTTGGTTATCGCTCGGTAAAGGCTTCCAGTGCACTGACTTGGCAGGATTATGAATCACAGAGTCAAGGCAGTCTAGGGAAGCAGCCGTTTCAGTGATGAGGGTCAAAGAGGCCTTACGAGCACGTTCCATGGGCTCTTGGTGGTATGTGCCAGCCGCAGCTGCAGCCGCAGCTTTTGTGTCTAGGGAAGTCCTGGCTTATGGCAGAGCGTGTTGGGATTTGGGAATAGGATGGTGGCTGTTGGTAGGTAAGTTTGAAGCTGATGATACTACCTCTCATGGCTATATTAACTGCTGGTCGCAGAATTATACAACGATAGTGAAACATTTACGGCAATGCTCTACTTACCGAGTGCAGATATTTGGTCCCTGAGGAGAACAATGTACTAGTAGTGGGCTGGTCTGAGCTTGTGTCTGAAGGATCCAAGTCTGTAAGCCTGGCAGTCAAAGCGTTGGTTTGTTATATTGCCGAAAAAAGACGCTGAGCACGGATGCTCGCCACTCCCTGACAGTTGCTTTATTAAATGACGATCAACAACTACCAGAGTTTCTTGTTCTTTCTTGGAGTCCCCCTCCACAAGTCAGTTGTTAACAGGGTTGGCATTTGCTGAATCCTAACCGCCTGCTGCCAGCAGATTAATAATAATAATCAGCAGCCTGATCAGCATTGGTACCTTTGTTTTTGCACAATATGCCGTGGATTATTTTGTACCATGTTGACCTTGCTGGCTGAAGATGAGAGAACCAAGCATGAGTGAGGCCTATGCTATGTGCTGAGCCGCCCTGAAGGCTATATAAACCTTGAGTCATTTCTGGCAGCTATAACTTGATTTCGCCTCTAGGCTCGTGCAGGAAGTTCTGGACAGTACCTAGAAGGAATGTCCCGGAAGAAATGCACGTTTCGATGGATTACTATCTGTTGAGCTAATCATTCACATTGAAGGCAAGTGTTTCTGAGGATATGACTCAGAAATGACCAACATCTATGGCAGTAACTATGAGGATCACAACTGATGACCGAAGACTATCAACAACAAGACTTCATATCAGGAAAGTCAACATATACTACTGCCAGTAGAGTCCAGAAAGTGTTGGTCCGTCTACTCGCTGAGAGGCGTGCATCCAATCGAGACAACGCCATTCTCCTAATCTTAGCAACGAACAGCAAGAAAAGAAACGAAGAGCCAGTGTTGGTACATACATAGTCATTATTCGCGCACCACACGGCTTCACCAGAGCAAGAGCTGTCATCGCTATCATCTGGAATATCGGTGCCTAATCGATATAATTAATATAAGATGAAGGATAGTTTCCACACATAGTCTTACAATTCACCCCCACCGGAACAGCGACACCTTGAATGACTATCCCCGCAGCAGTCAGCCCAGCCGCCACTGTTGCGTTGTCGGGCGTTGCGACGAGGGCACAGCATTGAGAAACTCCCACAACAGAGCAGTGGCAGTCATCTGCTAGGGCGAGGGAGATGGTCAACATCATGACAAGGAGAGAGCGGTACATGGCAGTTTAATGAAGGACAAAGTAACTTGACTGAACCTCAACTAGGTATACTTATAGCTATAGTAATCTTATACTTTCCTTATGCAAGGGGTTTTAGGGTTCTGATAGATTTGATATTGGGCTAGTCTGCTGTATATCTAGACATGATTAGTATATTTGGATAAAACATGTCTATTAACTACTACCTAGATATATGAAGAAGCTATATGATACAGCTACAAGGATTAGATACATAATAAAGTATCTATGTTAAGGCTATATCTCCTTAACAATACTCTATACATTGTATAAACCACTTAATACCAGAGCATTGTTAATGGAGATAGTACCAAAACCGACTAGGTGGTATTGGAATTCTACGTGGGATCGACAGTAGATAGACAAGATATTCATCATTCACTAGTACCTAGATAACGGGTCGTACGGACTGGCCGGCGCTTTAAGCCGCCTTGTAGATGAGACTGACCGAGTACAGGTCAATGGAAGAGTCCGAGTTGGGAAACCGCAGATCCAGCGACACGCAGATACCCGTCGGCGGGCGATAGGCGTAGCTGGCGGCCTCGGCGGTGATGAAGTCGATGTGGAAGGTGCTAGTGTTGCTCGTGTCCGTCTTGACCACCAGATGCTTATCATAGTAGAGAGAGACCGCGTTGACCCTGGCGTCGTTGGCGGAGTTGAGATCGAGCAGAATGTTCTGCAGGGTCGCGCTCTTGGTCAACGAGGGCGGGTTGGGAATCGGCACATGCACGACGCCCTGTTTGGTGCTGGCGACATTCTGGTCAAACGCGGCCGGCTTCAGCACCGCCTGGCCGGGCAGGTAGCTCACTGCGGTCTTGCTGTTTGCATCGGAGACTGCTGCGTTGCCGTGCGCCGTCACGGGCTGGTACTCGATGATGTAGGCCTCCGTGGTGCTGGTGACTATCACGCCGTCACCCCCGCCGATGGTAGATGCTCGTGACATGGTTTCTTTCTTTCTTTTTTTTTTACCTTCTTTGGCTTCTATGGAGGGTCGAGTAGATGGGTAACTGGGTGCTTGAGGTTGACGAGAGAGAAATCTTAGGTGAACCCAGAATACTTATACTTTCGTCGCGCCATGATCCTCTGACCTCCCGGACAGTATCACTCATCCGAATCAATCAATCAGCGTGTGGTTTGAAGTCTGTCCTCTCAAATTGATGGCTGAGATATATTGCCCTCATCTATGAGTCGTCAGTGAGCAAGCTGCAGATACGAGGGGCCAAGAGACAAACAGGAAACAAAAAGGAACCATACTATTTCTCCATCTATGGTCTCTGGATGAAAGGCTTCCATCCTCCACTGAAATTCCCTCCTCCCATCCCGGAGGGTTTGTCTCGACCCTGGTGTTATTCGTCTCGACGTAGAGTCTGGCCATTCATCGCCAAAGCCACCAATTATCGTCAATAATGCAAGTATGCTGTGATGAGGAGATGGTATTCTATTGAAAAATCTGACGAACCGGGTCAAGAAAGTTCATACAGCTGAATGAGGATGTTAACGGAGGGAAGAAATTCTTTACGGTGAGGAGGATTTGGCCCGAGGAGTCAGTATAGCAGCCTCAGGCACACAGGCACACAGGCTCCGCGGCTACCCAGATACATATAAAGCCATTCTATTCTCTATAATCAAGACTGTTTGCTCTATACAATGCAACCTCGCGCGCCGATAGCAAACAGCTGGATTCTAGGCTGGGTTCAAATGCCCCGCTCGACTTCCACATAGATTCTGCTTGTGGCGAGCTGAATTTTGATTCTATTGTCCTTGCGGAAGAGTCATTATTGGAATGGTGCTAGCCAGTTCGTGTTTCGTGGCACCCCTGGAGCTATAAGATGCCTATCTAGCAGATAGCAATACTAGACAAGCATCCAAGTACCATAGCCAAAGCCAAGGATTCAGCACACATGCAACCGAAATATCCCAAGAGAATTCCTTGTTCTCCAGTCAGTATGGAGGAGCACGAATAGCAAGACAACCACAGCACATACCCCTCATTTGATAGACAGATTAATTATCCGAAAGCAACGTCATCATAGAAATGACTGACAATCAATGGGTGAAGCATGCAGTTCTCCCTGCCACCGTCCGAAATGACTTGGCTTTCCCCCTCTCTTCATTAAAGCAGCTGGAGGTGGTTTGTGCCTTCCTGTTTGGTCCAAGTCCTGCAGGGGATGGCTCCTTCCCGACTCGAATAGCGACTAGACCACAAAAGGGACCATCACGTGAAGACTCGATCTCCTTGAAGTTTTTTTTTTCTCTCCTTCACAGAGTGAGTGACTCTTATCTCTGGTGAACGATGCCGGAGCGACCAGTCAGTCCGCTGCAATGGGCATCCGCATGACCAGCCTAAATAAACTGCCGCTCCGCTTCTTGGATTCGATTTCCAAGCGGCCATCATAGTGGGAGAGGACGTGTGAGACGAGCGTGAGCCCGGACCCCAAAGGACTGGACGACCGATGGCCAGGGGACTGTAGGGTAAGTGTCGGCGGCTGATGGGTAGGCTGGAAACCGGTGATAATCGTGTTGACTGCACCAGACAATCTTGCTAGAGATCCCGAGGAAATGCCCCTGCCGGTATCCCGGACCGAGATGGCCATCTGACAGACACCGGACAAGTCAGCCGCGCCTGCGTATTCCAGAGTGATGGTGCCCTTGGTCGTTGCAGTGAAGGCATTGGTCAGAATGGCAGCGATCGCGGACTGCAGATAACGTCGATTACCATGAACATAGACCTCCGTGTCTTCTTGCATTAGCAGCTGAAGCCGGATATGTTTGCGGTCGGCCTCTGCCCGGAACAAGGACAGCACGTTGCCCAGTGATTCTCGCAGACCAAAGCGTGAGTATTGGATGTCCAACAGCTCCTTCTTACTCTTGGTGAGATCGGTCAGATCGTCAATCAGATTGAACACTGACTTGGTCATGAACGAGGCCTGCGTGAGGCAGTGCTGGATGCCTGGGTCCAGGGACTTCTCCAGCGCTAGTTCGAGATAGTTGATAACTGCGTTCAACGGCGTGCGCAGCTCATGGGCCGAGTTCTTCAGCAAGAGCTCTGTCATCCGCGTCTGCCGCACGGTAGCTTCGTTTTCGCGCCATACTTCGATGAATAGAGTAAAGAGGAAGCTGAGAGCTTCTGCGTGCTGGAGATCCGACTCCTGCCAGTCTGGCCCCGGAGTCTGGTTGAGGATCACATGGATTTGGAAGGCCTCCACTGGCTGAGACGCAGGGTCAAACCCTTGCACTGTTCGGTGCCTGTACGGATCCTGCACCCAGCTCGACTTCTTTGACTCACATTTTCGAAAGAGAACCATGCAATCAACTTCGCCGGCTGAGATGGGAATATACAGGTACCCTGAAACGGGGCTGTTCTTCATTCCAAACTCCTGCTGCAGGCTGTTTGAACTTCGCACGGTCCAGATCTGCATTCGTTTGAGACGGTTCAACCATTCAAAACACTCTGTTGGAAGTGCTGCCTCCCGCCTGGAAAGAAGCCGGATCTCGTTTCCAATCGAGATCACACCAAAGTCGGCCATAAAGAGGTCTAGCAACCCTTCTGCCGAGGACAAGATCTGGCCTGCCAAATAGGGCTGAGGTTCGGGGAGAGAGAGGGTTTTGGCCTCAGGTTCGTGGGTCAGTCGCTCAATGTTCATGGAGATGCTATTACCGACCAGAATGCAATTCCTCAGCGTCATGAACGGCACTCTTTCTTCCCTTTGCCGGTAGGAGTGGCACACAATCAGGCCCCAGAGTCTATCTCGAACTTTGATGCTGATGCAGATGTTACTCTGAACACCCATCGACGCTAAATAACCCAGTTGGAACGGGTGCATGGCGCGAAGGTATGTCGAGTTCATAATCACAGATGGGTCAATGGCGACATTTCCTTCTTGGCGATAGAAGAGCCCAAAAACGGGTGCTGTGCGGTCGTGTAAGAGGTGAATTCGGTTGTGCTCATACACGTCACGCATCTCCTGTGGTAGAAACGTCGCCGGGAAATGCAGGCCGTTGTAGCTGGTTTGTCCTGCACCCGGACCCTTGGCTTCGGTCATCACCTGACCACTCCAATCTGGGTGAAACTGATATATCATCACATGATCGAAGCCCGTCATCCCGTGAATCAGAGTTGTGGCGGTCTCCAACAGCTGTTGTACATCATTGGTGTGTAACAGTCGGTCGTCTGCTTTGGATATATTCCCAATGAGGCTACAGAGCGACTTCTGATCCGTCCGACGTCGACGAAGACGCGGTCTCGGGGTGATCTCTGCGGGGGCGCATTCCGGAGACGAAGGGCCCTCCTCTGACGGGCTGCAGCGCCCCCCTGTCTCTTCAGGGGCTGCCGAGCTCTCTTGCTTTTCGAATTCACAAAGAATCAGATCCTGTTGTCGACTGATGACACACCACAGCGGTCGGGTAAGTCCGGTCGGGAGCTGGATATCCAATGGCCACACCTCCAACCCGGATGCACCTGGGTCAAGCTCTGGATCCAGGATAATTGTGTTGATATGGTTGAGGAAGAAATCCTTCTGCGAATCCGCCACGATGTCAATAAAGCTCAAAAGGCCAAAAAGTGCTGCAGGTTGGTATCCTAGAATATCGAAGGCGTTCTCGCTAACCACGTCCACGGGCAGATGGATGGCATCGTTGCTCTGATTTGGTCGCAGCGCCACCAGGGCTCCAAAACTCTGAATGTTCCCGGGACCTAGAGTAAATTCTGGACAAGTCTTCTCCTGTTGCGCTGGGCGGGGTTGGGCGTCGAAATCATCGCGGCTCGGCTCTCTATTGTCTTGAAAGTCCCCATTATCATTTTGGCCGTCACCAGTGCGCTCCGTGTAGCTCTGCCGGATCAGCCTGTTGATCCAGGGGGCGCCAGACACGGCGCTGGCGGACATGGCATGCATGCGTTCTGTCTCATGGGGCGAGGCGATATGATGCTGAGAGAATGTCGAAAAACCAGAGAACGGAGCCGTTGGGAGAAGTGTAGGTGGGATGTTCAACTACCCCGTACCTTACTTAAGCTTAGGTACCTAAACACACCTAGGAAAAGTAAGGTTCTCTATTTTTCTTGATAAGGATAACCCTTTTGCAGATACTTCGTGGGCGCATCGAATCAGCATCCAGCGGGTCCCCAATGAAGAGCGGAACTTGCTTCCTTGGTTAATGATTGGTGATGAAGCAGGATTCAAGTCGAACATGTCATCCAGTCAGCTGGCGGAGTGGATCTTGTGGTGATCTGATAGGCGTTCCAGTATCCCTGTCATCTGTGGTCCGCCAATAGAGCCATGCACGCTCACGATCGGCGATATCAGGTAAAAGGTTAGTAACTTAGTAAGAAAAGTCAACCACCTTGATTCTCGACCATGATACATTGACTGTGCAGGACGACGCATCGCTGATTCGATGGTGAGTTGATCCTTTTCTTTCTCGGAACTGTAGACGCGAGAGGTATCCAGTACCGGAAGCGAGGCCTGTTCAGTGGACGGCTGAAACCCGAGTATTTGGAAGCTGTGGAGGTGACTTGGCAGTCTACGTACTGGCTACCCTTGGCACCGGGATCGTTCTAGGAGATATTTTCCTCTGCTTATTCTGTATAGATATCAGATTTCATGATTCTCCGAGGCTGTACGGAGTACTCCGTATACCATCATACTGGATGTGTTATGCAAGTATTGCAGTGAAGAAATACACTGACCAATAATTATCAAACATTATATATAACTAGTAGAAGATAGTAGAAGACCATGCTTATCACCGAGTATCTCTAGTTGCCTGAAGGTCAAGATTAACTCGTTGCCTGAGGCTGAGTGTGGTTGATGAGCTGCTAATGGGGAACCACAAGTCCCAATAGATATTGGACACCTCCATTTTCCATATGACATGGGGAAGGATCTACATAAGTATAATATTCATCAACTGTTGGCCCTTGTCTCATCTCGCTGTGGAGCTTGATCCGATCTCCGATGATCCTGGATACTTCAGGATCGCTTAAGCTACCTTTTAATTGGTTTAAAGCCAGTCCCTAGTCAATTAGCTAGGTACTCCGTAGTTAGTTAGGGGTATAGATTATACTCCGTTGTTATTGTGTGCTAGGCAGCAGACTACACATGCTGTTATTTATTTCCTCTTTTTCCTTTAATTGTTCTATTTTTGAAAAAGAACACCTGCAGTAATGGACATCTCTCAGTCTCGCAGACTCCAAGCATTTGACACACTCCCCCCGGAAATCCTCTTACAGATCCTTGGATATCTCAATCGTCCCTGGAAGGAAGACGATGGGCCCGTCACTGGCCGGATGGACGTCAAGAGCCTGCGTCTGGTCTCTCGCTCGTTCGCCGCAGTGAGCGCCTCGATCTTGTTCCAAGACCTCTACATCTCGCGCTGTTTCGAACGGCTGGAGATCGTGCAACGTGTCGCCCGGGATCCCGACTGCGCCCACGGGGTCAAACGCCTCGTCTGCCATGGAGGGCGATATGGGCCTCGATGTCTGGAGTGGGCAGATTGGCGAAGCGAGGAGTTCTATAACCTCCACATATCTCGGTGCGATCAGTGTATGCCCTGTTGGCAGGTTCACACCGAAACAAATGATATCCCTCCCAGTATGAGGGACCAAGACGCCCAGAAACACCTGGGGCAGTGCGCAGAAGAGCATCTGGGGGCACACCTTAAGCTCTACCAGAAGCTGTACAAGGACTGGTTGGACATCGTCAAGAAGGCTCTCGACTACCAGTGTCTGGTGGAATCGTTGCCGGCCTTCCCATCATTGCACACCGTCATATACCGGCCGTCCATGCCCGACCGCTACCCCAAATCCCCAGAGGATCCCCCGCCCTGCCGAATCCCGGAGATTCCTCTGTCAGCTCCCCGGTTCTGGCGAGGGAAGGAGCGCTTTCAAGATGCAGTCCATCTCCTAAGGGCAGTGGGGGGCGCGGCTAACAAAGTCACAGCCCTTGATGTCGTCGTGAATGCTGACTTCCTCGACCATCTCCGAAGGCTGCCTGCAGAGGAACTTGCACAAATTGTCTCCCTCTTCAGTCGGTTGCATGAGTTGCATCTATGCATTGTCACGGAGGAACTGATTTTCAGTCGCCCCTTGCCATCAGGTGTTCTAGACAAGCTGCTCGGTGCAGCTAAGCAGCTTCAAGTTCTCGATCTCTCTTTCTCCGCCGAAACCAAACAGGACTTGGTGACTGTCGCCCCACGGGGTTACTTCAGTGATATGCCGCTGAGCGGATGTCTCGGTCCAGCGGCGTCCATGACGACACCCGATCCGTTTCCTCATCTGAAGTCGCTCTTGCTCGCGGGCCTCTCCATCACTGGTGAAGAGCTCATCGCGTTTCTATTGGCGCATCGGAAGTTGCAAGTCCTGCATTTTGATTCTCTTATCCTCAATGGCGGCCAGTGGGCCATGGTAGGAGCCGCAGCTGCTCTCCACCTTCCCTGGACCGAGTTGAAGTGCAATCGCTTGATACAAACTGATTCCGTACATCAGATCAGTGTCCCAGAAGAATGGCGCAAGTCACCCGAATGGCATGAGGGCTTCGATTACGGGATCTTTTTCAAATTGGACGAGTCTGGCTCAATGTCAAGGAGCCGCTAGTACCGCAAGCCTGTTGACTTAGCATAGGAATCACTATATTCTCTCTTATAACTTCCCAAGTAGTTTGAGTGGACGCCTCGTCCTGCCCAAAAAGAAATCAGAGCAGCACGCGATCACTGGCCACCTTGGTCACTCTCCTGTCGTTGACCACGACGACAGAAATTGCTGGAGAGATCGTCGTTGAATGTCTGCTTCCATAAACGGAACAAGTCGTCTGTTGCCCAAATCAAGAAAGGCTTGTCTCACCTCCGAGCGAGTTCCGTTTGCCACCCTCATATCTTGCCTTCCGTTGTTTTGAATTGCACGCGACCACTTGCGGAGTCTGAAAGGTGAAGCGTGGTGAAGAGTAAGCTTAATGCCTTCGGTGTAGCAGTACCGGGCACCGGTGCTCCAGATGTGTGTCCCTCAGAGCCGTTTGTCTGGCACACTGTCATGCCACTATCAGCTCTCTGTACGAAGATATCAAGCTGACCGGCAAGGAGGAGACAAAAGTGGTGTCAGCCTAAGACTGGAACGCCGCCTTGATGTGTTATTCACCGTCCATGTCGGCCCTCTACCACTGATTCTAACAGTGGTTGATCACGGTAAGGCGACCGAATGTTATTGCAAGGCGAGCGCTTGTACGCTTCTCAGAGGGCCTGATGTTGAATGCATTGATCTGCATGATTTTATTTTTTCAGAGCTTTTGCTAGGCACTCGGAGGTATTAGTTAACCTTATACGCCACGTAATGGTAGGAGACTTATCGGGAAGAAGTTATTGTACCGACAGAGTCAACGCTTTCGAACCAAGAACATATGAAACAGGAAGACGAGGGAGACACTAATGGCCACGTCCTCACGCGTCAGCTCCCAAGTATATCGCGTCAACATTGCCGAAAATGATACCCATCGCCGACTCTCCTAAAGGCGGGCTGGGGGCCGCTCTGGCTAAAAGTTTATATCAACGCGGTCATCACCACCGGCCGTAACCCGAAGCAAAGAAATTGGATCATATCATTTCGAATCGGTGGGTATCGACACGGCCTATGGTCCGCAAAGTCGATACAGGGCGTGCGCGGCGACAGTATTGGTGCGCAGGAACTCCGCACGGGACATGCTGGTCAAAAACGCCAGTGTCTGTCAACATTATGGTAGATGAGTGCGCGTCGTCGTCTTCGATTTACGTGTCTGGGGGACATGAGTTGTCATGCAGCAGGGATCTTGCCTTTCTGCTTCAAGAGAACAAACGGGATGCGGCAAACATCGCGAACAACACCTCCCCTGACTTCCTCGTTGATTCCCAGGGCTTTGTCTTTCGGTGCCTATAAAATGCCTTATTGCTGGCGGCACTCAGGAAGACCGATATCCTAGAGCTCGAGCAAGCATCGCTCAACAGCCCACAGTATTGAACCTCAGGTAGGGTAAACGTGTATTCGAAAAGAACGAGATTGGGCAGCGGAGCCGCGTCTATCTACCAGCCAGACGCCAATGTGATATTCAAGGACCGTGAGAGGGTCGCTCTTCAAACAAATGAGTGCCGATCGCATCGTTTGGGTGCCGCAGGTCGAGGCACGAACGCGTGGACCGTCCGGTTTGCACATTGATTTCTACCTCGCTCCTATCTCAAAGAAATCCCAAACATTGATCAAGAGCGACTGAAGCGACAGAACAGTAGGCATGATCCATTCACCGTGTTTATGATTGAGTGAGCTGTGGTTTGAGCACTGGTTATAATTAGCAGTACAGGGAGGGATACTTAGTACTTGGCTCTCCTTCGTACTGTACTCTGGACTCTGGAGTCAGTCTCAGCTCTGTCGTGCGTAAACGGCCCCTCAGCCCAGCGGACCGGGGCGGCTTGACCAGCCGGGGGGGAGATTGACTAATGTTTCGTACCTGGTCAATCGAAGTCAGCATCGGTTGTTCATGTCTCCGTCGGACCAAAATCCTCCATCTTGAACCGCGTGGCTATGTAGCAACTACTCCATAGACTCCATACTTACTAAGGCGTGTGTCCACTTTCCCGCTGTGGCTTTGCTGTGTAATCGCAGCTAACGTATGCGCTCGGGACACTGCGGGTCTGGTTATCACAGAGAGCGCCTGACGTATCATGATATTTTTAGTTGATAACCAATGCCGGGTATTCCACCCTCCGGAGTCCGTACTTGATACAGACTGCTTATGCTCAATTTAGTACCGCTTGTCACGTCGACTCCATGGAAGGCGAGATGATCCACGGAAGGTTGGCTTGCGTCAGCCCCGTCAGGTACCGTGTTGATGACGACGCCACCGATATCAGATTGGACGCAGGGGCGGGTGTCTCCTCCACGCGGCTTGCGTGGTCCGAAAGCTTGGAGGTGTGGCGATCACCGAAACGCGCATCTGACGAAAGAGACAGGGTAGACGAGGTGATTCAGAAATTTGTATGCCTGGAGGGGGTCGGGAGGACATATAAACAGCACAGTCCTGAAACATTCCATGGTTCGAAACACACAAACCATCGATAGTTGTCTCCTGGAACATTTTGTTTCCCTGGCTCATCCATAAAACTTCATACTATACTTCATCTCGCAAAAATGGCCTTTGATTCCGGTTCATCCACCCATTCCCGCGGGGACAGCGTCAAATCGACCCTGCAGAGCAAGGCGGACCCCAATGTCGCACTCAGGGAAGCACAGCCTAGTATGTCCTATATTCTCTTTCTGTCTTCTTGGTCTTCAGGCCTGCAGATTCTGACTGACGATCTCAAGTGGATCATTTCATGGTCAGCACAACCACATTTTCCTTACGGTCGATGCAGTTCAGGGACCGAAATGGAAATATCATCAGTGAGTTTAGCCGCGTCCGAACGATTGTTTTTGAATCTACTACTGACAGAACCAGCCGATCCAGATCACTCAAACCCGACCCGGGCACGCCTGGAGAGGCCATTGGAGACCATCATGTCTTTCCAGAGAGACATTGAGTCCCACCATCGACAGGATGTGATGGCGACCCGATAAGGGAAAAAGAAGGGAATGGCGAATGTGCATTTTAGGGTTTATTTGTTTTTTTGAGTCCATACTTCGAGCGAGCGATGTTTGATGCCAAGTGATTTTTATGCCAATCGATTTGCCTTTTCTCCAAACAGGTGTTTTGTTTTGATATCAAAACTGTCTGTAGGATGGATCATCACTGATCAGTGTAAATCTCTCCTGTTTTGATGGCTTGATGGTATATCTTTTGTCTCATCTGTGTGGAGAAAGTGCACCGACCGCTTTGCACATCCTAAAATCTAGAACAAGTCAAGAGGCTTCAACATGGGTCTGATCTTCAGGGTGGCCCATCTTGAATGCACTGATGTTCTGTCATTAGTCGAACAACAGGACAATCCTTGTCTTACCTGAGCTGTTGCGGGGAGAGATCCCAACCACTGCAGGGTTTATCCATATTGGCGTAAGGCACTCCAGTGTCAAACGAAAAGCCCAAAAAACGGGTAGAGCGAATGAGGCAAACCCGGTCTTGGAGTAGCACAGCCAATATTGCCCTCAGCATGTCGTATGTAGTACAATGCTCCATACCGTTCCTATGGGAGGTCTGCTGAAATGGGAACCTGGACAAGGGGACAGCGATGAATGAACGGCTCAAAAAGACAAAGATATCTAGACAGATGATCTTGTGGGTTCCTGTGCCCTCGTACTCCATCGTATTTCGTCATCGGCCCCTCGATTGGGTCCTTCTTTGCTCTTCTTGTTCTCTGACTCAAAGTCTGTTTGTGTGACGCCTTGATACGACTCTCGATTCAATCCTTGCCCTTCCAAGCAGGGTCGGCTGTGAGAAAGAACAAAAAGAGGCAACCAGACAGCGATCGCCGTGGAGTTGTTGCATATTCTCGTAGGAAGCTGCTGCAGTTGTATTCATGAAGGAAGGTTGGGTCAGTAGTTGGAGGTCTCAGGCAGCAACAGCGCCACGTGATAGACAGAAAGGCAGTCTGTCTGGAAGAGAACGAACAATCAACTGGGATGCCTTTTGAATTCTTTCAATTTTATAATGGCCTTGATCGTACATATCGCCTGGCATTCGTATAATCAAATCTTTGCAGGTTATACTCAGTGATTGTTCTGTATGTTTACAAGTTTTCTCTTCAAGTAATATGTAGATACCCGTGTGCCAAGGTGTGGTGATAGTGAAGACAAGAATACCATAATATTCAGGCTATCTAGTCAATAATTCTAAACCGAAAGCTATAGAATCTATGTACTGATGAGACGACAGACTTGCCGCCATGAGAAACGCGCGAATGAATTCAAGGATCCAATGCGGGAAAACTCGCTGGGTAGATCGAATCGTCAAATCTGTCAATGCTGGAAAAGCCCCAGTAAGGGGAGGCCCAGATTGCAGATGTTTGGACGGTCATGATCACCAATTTCAAGGGATTCGCCTATCAGCCATGACGAATCCCCCTTTATTTCACAAGGAAGAAAAGTTGGTAAGCTTGGTCGCATACCAGGCCTGTGGAGATAGTACCAGAGCCTGGCAGAGCGGGCAGGCCTGCTCGGAGCAGACACCGAAGCTGTGTACGAATCGAAAATGACAGACTTGTCGCCTGTCGGGTCCGAGTGAGAAGTGGAACCGTAATTCGACGGTTGGTGGGTGGAGGTGGACAGTCCGGGAACGGAACTGTGAGAGAGAGGGAGAGGAAGAAAGAGAGTGGTCGTGAAAGGCAGTGTTTCAATTACAACTGCACTGTGTTGTTCAAGATCATGACCTCCTCGCCCGGCTTGAATGCCGGAAGGCCAATGAAGGGGCAGCCATCACATCTGAAAGCATCGCCCAGGGAGCAGTTGTTGCACGAGCTCGTCTTGCCGGCCACGGTGAAGTCCAATTCTTCATCGTTTAGATCGGTCATGTTTAGTTTGAACACGTTCAAGTCTTCGTCGGCTTTGGCTCGGCGCTCTTGGTCCTCGGCTTCGAGTCGAGCGGCGAGTCCGCAGGTGCAGTCCTTGCATGCACGTCGTCTCTTCTTGGCGACCTCTGGGCGGCAGTTTGCGGCTATGGAGTTGTGAGTAAAATGGTTTATAGCATATGTGCAGTACATATGCGCTAGACAAAGGCGAACTGACCTTCTTGCACGGGTGGTCTCTTGAGATCTTCCTCGGATAGCAAGTCATCCTCATCGATCAACTCATCACCGTCCTTGTACTCGCCCAGATCATTGCTAGGCAAAATCGGTCGCTTGTTCAGAGTGACAGCGCCCCCATTTTGAGCAGCAGCAGTAGCAGTAGCAGTAGCAGCAGCAGCCGGCTTCTTCTTCCTTCCACCCAGTCGCAGCGGGACAACAGTCGCCTCGTATACCATCTTCTCGAAGACGCCATCCTTCTCCACCAGCCCCGCCAAGATTGCTTCGCGTGCGTCATTTTGTCCCAGCCGGCCGTCCTGCAGCTGAAGCTTCGCACCGGACTTCATGGCAGGGACCAGGGCGTTGAAGACATCCCGGCTGAGCAGTTGGAGCGCCTCGGCCCGATAGGCCCCGTCGGCATCCGTCAGAACCAGCACGACATCGTACGCAGCCTGAGGCAGCGAAACCAGGCCGGCAGACAGGCGGTCCAACATCTGCAGATCGGTGGTCGAGCGGTCAAAGCTGGTAAAAACGCGGCGGAGTTTCTCTTCGTGGGCGGCGATGGAGGGGGGTGCGAGGAGGAGGTTGCGTGACTGGTCGGCGGGGGCCTTCTTGGAGGCGAACACCGGGTCAAAATCGACCGTGGTGTCGATCATGACAGGGAAGGACGGCATGCTGGCTGTTTGACTGTCGTGAGACACAGGAAAGAGCGATTCGTCGTCGACTCGTCGGACGTGGAGGGGCAGATAGATTGCTGAAGCAGGGTCGTATTTCAAATCGCCGGTGGGGGGGCAAAAGAAAGATTGTCACCGCTCTGATTACTAATGGCTGGCTGTCCGAGGTCGGCGCCAACAGCATAGTGGAGCGGCGCTGGTGCCTGAGAAACAAGGCGGCGACACCCCGCCAATCGCCCGTTCTCGCAGGGTCAGCACGGCGATCGCTCCTCCCCAGGTCCTTTTCCCTGCCCTCCGGTTGGGCATCGAAGGGCTTGGATGAGCCATCATCTTCGGCAGTTTTGTTGAGCCTTGCAGCACTGAGCGACAGGCACCACACCCGCCCCTAGGGGCCTAGCTGAGTTTTAATCCACATCGTGTGAGCGCCGAGCAATCGTATGATGCTTGTTGGTTTACTGACGATTTGCATATACGCAGTACCGAGCCCCTGAATATTCTCCAACCTTTTCCCAAGGCTAAGAGTGCGACAGTATGAACCATATCAAGCTGTTATGATTATCTACTACTACATCATCTGTGATCAGTTCCATCCTACAGTCAGAATCGTTTCCTCCCTATTCACTGTATTAATGGTCTCTTCTCGCCTGCTTCTGATTCCCGGCCGAGAATAATCTGCTACTCTGTATATCGCCAGGTACGGAGTATAGGATCGCCGATCATCTAATTTTCTAGGGTCCACCGATGGCGAGTTGTATGATTCTAGAATTGAATGTGTTCACTGTTGACTGAACCAACGTCTAATTGATGTTTCAATGGGTCTGAACCCTTTCAATCGGCCTTGACAGGCGCAGCACAAAGATTACACATGAGAAGGACTGGGAAAGGGGTCACTATAGATCAGTAAAGGTCTTCTTTTCATTGTAGTACTCTGTCTGTACCTAGGTAGTGCAGACACTTACCAAGTACTCATACACCGCTTCTCAATCTCACTGATCTAGCGCGAAAAATCCCACATCAACAAATAACCTTCCATTTCCAAGAGTTCCCAAGAATCCTTAAAATAAACCAGGCTACAGCATGCCACAACTCAATGCCAGACAAATCGTGGCGTCGGGGACGGCACTCCCGGGCTGTGGTGTGATCTCCCAAAGCGGGAAAGACCGCGCCTTCATCTCCCACGAACGGGGACAAATCGCACGACTAAACAGACCATCCAATATCCATCTCACTACCGACCCAACAATGGCCCCAGGATCCAAATCGCCCCCCCCCCCTGCCCTGCCTCGCCACAGCTGTCCCCGCACGGTTGAGATGGCAGACCAAGACTCGGTTGTGGACATTCCGGATGGGTTGACCAACCGGTACGCAGAATCCCGGCAACAGCCTATACACGGGGGGCTGCTTATTTGAAGAATATATTTGACGGCTAGGGCAGTCGGTGGGAGAAGGGGATTCTTTTTTCTGAAACAACCAGAACCGCTGGGGTCGCGACAGCAGACGGGAAAGGACTCACCTCTACACTCTTCATCCATCACCATGGACGCCAACGCCACGCTGGCCGCCCCTTTCGGCATGGAGAACCCGACCTACTCGGGGCTGACGGCGTTTGCGACGCAGCATTTCCCTGAGCTGTCGAATCTCGAGCGGCTTTGGTGGGCTCACTACGCATACTGGAACAGCGACATCATCGCTACAGGTTTGTCCTCTCTTACTGCTCTACTGCTACTGCCACTGCTATTGTTGGTGCAAGTCTAACGAGATAGGCCTGATTACCTTCCTTTCACACGAGATCGTCTACTTCACGCGCTGCTTCCCATGGATCATTGCCGACTCGCTGCCGAGCATCTTCCGCAAATACAAGATCCAGGACCAGAAGATGCCCACGGCGGCCGACCAGTGGGCCTGCACGAAATACATCCTGCTCATCCACTTTGTGGTCGAGCTGCCGCTCATTGTCTTCTTCCACCCGATGATGGAGTTCTGCGGCGTCCACTTCGACATTCCCTTCCCCACGATCCGCGCCATGATCCCCCAGATCATCATCTTCTTCCTCGTCGAAGACACCTACCACTACTGGATTCATCGCCTCATGCACTGGGGCCCGCTCTACCGCTCCATTCACCGCATCCACCACCAGTACGCCACCCCGTTCGGCTTGGCCGCCGAATACGCCAGTCCCTGGGAGACCCTCGTTCTGGGCTTCGGCACTATCGGACCCCCGCTCGTCCTCGGCTACTTCACTGACAATGTCCACCTTCTCACTGTCATCATTTGGGTCACCCTGCGCCAGTTCCAGGCCATCGACTCCCACTCGGGTTACGATTTCCCCTGGAGCATGCGCCACTGGATGCCCTTCTGGGGCGGCGCCGACTGGCATGACGATCACCACCGCTACTTCTGGGGTAACTACTCCAGTTCCTTCCGCTGGTGGGATAGTAAGTTTTGGAGTATTCTTCGTAGATGCAGAGTGTCCAGTGCTAATACCGTCTCTAGTTATGATGGGAACCGTCTCCGGCCCGGACGCCAGGAAGAAGAGACGCGCCGCCAGGGAGGCCAAGCTGGCGGCACAAACCAAAACGGAGTGATCTTTCTCTTCTATCTTCTATCTTTCCTTGGATCGCACTTGAACATGCTAGTTCTTTTAATTCGCTTCTAGTTGGTCTAGTGGCATAATGATATAATGTTAATATATTCCTCGTATTTAGCCTAGAATGCATCAAATAATTACATCTAATTGATTTTACTTTTAAGATTGAAACTGCTGAATTCTTGCAAATATTTTATTGCTAGACTAGCTAGTAGACATTTTCGTCCAGCAAGCATTGATACGCGCCTCTCCCGTCTACCACGTAGACCAGAAGAGGAAAATATCAACAGCCCGAGCAGAGAGTGTCCACGAAGATAAAGTATGAATCTCCTCACTTCTTGCCCCCGTTTCCACTGGGAGGGGTGTAGGTGGAACCGCCGCTGCCATTGTTGTAGTAGGTACTTCCATTAGGGTTGGAATAGTAATAAGACCCGTTGCTAATCGATCAGCAGAGCGTCCCTTGGTGATACAGAGGAATCCTTACGTGTTGGAGTAGTGATAGCTGTTGGATCCGTTGCCGTAGTCGCGACTGCAGTAGTGGTTGCCCTGGATACTTCGTCAGATGGTTTTCAAGAGAGAGTACTAGCAAGTAACTATACCTGGCTGTTAGTGCCAGAGCTCTTGTAGCTGTATCCCTTATCGCTAGGCATGATAAAGCAGTGTGTATAGTAGTATTGAAGTTGAGATTTATGGCTTGAAAGTTGTGGGTTAAGAGTTGTAGAAAGGAAAATGGAAGTGTCAGAGCAAAGGCGGCTTGAGTATTTATAGGCGGATGACAGCAGGGTGGATCCAATAAACAGTCACTATCAAAGAAGGATTCAGGAATACTATTGATAGGTTCCAAGTTCTCACTAGTTACTACTCTTCCCTGTCATCTTGACAGTGAATGGATGAAAATATTTGTAGATATTTGAATTTGAAGATTGGGATTTCACTACTAGACTTCAGATATGCCATGAATGAGGAAGATCTTCGACGATTATTATATAAAAGACATGATCTGTAGAACTAAACTACAATGCCCTTTCAATCCAAGGGTCCAGATCTGAGGTGTTTGTTGCTGTTTAATCTCAGATTAGCTGTATATTGTCTGTTCCAAACAGCTTAATACTGCTTTAACCTCGATATCCAGAGCAATCAATATTCTATTCTACATGGACATGGTAAATAGAAGCATATCTATAGCCAGAATACTCCTCTAACAGACAAATGGAGGGTAAAGTCTCTGTTCCAATCTTTCCAGCTGTGTTTTCCTACAGACAGACGTTGTCCTCTTTCAGTTGTCTTCTCTGTCGACGCTTAAATCGTCAAGCAAACGATTGTTCATTCGAGGCTAGACATCTGATTGATGAGCTCAGAATGATGACTTCAAAGAATATTATTTCGAACTAGGCAGCATCAAGCAGCTGATATCCAGTCTCTCAAGTCGTTGATTCACCTTGACGTTGCTAGGCAGCCGTCCAGTTCTCCAGATCCCTTTCGTTCTCTAGAAGACAGACAAAGATATTTCCATTGGCCTGAAATTTGCCTGGTGATTGCTCTACTCCAGCAGCCCTACAACAATACCACAACATGCCTACCCCCTCGCTTGTCTTGAAAGGTGAGAAGATCGAGTAAGTCAACAGCTGCCTGCCACATGAAACCATACTTATTGATTTAGCTTCTGCAGCCAGGCTGTCTGCGTCCGCGTCGGAAAGAAGGCACCGGTTTGCTTTACCGTCAACGAGTCTCTCCTCTGCAAGTCCTCCGGATTCCTCCAAACGAAGATGAAAGGGAAACACGAGAAGAGGTGCAGGAAGGGACACATGCACACCGTCAAGCTTTCCGACTGCAATCCCACGGCGGTAGGAATATACCTGCACTGGCTGTGTAGCGGGAAATTCGCGATCGAGGTCGAGAATGCCCCCGACTCGGTTGCGTATTACCACCACCTGTCAGAGGCTTGCCTTCTGGGCGACCGGCTGCTGGACACCCGCTACGTAAATGCCGCCATTGACGCGATCGTCGACCTGAGCGACCAGATTTCTAGCTGGGACTGGCCGGTTCCTGGGGACTCCACCGTCGAGTTCGTGTCCAAGCAGACGCCCGTCTCATCGCCCTTCCGACGACTCATGGTGGATATGTTCGCGTGCTACGGTTCGGCCGATCTGTAGGATACCCCCATGGGGAGAAGCGATCGGTGGCCGAGGGAGTTCTGCTTCGATCTCCTCTCGAGTGCTCTATGAGCATGATGTGCAAGTGAAGCTCAGACCTGCTGAACACTATCGCCACGATCCGGTTTCGGGCGACATCGAGATGGAAATAGAGCAGTGATGGACCAACAACTGCTTGTCTGTTTATCTTTGCTCATGTACTATTATGTCGAGGAGTATTGACGACGCAATCAATTGATAGTTACGTAGCGGGAACTCATGATAACATCTAGTAGCATCCTCTAACTAGTTAACTAGTTTCTTAATAAGCTTGATAAGTGTCTACGGAGTAACTCAAGTTTCTGGGCATTGCGTGTGCCCCCCCACTGCAGCGGCGGCTGCGCAGGGTTTTTTTTTCAACTTTTATCGCGTTGTTGAGGTTTTGCCCCTCCAACTCTCCACTTTTTTCCCTCTCTCGCCCTCCTGAGCGGCCATCTTTGCCCACTTGGAGAACAATCAATTCAGAGCTAATCTCTTTCGTTCGTGACTTTATCTCGAGTGGAGAATTGAGCTTATTTGCTCTTATCTTCGTTTTTGTCCGCAGGTCCGTCAAGACTCGAGAGAACAGAGAGAACAGAGAGACACAGACCGGCAACCACTTCATGTAGTATCTAGGTAGGTACCGGAGGAGATAAGAATATATTTACTCAATCCTGCTAAACCCTGCAGGATCAAGACGCCATAAAGCTCCCCGATGATGACATGCCCTAGCATAAAAGGGCAGCATTCCCGCTCGCCCCCGTGGGCCCATACTGTCGACTAAACTAACCTTTCGGACTTGAGCCCGGATCAAAGCGTGGGGAGAAAGGGAAAGAGATCCGTCTGCAGCAGCCAACACGAGTGATAACGCCGACGATCGTGGCCAGTCCCGGCACGGCCAGAGTCCCCGGCATGCGTGTTTCAGACCTAACTCTACACACAATATCCACATGGAGCAGGCCGTAGCGTGGCCTGCAGCGGGGGAAACGGCGGTTTGCTCGGCCTTGACCGAGAATACTCCAAGACGGCGCAAGCTCTCAATCACGCAATAATGGAGCGGGTCCCAGGAATCGTCAGGGCAGAAAAAACTATAAAAATTTTTCCCTCCCGCGTGGCGGGGGCTGTCAAGAGGGAACCAAAGGGTGAAAGAAAGAGAAAAAAACATAAGTCGAATTGACTTTCTATCGAGGAGGATTTCGCAGCTTTTTTTTTTTTTTGTTGCTGTTGTGGTTTGCCTACACAAAACGTGTGTTACCCTAACCATGGCGGCCATCTCTCCAGCAGCGGAGATGGAGATTACAGTCGATGACAAGAAGGTGTATGAGACGCAGGGTGAGACGCCCGATGAACTGCTCAAGGAAGATTCCACTCCGAGAGTTGGAGAGCTTGCCTTCGAGGAATACACCAGTGGAGGATTGGGCAGACATATGGGCATCTCGTCGACGATTTTTCTAATGTGAGTTGACTCACAGCAGCGATTGATACTGTTGTCGCAAGTATTAATTCCGCAGCGTCGGCCGTATCATCGGAACAGGAATCTTTTCCACCCCCTCGTCCGTCACGTCAAATGCCGGCAGTGTTGGCGCGGCACTGTGCCTGTGGATGCTGGGCCTGGTGCTCGAGGCGGCAGGTCTCTGTGTCTGGCTGGAGTTTGGGTGCATGATTCCTCGCAGTGGTGGTGAAAAGAATTATCTGGAAGCGGCCTTCCGTCGCCCGAAGCTGTTGATCACGATCGTTTATGCGGTCCAGGCCATTGCCCTGGGATTCACTGGTGAGCCATCTCTGTCAAACTCATACTTTTTTCACTCCTCCGTCTAACAACTGCAAATTATAGCCTCCTCGTGCATCGTCTTCGCCTCGTACATGGTCGTCGCGGCCAACCACACGGCTACCGAATGGGAAGAGCGCGGGATCGCCATTGGCGTCATCGTCTTCATCACCCTTTTGCATACCTTTTTCCCCAACTGGGGCGTGCGCGGCATGAACGCCCTGACGATCATGAAGATCGCCCTGCTGGTCTTCATCGTTGTCACAGGATGGGTCGTGCTCGGCGGTGGTGTCTCTAGCGTGCCGGATCCCCATGCCAGCTTCCGCGACGCGTTCAAGGGCTCGGCCACGTCCAGCAACCTTTATGTGACGGCGCTGTTCTCGGTCTTGAACTCTTATTCAGGGTATGTCTTCCTCCCCTTCCTCCATCTCTCTCTTCCCTAACATAAGCAGCTGGTCCAATGCGGCATATGTCCTCAATGAGATCCGTAACCCAGTCCGCACCCTGAAGATCGCCGGTCCCCTTGGCTTGGGAATCTGTGGCTTCCTGTACCTTTTCGCCAACATCGCCTACTACGCTGTGGGTACGCCGGAGGAAATTTCCAACAGCGGTGTCACTGTCGCGTCGTTCTTCATGGAAAGGGTATTTGGCACCTCGGCCAAGCGAGCATTGAGGTGAGCCTTTTTTTTCTTCTTCCCATATTTTCCCGAAGCAAAAAGTATGCTAACATCAAAAGTGTGCTTGTCGCTCTGTCCGCCTTTGGCAACGTTATGGCCGTCACCTTCGCACAGTCGCGCGTGAACCAGGAACTCGCCAAAGAAGGCGTGATCCCCTTCTCTCGCTTCTGGGCTTCGACCTGGCCGTTCGGATCCCCTTCGGCAGGTCTGCTGCTGCATTTCATCCCTTCCTTCATTGTGATTGTGGCCATCCCCTTCGGAGAAGCGTACGACTTCATCATCGACGTGGAGGGCTACCCCAGCAGCGTGATCGACTTCCTGGTCGGATTCGGCCTGATGTACCTGCGCTGGGCCGAACCGGATATCCCCCGCCCCTTCAAGGTCTGGTGGCCCGTGGTCATCTTCTACATGGCGGGTCAGGCCTTCCAGCTCGTCGCACCCTTCATCCCCCCGCCCGACGGCTCCACCGACACCTCGCTGCCCTACTACCTGTACGCGATCGTCGGTCTGGTGGTTCTCATGTTGTCCGTCGTCTACTGGGCTATTTGGCAGAAGGTCCTGCCCGCTCTGGGCGGGTACAAGCTCGTGCCTGACCATCAGGTCCTGGCTGACGGCACGACTTTCGTGGAGTATAAGCGTGTCAAGGTGGATTAATACCGAAGTATACACGTGTATGCAGAATGCAGTTACGATGCAGCACGATGCAGTATGAAGCAGTTATGTTCAAATAGATCAAATTTATATAATATAATAGTTATCACGGTCGTATCTCATAACGCTGCCTTCATCCAGATCTTTACCTCCACTCCGGCGTTGGGGGAAACGCATCCGGCGACGCATACGCGGACGCATTCGCATTCGAGGCGCCTTCGCCGCCACGAACCCCCTCGGCAGCACGCAACGTCTCCTGCAACATGAGGACCGAGGGGGAAGACGAGCGAGCCTGGCCGGCGAGAATCTCCGCGACGGGGACTCTCCGCCCGTAGAAGCGCTCGTTCTCGTCGGTGCGCTCGATGACAATAGTTCCATCCACCTGCACCCCGGCATAGAAACCCCGACTCTTGACGTACGTCCAGATCGGCGCCCGCCGTTTATGCACCTCCGAGTCGACGACGCCGCCCGCCCCGACAGGCCCGACGGCGACGGTGAGCTCCCCGCCCAGCGTGCACCGCAGCTTACTGAAGGCTTCGAGAGCCTCGTCCGTGTTGATGACCACCACGCAGTCGTAGATGTCGATCCCCGCCAGGAACCCCAATCCGGCAGTGTGTAGCAGGATGCCTGACGGACTGCTCCATTCGCCCGTCTGCGCATTTTTTGCAAGTAACACGCCGCTACCACCGGCGCCGCTGAACCACAGCCCCGACCGCATCGCCGTGAAGATGGCGATGCCGCGCGCCCGCCGGATCGCTTCCGTCGGGATCTTCTGCACGACGTGCTGCTTGCCGCGCGGTTTGCCGTTCTTCGCCTCTTTTCCCTTCTGCTCTTCCTCTGCGGCGGCGGCGGCGATCTCTTCCGTCGGCACGTCCGTGTACACGCCGTCCTTGCAGAACCCGCGCAGGATCCGCGCAGCCTTCTCGCTCTCCTTGTCGAGCGTCATCGGCCAGAAGGCCTCGGACCCCAGTTTGTTGCTTAGATGGTTGACCGGCGTGCCCAGCTTGTCGAGAGCGCCCCAGGCCTTGTCGAAGCCTTTTTTCGAGAGCGTCTTGCTTTTTTCCCAGGCAGAGGGGGAGGCTTGTGTTGGTTGCGACATGATTTTTTGAGTATCTGAATATCTGAATATCTGAATATCTGAATATCTGAATATCTGAATATCTGAATATCTGAATATCTGAGTATGTTTGTCTTGAGTATCTCTAGATTCTGATTAATACATATAACCTATTGGTGCCTATTTTTTTATTTATATCTTTTGCTGCGCCCGCGATTGCGTCACTTCCTGGAGGGGCAGCCGGTAAAGCCGGTATAAGGCAGTAAGGCATAGATTTCGGCCTGAGGCTGCAAGTCAACTGGTCCGGACTCGCTGCTGCCTGATTTCTTCTACGCACGTCTAAACATAGACTCAAGGCTCCAGGATTAACGAGTCAGAGGCAACAGAGATAGGAGTAAGTACATGGAGATTTCATTATGCAAGATAGATTGCTGATTCAATGAGTGTTAGGCTGGTGAGACCTTGCTTGAGATTGCAGGACAATACACGGAATAGAGAGCGACTGAGAGAGCGACTGTGAGAGCAACTGAGCAACCGAGAGAGTGCTAGGAAAGAAAGCGAAGATTCGACAAAGGAAAAATGAAGACTGGTCACAAGCTCTAAGGACTTTCAAGATACTCTTTGGCTGCGTCGCCGGTGACTTCAAACTGCTTAAGATCCTCGGGCACGTCGTCGTACCGAGCATCCCCGTCCGCCAGATACTCAAGAGCCTCCGTTACGTTTGATGGGACGTGATAGTTGATGTTGAAGACGTGGCCGTCAAAGATGACCTTGTCCGGCAGGACCTGCTCGCCGGTCTGGGATTCGGTGCCCTCCAGCTGGGCAAGAGCCTCTTTCGACTCGACCGAGGGGCAGTTGGCGCGTTTCCTGCGGATGATACAGTTGAGCCAGTAGCTGCCCTTGAGGCGCTGTGTTGGGCCTGGAGGATTGATGCAGCCGTTGCCGGGGGACGCCTTCCGGATGGTCTTGCATTGTGCGTTGGCTGTCCCGCTGCAGACCGCGCCCAGCTCGCTGTTGATTAGGCCGCTGAATTTGCTCGAGGCAAAGGTACTACCCTGTCGGTAGCAGCATCTGCCTTCACCGATGTTGCTGCAGCTACGGGCGCTGCCGCCGCAATTCCGGTTCGCATAGTTGGTGATGGTGACGGCGTTGACGGCCGCGAGAGTGGCAAAGACGACGAGCAGTACTCGGTACATGGTTTTCTTCAGTGCGTGGGAGGGAAAGAGAAGCTGGGGTGTAATACACTTCAAGCCCACCGCTCGCACTAGGGTCTTATATAGCCCTTCACAGAGAGATCCAACTATTTTGGCAGAGGCCGTGTTGGTAGCACATGTTCTACAACAACGGATGCTCGCGAGGATTGATGTGCTACAACACATGAACTGTTTGTGGGTATCTACGACCGAGCATCTTACAAGAACAGACTTAAAGATAGTACCTAGGTAACTACTCGATCTGTTATTGCTTCAAGTTTGTTTCAGCGTTAAAGAAATTGAAACCTGCTGGTCTGAGAACATAATCTTGTTCTAAACCCTGGTACACTTGCTGACATGTCTGTGCAACTGTAACACTTTCTATTCCCTGATACTAATTCAACACCAGTGAGTTTTCCAAGACACCGATTATGTATTCCTAGAGGAATTCACTTACTAGTGAAGAGAAAGAGAGGGGGAGAGTCCTCTTCTCTCTCTCTCTCTCTCTCTCTCTCTTTCTCTACTTTCTCTCTCTCTGTTCCACAACTCACCCTCCCTCACCTCTGTCTCACCACCCCATGCCACTACCCTCTTTGGAGCCCTTGCCCCCATCCATCTCGGTATGTCAACGAAGGCGGCCAGCCTCGCCGGGCTCCCCGTCGAAGTCCGCCTGAAAATCATCCACTTTGCGCTGCCCGGCGAATTCCGCATCCAGCTTGACCTCACCTCCTCCTCCTTCACCCACGAGCCAACGCCTCTCCTGGCCGTGTCGCGTACCATCCGCGCCGAGACCCTCTTCTATCTGCAACGCGAGATCATGGTGACAATCTCGTCCCCGGCTCCGATCCTCCACCAGTTGGATCCTCCCTTGGCGGGCCCGCCTCGCACGCCCTTCTTCGACGGCTGTCCTCGCCAGCTGCGCTTCACAGTGCTCGCCCCACTGAGCGAGCACATTACCACCCTGACAAGCGCGCACGATCGTGAGCAGGCTACCTGTAGGCCAGAGATCGATAAGTTCCTCGTCAGATGGGGCAACGCGCTCGTGCGCCTCCCCGAGTCCACCCGACGCGTCGACCTGGACTTTTCGCACGACGGGTTCGAAGTCCGGCCCGTCGTCCTAAGTCACCTTGTGCAGCGCGTCGCTACCCGCCTGTGGATCTCCAGCAGGGGCAAGACCATCGTCACCGTCTCCGGCTGCAAAACTCCGAACGGACAGCGGTTTCTGGAGAACTGCATCATTGGCCACAAGGGGGTCCAGGTTGATTTTGACAAGGTGGGGACTGATACTTGATAGAGCCGCAATAGCATGGATGGACATTGATGCTGGATATGGACAGGTACTGATGTTGTGGATATGGATTAGTTCATGCCTAGATAGTTCTTGTTGTTGCTTTGTAACATCCATATACAGTCCTCATCTCTGACTCATCTTCTCCTCAATGTACATCAGATTCGCCAACACAACATACACATCCCGCTGCGTGCGCGCCCAGTCCCTCGCGTTCCGAAACGCAGCTATCCCCTGCCGGAACGTCTCCAGACCGTCGGTCAACCGCCACAACCCCAGCTCCGTGCAGTGGAACTCGACCGGCCGGCGCGGGTGCGACGAGCATCCCGCGTGCACTGATTCCAGCCGCAGCGTGCCCTGCGCGTACCCGGCGACGATCGTATAGGCGCTGCCGGCGCCATCTCGCTCCGGATAATCACTGCTGATCTTGCTAATCTTTGACGTCGACGTGGCTGGCGCGTTGAACGATTTCTCCTGTCGCCAGCGTTTGAGCTTTTCAATCGCGCGTGCCCCGAATGCCCCGTAGTACCGCGCCAGTCTCATCGTAGTCTCGATGTCGTCGCCGTACGCAGCCACCTGGACGAAGAAGTTGGGCACCACGACGTCCTCGTTTGCACAGCTGTTTCTCTTCTTCTTCTTCCTTTTTTTCCTCTTTCCGGTACTATTCCTCTTCTGGTACGAGGACGGGACGACGTATCTGTCCAGCTCGTCCTGGATATCCCGGTAGAGAACCCGGGCGTCAACCCCGTCGACGAGATCGGGTTGCGCGGCCTCAACTTCCGGCGCGGGCACGGTCAGCGGGCTGACGGCGTCGTCTTGCAGGGGTTCCATGTTGTCGAAGAAGCGTTCGCCGCCCCAGACCATCTTGCGGTAGTCGCCTAGCAGGAAGGGGAAGACCACCGCGGTGATCACCTCGGGTTTGGTCTCGGCACGGCGCGTGCGTTCGCAGAAGGCGGCAAAGTCCTCGCCTGTCAGACTGCGTATCGAGTCGCGCCGTTTGCCCAGGGCGGCTCGGATGTCGTCTTCATTGTGCGGTCGAGCGGCTTGTCCGTGGGAAAAGATGCCGTTTTGTACCAGGACGCCCGTGACGTCCAGCTTGTGTGGTTGCCGCGGCGTTGTTGCAGAGGAGATCTTCCCCTGCGTTGTTCGGTCGCAGGGAAGAATCTGTCCGCAGGAGGGCGTTGGTGAGACCTCTATATCACGCTGGGCCTCGCTGTTTGATTCTCGATGACAAGAGGGTGTACGAGTCTCCAACGAGGAATGGAAGGACAACATCTCGCAGTCGTCGTCGCCGTCGCCGTCGCCATCGATCCGAGGACTCATATCAGGAAACTAATGCATTAGACGGAACTCCTCGACGGCAGTAGAAGCAATCGACTTACCCCCCGTAGATCACTCAGATCCGGTCCTCCGTGTCTCGCAAAGCGTTTGAGGACTTCATCCGTATCCTGAAAGGGATTTTTGCCTGCCAGAACTGCTCCTGAGAATCCTTCTGGATTGGCCAACGATTCAAGGCGCGGCTTTTTGCGTCGTGAGCGGGCGTCTCTGCGGATAGACATGGTGTTGTTGTACTGCTTGCTCAATAGACAAAAAAAATCCATTATACCTTCACTCTATATATCAATGTCAGACCCCCCCTCGTTTCTTTGAGTCCTGTGTCAAGTCTATCCCTCCTGCAAAATGCTTTGGATCCTTTGACAGTCTTTGTTCCAACAACTAGACCCCCATACAAAGAAACCCTTTGCTGGCGTTCAACAGTCTGCTGTTTCGAACGCCCTCACCAGGAACCTCTGACCCTCCACCACGACGGCCTCGTTCCCTGGTACCTGCAATCCATCGTTGACACTTCTGCCCAGCGAGGGAAGCGTCTCGCCCTGCTCGCCGACGACATACACGGGCGTCCACTGCGTCCCTTCCCACTCCTCACGGCGCGCACTCACCTCCCCTCCCGTAACGACGGTCTTCTTCCACTCACCACCTTCTCGCCATCGCCTAACGGTCAGTTCCTGCTGAACAGCAAGGTACGAGCCCCAGATCCGAGCGAGAAATGTCTTCTTGATCGCTACAGTAACAGCTTCCGCTTCTTCATTCTCTACCGTCGTCTCGTTGTCGCCCTCCGACTCCAACACCCACGATATTCCCCCCGGGGAGCCCTCAGGCCCAGTTCGAAACGATAATGCCCTCCACACCTCCTCATACGCTCTCACCGGCGCACCAGGCAGATCTGGACGCGGCATCTCGCCCGTCTCCAAATCATCGCCGTTTGGAAGCTGCACGAACGTCCCGCAGTCTACCGCGTCAAAGGCGTTGTGGGAGTCGATCTCATGCGTGAAGAGTACTTTGCCTTATTTCATTCGTTAGCAATGTAAAAAATCTAATTATATTTCTTTATTTCTTCTTGAGTTTACTTGGCTCCTTGCTCTCCACGAGTCTTTGTCCTGCAATCCCCCAGTCGAGACGGCCGGATTCTTTGTCGACGCGGACGTCGACGTACCAGTATTTCACCGAGAGAACGAGCGTGTCCGTCGATTCAAAGGCTGGCTCGGGTGGCCATCGCAGGGAGACGCGGGTAGATTGACGGCTTTGTGTCATTCTTTCAACGTGAGTAGACAGGGTGTATGTAGTAGAGATGGTTAAGTTCCATTCTTCTTCTTGCGAGTTGTTCTGTTTAGCTTCCCCGCACTTCGCTTATCTTCTGATCTAGAATTATGTTATGATATTATTATTATCTACAATCATGATTAGAGAGCATAGGAGATTCATGAGATCGGAAAAGTATGATCCGATTAAAAGTACATGCACGGTGAAGTTTGATATGGTATTATTTACAGGTCATCCATCGCCAACAGATGATCTAGGCATGCTCTGTCTCCTCGGCCTTGCCCATGCCATCCTTCTTCTCCTCCTCGTTCAGAATCGCATCCGTCACGGTCTTCATCGTCTGCTGCGTTGTGGCAACGGCCGCACCATCCCCGTCGAAGATCACCGCCATGTGTTCAAGCGAGTAACCGCGGGTCTCAGGGTACCACATGAAGGTGACAATAGCGTAGGAGAGAAGCACCGCCACAAAGACAATGTAGTATTTCCAGCCGATGGCCGCAAGAGCGATCGGGTTGATGAAGGTGTTGAAGAAGATGCCGAGAATCGCGGCCGCCCACGTCACGGTCAGGCCGCGGGAACGGAGACGGAAGGGCCAGATCTCGCACGGGTAGGCGGTTAACATAGGCGTCCTAAATGGAAAAGCAACTCGTTAGCTATCCTTTCTTTGTTTTGAAGTGTCTTCCTTAGAAAGAAAAAAGAAAGAAAGAAAAAACTTACAGAGCAATGTCGTAACCGGCAAAGTAGATGAATAGGAAGGGGATCACGGCGGTTCCAACAGGTCCAGAACCCGTCCGGGCGAAGGATCCCGACAGACCGGTGATGATGATATAGCTGGTCAGCATGATGCCTGCGGAAGCCGAGAAGAGAATGCGACGGCCAAGCTTATCGACCAGGCTGGCACCGACGACGGCGAAGATCAGGTTCCAAATTTGCAGACATGCCGAAATAAGAAGCTGGTCCCTGGTCTGGGTGATGCCAATCGTATCCAGAACCATTGCCAGGTAGTAGGAGACGACACCGTTACCGACCCATTGGGAATAGATGCCGAGCGTGATCGAGATGAAGAGACGGTGGCGGTTTCCAGGGGTCTTGAGCATCTCTGCGTATCCGGAGCTTTCCTGTGCCTCCTTTTCGGCAGCGATGGTCGCCTGGATGTCGTTCACCTCGTAGGTGATCAGCGGAGCTTGCGCATCACCCTGGGTGTGAAGATTGGCAAGCGCCTGGCGAGCTTCTTCAATCCGTCCGACGGAGATCAGCCAACGAGGACTCGCGGGGGTCAGGAGGAGGCCGGGGATGGCGAGAAGGGGGCACAGCAGCTGCAGAAGGGATGGGAGTCTCCAGCACCAGGAGTCGTCGTACGTGCGAGTTGCGAAGGTGGCCCAGGCGGAGACGATGGCGCCAACATAGTATCCACACATGTACAAAGCACTGGCAATGCCACGGTGGGAGGGATAAGAAATTTCGTTGATCAAGACGGGCGCTCCGTTGGTGAACCAGCCCAAGGCCATACCGACCAAGAAACGAGCAACGATAAAGGCCTTGTCGTTCGGGGCGACAGTCTGGACGATCGTACCCACGGTGAGGAAGAAAATGCCCATCCAGATGGAAATCTTGGCTCCATAGCGGGTGGTGACCGAACCTGCAGCCAGGTTGGATACCATCGCACCGAGCCAGTAGATGGCGTTCACAAAACCGAGCCATGTGCTGGAAGGGTTGTCCATGAATTCCAGCCACCGGTCGAGGGCCTCCAGACCGTTGACGAGCGATCCATCATAACCAACCGTAGACGCTAGAAGCCAGTCAGAAGAAGAGGGCAAGCGAGGATGGAAAAGGGAGTGGTCATACAGAAGAGAATCAAAGAAATCACACAGAAGTTGAGCTTGAAGAGGTGAGGACTGGTCCACGAGACATTTTCAGGCAAGACGGCCGCCAGCTCATCCTGACCATTGCCATGTTCACCGTGTTCGACCTTAGAGTCAGACATGGTTTAATAATGAGAAGAATCTAAACAGTAATGAATAGAGGCAAGAAAGTGAATGACAGACAAACATCCATCTAGAGGGGCGCAGGGACCATTTTATAGAACGAAACAGGGCAGGGATAAAAAAAAAATTCGGGCCCCAGCCAGTCCACAATGCGTATGCCGTATGATGCGCCCCGCGATTCTAGCAATATTCTGATGAGCTCTAGCACCGTCCAGTTGCATACTCCGTACGCGGAGAATGAGGGTTGGGGAAAGGAGAAATCTCCAGAATTTGATGGTGTGGGGACTGAGTCAGTCTGGGCCACAGGACCAACAGGACTCCAGACTCCGTACTACGGAGGTCATGCGTTTGGATTTGTGGTAATTGTCGGGCACATTCCGCGGTTTCTGGTGGGTCGATTTCTTTCATGCAAGCTTCTGCAGAGATATCTTATCCAATTGACGACCCCCGGAACCTGGCACTGTACGCTCTTCAGGTCTCGTGTCTCTTTTCTTGCTTTCTTTGTTTGCGAAAGACAATAGGCATACGCTCAACAATGATGTATCACCGACACACAAAGACGACGGTTTCAACAAGCCAGAACCCGTCGAAAATTGATGGTAATTTTGCAGTCGTCGGGAACCCGAAGTTTAACCGAGACGAGGGTAAACTATGTCCGGGGATGCGCCACAGTCGGGACCTGCCACGTTTTCCGAGACTATTATTGATTGATCTGGGTTTTCGACGATTCATTAAACGAAGAACGGGGCAAGCCAGTCCTGGAATCGAGCATCCCAGTGACTGTGTCGGCAGATGTCGGCGAATGACGGGCCTTTGCTTTGCCTCCATGTCGGGAACCCACGGGGTTCATCGCATTGTCCGGCCCACGCAGTCGGCCCGTAGAGACGATCATTACATACAAAAGAAGAGCTGGATGTGCGGACCGCCGTTCCGGCTAGTAGTAGCCAGTATTCGGAAGTCATGGTCGATAACTTCTCTCGGAAATAGCTATTCTAATGTTTATCCGTGTATCGTGATTTTCTCAGCTCGTCGGGAGAGAACTAGCCGAAGTTTGGACGTCCTTGCGATTCGGGAATCCCTCGGCTTTGCCAAGCATCCGATGTGAGAGACCGGAAGCCTATATCGTTTTCTTTCATTCTCTTTTCGATTGAAGCATCGTTGTGCTGTATATATACTATCAATGCGGCACGAAGAGAGAGGAGGCGAGGAATTCCACGCCGATGCAGCCTGTCGAACAGCGCGAGGGGTGTATGTAGAGAACGACCCAGACTGGCGGTAGAGGTCAACCCGGGAGACTTCGTTTGCAAATGAAACAAAAAGTTTGACAACGATATCCACATGTCTTCCTGCGCGTGATATAGTTATTAGTTAATTAGCTAGTCTGTAGTCAGTGGGGATCCACGTCGTCCAGGAATGCCAGGGCCCTACTGCTGGACGGCTGCAGGTCTTTGTCCAACAAATCGGCCACAGGGACCGAAATAATCGAAAATTTCTGAACTCGATCGGTCTCGGGAGGCAAATTCACCATGTCATTCCCCTCAAGTCCGCAGTGGCCAGAGGTTCCGGGGATAATGACCTGGCAAAGGCCAGAGCTGAGGTTTGACATCCCGTTGTTGCCTCCCATGCCCCGACTCTTTAGTCACCTGACAGCAGCAGGTGACTTCCTAGGATGACACAACAACACTCAGAGTGACTCACCATCCATTTTCTTGCTCGCTTCCTCTCCCCAGGTCTTTCCTCGCAGGGGATCTCACACGGCTTAGATGCATTCAGTGTCGCCAGTGGTGATATCTCTACTTTGATCCCTGAACCAGGCCTTGATAAAGCTATTAGAAACCAACTGTCTGCTGGGGGTTGACTAACTACTCCCTGCCGGTGCAACAGATTCAAAAGCCCCCAATGTCGTATGACTGAACAGTGAGAAGATTATGAAAGCTTTATTGGAAACTCACTAACTAGTGTCTCCTTTAATATCAGGTATACAATCCAGAATCACCACAACGGACCAACGGCAGAGTCTCGATAAATTAGAAGACAAGATCAGCGAGGATATACAGCGAGGAGTTAACTTTGAAGGGTCACATAAGCTGAAGCTCACGAAGGGATTGATTCATTTCTTTGAATTGGACTTATTACATGAGCCCTAGTATATGACTCCGGCTCTGGGCTATTGAAGCTCTCGATACGATCTGTGTCTATTTGGAAGTGACAGCTGACTGATGGAGTAGGAAATATTTGGCAAGGCAGCTTACCGATGCATGAACAATGAACTACTAGTACTCTGTCCCTTGGTCTCCGGCCCAGAGTTGTTTCACAGTGTCCTCTTCGAAGTCAAAGCCCTTCGTTTCCAATATATTTGATATACTGATCATGACTGAGCACAGCTCGACCTTTATCTATCTATATAAATGCTCATTGGTCATCACAGACTCGTTCCATTCTGAGATATGAAACGAATACGATCCTTCTCGCAGCTCTATACTTCTAGACAATCCCCTCCAGGTATTCTAAAGTATGAATTTGGTGCCATGATTCCTCTCTGTCATTAATATTTGATACTCTCAAAGGCGGGCAGGGACAGCCACTTCAGCCTCACATTCAACATTCTTACGCCGACTAAAGTGATCGAGATTGCATCTCGCATTGGGGTATATAAGGAGGGCATACCTCTTGACAATTATCCCGCCCTGTATTGACTAGCTGTACATTACCAAATATTTGCCTGCAGCACAGCGTTTAGCATAGATACAGCCCTTGGTCAATACTCCTCGCACCATTATCATGGGGGCCATAGTAACTTTTCAGACCACTCTTGCCTTGGATATTTCAATATTTGGTTTTATGGAACTTGTTCGAACCATTTTATAGTATATCAAAATATTCTGATTGATATTCTGTGATCCGGCTAGAATATACTATTCCCACTAGATCGTCAAGTATGTATCTCTATATGCTCCGTTTTGTCTATTGACTATTTAGTATTTAGTATTTATTGAATATTATCCCCCAAAGCCAAAAATCATCACTATTATTTTGAATTGACTTGTTTCCATAATATATATATTCTTGCTCAAATTGCAAAATGGAATGCCTGGAATCATACCTTGAAACAATAGTTTACTGACACAGGTTGGATGTCTTCCACTGCGATTCGGAATTGGAAAGTGGTCATTATATCCATTAAAACTTAAGTAATATACAACGCCGTAGCCATATTATACCCAGGCATCCCAACTGAGGCCATCGCTATGTATGAAGGGCACCTGGGGCCCCTCTGCGTCGACGAGATATCCCGCCTCGCACCGGTCGTACGACACCTTGTGCTGGGCCGTATAGAATCCATCATAGTGCTTGTGCAACGCGTCCCGGAGGGTTTTCACCGAGCCGTCTGGATGTAAGACATCCCACGGGTTAATACACGTTGAGCCCTTGCAGGACTTGAGGACTAAAAGAAGCGCATCTAGTCGGGCCCGGACTTTGTCGATGTGATATCCGAGGATGGTTGGTTCGTTGGCGGCGTTCTTCCGGTATCCGTGGTGAGGGTAGAGGTTATTGACTTGAAAGGGGTCCGTCTGTAGGAAGGAGTTTGATCAGTATGATTGTCAAGAACGGGGCATAAAGTTTGCCTTTGTTTTCTTTTTGTTTGCCACTTACGTGAAGGTTGTACAGTTCATGCTCATTGTTACACCAGACGGAATAATATAGGTCATAGCCCTCGCCGATCAAACGAACAGACTTATAAGTGTTGTTGGCAACAGCACGCGAGTTGCCAGGACCTGGAGCAGAGTAGAGTTAGCCTAATGAAGATCTTGCTATCACAACGCTTTGAAAGAGGCACGTACCGACGGCGCCCATTTCCCCCTCGAGGTACGCATGGCCCCAGTATTCGACGGTAACGTGCTCGTGGCGGGTGGCGACTGAGTGCGGCGCAAGAGGAATAGGCGTTCCGTCAAAGTCGTCACGCAAAGGAAGGCCCGCTAGCCCAAAAAGAGTCGGCGCGAGGTCGATGTGTGTGGTGACAGCGTCCTGGTATCCTCCCTCGGGAATGCCGGGCCCTCGAATGAATAGAGGCACGCGGATGTCCTCTTCAAATCCACATGCCTTGCCCGGCGGAAGTCGATGTTGTCCGATATGGTAGCCATTATCAGAGGTATAGATGATATAAGTGTCTTCCAGCTTATCACTGGCTTCCAGACGAGTGATTAGAGAATCAACCAACTCATCAACGCCCTGCAGTGCACGCAGGCGTTGGCGGTAGAAATGATCATTGTAATCGACGGTCGCCTGATCCTGCCTGGGTAAGTCGTGAACCCAACTTACTCCGCTCGGCTACCAAGTTGTTGTTAGCAGGTTGATGGAAGCATGTGGTATTTGAACAAAAAATTACCTTTTCGGGATTGAAGTTCTTTGTCCGAGGCACCTTGACATCAGGAAAAAGATCTTTGTGGCGGTCTAGCGGGATTGGCTCTGACATGATCGATGGAGGACCGCTCCCAGACAAGGATTTCACATCGATGTTGGCGTGTGGTGCAATCGGTGCAACAACCAGGAAGAACGGGCGGTCTCCGGCCAGGCCGTCTTCCAGGAACCCCAGCGCCTTCTCTGTGATCACTTCCGTGGTATGGCGACCCTCGTAGCTGACCGGGGGTTCATGGTTTCTTTGGTAGGTAGAATTGAGATATGAATAGGTGAACGGGTCCAGCAAAAAATCCGACCCGTTGAATCCGTTGATGTACGGTTGATTGTAATTGTTCACATTGTGGGAGTTGAACATTTTACCTGTGTAGTAGGTGTCGTACCCTGCATCCTGCAGCCAGACAGGGAGGAAGTTTTCGTTAAACCCTCGCTCCACAAACTTCGGATAACCGCCTATTGGAAAGAAATTGAATCAGAATACCGACCAACTGCGTCAGCAATCTTAGTTCAGGATACACGCACCGTATGGCGGCTTCACATCCGTCACATTTGTGTTATGCGCTTGTCGCCCCGTCCACAAACTCACCCGAGACGGGCAGCAGAGCGCGGTGGTGACGAAATGGTTCTTGAAAAAGGTCCCCTTCCGCCGTATATGCTTCAACGTCAACGGCGTGTAATTGATCGAGTCCAGCTCGAGATCTTGGTCATCAGTGATAATGAACAGAATGTTGGGCTGTTTCCTCGCGCCCGCCTCAGTCGTTTGGTCTAGCATGACCGTATCAAGCACTTGCTGTACGCCATGCGGGGGAAATGCTGCTGCCTTGGCGACCACCGCCAGCCCCGACAGCACGCCTAAAGTCGATGTAACGAACTTCATGGTGAAAATGATAATGAGGAGGCAATTGTCAAGCTTCCCACCACGACGCGCAAAAGATGACGATGGCAATTTAAATAAATAACCTGCAGCGACAGGCACAGCGGATGACTCAGCGTCGGTGGGCACTGGGCAGTTGCTCACTAGTTAGTTATGACGACCACTTAGAGCCGATGATGCCATCCGAACGGCTCCTTGGACAGAGGATTTGATATCGATCAGCCACTAGACAGCAAACTAGCTCCCAGTCAGCCAATCCCCGATCTATTAGAGAGCCAGGGATCTCGTGCTCACCTTGCTGGTTGATTGACGTGCTTGGAGGAGAGACTGTCGAGTCCAACTCCCCCAGTGTTGATTTTCCCCCAAGCTGCAAGTGCCAAGCGGTGAGGGGCACCACGTGACAGGGCCCCTTGCTTGATTGCTTCAGCCTTCCGGCAGCCCGCTTTGTTCCTCTTACCAGCGCTGGCCCATTGGGCTTCTACGGAACTCTCGCAGATCCAGGCTGATGATTTGGGATGACTATCTTGGCTTTATGCTGGCCCTAGGTGGCTGGCTGGGCTGAGTTTGATTGTACGCTCAGGGCCAGGAATCCAGGTTGGGGATTACTGGGGTGGCCCTCAAATGGCGTGCTCATTCATTTTAATGACCTCACTGCAGACGGGGGAGTCCCAGGGGGGAGGCAACCCAATGGACAATGATTACTCTTCGGCTGTCTGTCTTGATCAATAATATGGTGGTGCATAATCATCATCGAGCTTCAACTGTGCGCCATTCTTGGCGGGCGCTGTGTGGTCTCCGTATTGCCGGGCAGGAAGGTAGGACTCTGCAACCCCTTGATCGCAGATTCTTTGTCGCTCGGAGCTTATCGAGCTGAACTGGCTCTTTGTTTGTTCTTATAAGGCACCTGGGCCCGGTCTCATTCCTCTTCCTGCTGCCTCGACCCTGATATCCCACCGAGGCTCCGCAGTCATGCACGCGCAAGCTGACGAAGCGACGCCGTTGACTCGGCCATGCGAGGGATCGGAAGAGGCCCAGCAGCCGTCATATGAGGCTATCGGCAAAGGATTATCAGCATCAGAAGCGCAGGGTTCGAGCGATGAGGAGTTTGCCGCCTCCGGCAGTTGCGATGGCAGCAGCGCCAACGCCCCGGTGTCAACTGGAATTGCCAGCATCATCGCGGTGCTTCTGCTCGGTACGGGGCGCTTGGAATCAAGCTATGGAACAATGTAGTTGATTTATATTTATTTATAGGCGAATTCATTTCCAATGCGGATGCAACTCTCATCATGGCCGCTACAGGGCCCATCTCATCCGAGTTCGATCGCCTGCAGGACGCCAACTGGTTATCCACTGCATATACACTGGGCCTGTGTGCTGCTCAGCCGATGGTCAGTGTCTCTCATCACGATACTATCATTTTCCAAAGCTGATATAGGAGCCAGTATGGGAAATTAAGTGACATCTATGGTCGGAAGCCTTTGCTGCTCGCGTCTTACTTCTTTCTGGCATTTGGATGTGTCATTTGGTATGTGAAAGATTCCGTGGTCCTGGCCAACCAGAACGTTTACTGAACCGAATATTATGCAGCGGCGTGGCAAGTCTCATGTCAGTAATGATTCTCGGTCGTGTCATTAGCGGAATCGGCGGTGCAGGTGTCATGGCAATGAGTTCTATCATCATCACAGGTATGTTCTTTATTCCATTCCAACGAAGTCTTTCTACTTCAGTGCGCGTCTAACACCGTCTGCAGACATTGTACCGAAGCGGGAAGTGGCAACCTGGAGAGCCTATGTGAACATCTCTATGACTCTCGGTCGCAGCATTGGCGGTCCCCTTGGAGGATGGTTGACCGACACGATTGGATGGCGCTGGTATGATCAGAACTGCATGTTGATTCTGTCTGCGGACCTAACACCCTATTTTGCTAGGCTTTTTCTGCTCCAAGCCCCAATGATGGCGATTGCCGCTCTGTTGGTCATCTTTCTCCTCCAGCTCACACGTCCGCGGATCACTCCCCTGTCTGGCGACAACTCGTCGTCTATCCGGCGTGTAGACTTCCTTGGCACTGCCTTGCTCGCTACCAGCATTGTTGGGATAACTCTCCTCTTCGACCGCGGCGGACAGGCCTTCCCCTGGATATCACTCTCTGCCCTGGCACTGGCCAGCATTGCCCTCGTCACCCTCGCGACATTCGTATACGTTGAAACCTACGTTGCTCTAGAACCTATCTTCGACCTGCGGATTCTCCGTCGGCCCAATGTCGTATCTAGCTACTTGATCGGATCTCTGCAGATCTGCGCCCAAATCGGCATGATGTTCACGGTACCACTGTACTTCCAGGTCACCGAATCCGCATCAGCCACCGTCGCCGGCGCACATCTCATTCCTGCCGTGATCGGAAACACGATTGGTGGGCTTATGGCAGGTGCATTCATTCGGCGCACAGGTCAATACAAGCCCGTTGTCGTCATGGCTGGGTTTGTTGCGTCAATTGCGTACGTCCTGCTCTATCTCCGCTGGAATGGCCACACGGGTTTCTGGGAGTCCCTTTACATATTCCCGGGCGGGATGGGCACGGCTTTTGCCTCGGCCGCCGCGTTCGTCACTATGACCTCGTTCTTGGAGCCCGAAGAGGTCGCGATGGCGACGGGAGGATATATTCTTCTCTTCAGCTTTGCCCTGACCGCCGGCGTAACTGCTGCGAACACAGTCCTGGGCTTGGAATTCAAAAGGCAAATGGAGCTTAAGCTCTCTGGACCAGGAGCACAAAAGGTAGATGGATATATCTCTACACCTATTTGATCATCCAACAGGTTCTAACGGTGAGACAGATTATTCAACGCGCCATGTCCGACACGCAGTACATCGCCGGTCTGAAGGGCCATGTCCGACAAATTGTCGTGGGAAGCTACATCGCTGGTCTGAAGCATACATACAGTACGTTGCTAGCATCCATCACTATTATTTGACCTGCAGCCTGCTCATTGACTTGTGCGCCAGTTATCTCCTTTGCTTGTTCCATCCTGGCCTCGATTATTGGTCTGGCCGTTCGAAATCATCGGTTGTAGATCCGAGTCTTAAGACATGAATAGAATATGAACCTCAAGCCATCCTTCTTCTCATGATCAAGTTTATTTGATAGAGCTGGTCCACTTTAGAAAGGAAGATATTAGTATGACTCAAAATGTAGTACTTGATCCATACCATGTGAAGTCTACTGCATACCGGATGGAGAGCTTGTATTCCCGACACTATCCAGGCCATCTCCTGTCGAGTTGTAGTATCAGTCGCGTAGTGAATTATAATACTAGTCATACTACTAGAGTACCTGGTAGGTACCTAGTAACTAATCCCTTCAGTACTTGACTTGGAGCAGATGAACAACAAACCCTAACTCGAAGCCCTAACCTCCCAAACAGGATGACCACCGGGATTACCTAATGATTACATAATATTCCCGGCCCCGGAAGCTGCCTCAAGCGAACATCCGAAATCCGAGCCGGAAAGACGAGATTCCCGAAGTTTCACCGCCGGCGAGGGAAGATACGTCGGTTCAGGGAGGAAGATGATACTCCGGATTCTCGAAAACAATGCATTTCAATCAATCAGCAGAAGAGACGATGGCAATCCATACAATGGTACCACAAACTGTGCCAGCTCGGACAGAAAACTATATAAAGCCTCTGGATAGGGTTGTATACTAACTACTACTACACTCCTCACCAGAGACCCAAAGATGCCCTTCTTCCAACCCCCCGTCCAGCCTCTCCCCCCAACCACAAGCTTCAAGGGCAAGACGGCCATCGTGACGGGTGCAAACTCTGGCATCGGGCTAGCCACGGCGCGCGAACTGCTCCGGCGAGGATGCAAGACCCTCGTGCTCGCCTGCCGCAACGCCGCGCGCGCCGAGCAGGCCCGGGCACGTCTCCTGCGCGAGGTCCCCGACGCAGACCCTCAGGGCGTGCAGGTGAAGATCCTAGATCTCGACACGTACGCCAGCGTGAGCGCCTTCACCGAGGAGATCCGCCGCGACGTTCCCGTCGTGGACCTGCTGGTTCTGAACGCCGGCGTGGCCTTTTTCCCCTCCTACACGGTTAGCAGGCAGGGTCACGAACGTACCGTCCAAGTCATGTACCTGTCGACGGTGTTTCTGCTGTTATCCATGCTTCCTCATCTGGAAGCCTCGCGGGTAAGGTCCGGAAACACCCCGCGCGTCACTTGGGTGGGGAGCAGGAAGTCGTACACCGAGACAATCTCACAGGCACCCATTCTCCCTGCTCTCGACGACCAGGCCATGTATAGCTATATGGCCCGCTACGGGCTCGTCAAGCATCTTTGTCTCGCGTTTTTCTACGAGCTGGCTGCCCGCTTACCTGCCGACAAGCTGGTGGTTAACATGCTCTGTCCGGGTGCTATTGTCACGGACCTCGGCCGGAACCTGCCCTTCCACTATCGCATTATTCTGCCTATCCACAATCTGAGATGTAGGAGCCCTGAAGAGGCGGCATGGCTTGTTTTGAATGCTGGGATCGTCGTCGGGAAGGATAGTCATGGCAAATTCTTTGGGGATACGAAGGTTGAGCCGTGAGTTTTTTGTTTTTCTTCCCTTCTTGGCACTTCATATCATTTTCAATATACTAATTAATATATCAGGATCTTCCCCTATTTCGAAACAGCCGCTGGGAAAGAGTTTAAACAGAAGCTGTGGCAGGAGACAATGGCAGAAATGATAAAGGAGACGGCGGTTCCACCAGAACTGCTCTAATTTCATTGATAGGCGGATGGAGAACAATACACGGAACTAATTCCTTCAACTATTGATACTAGAGCTATATAAACGATATGGACAATGAGACTAGATATGGAGAGTATCAATGTTGGCCACGATAAACTCGTACGCCTCCTGGCGGAAGTCATCGGTGATGAGCGCGGCATCGTCCGCGTTGAAGTTCATTAGCGTGAGATTGCTGGTCTCCCACTCGGGCCAGTCCATGTACGTGCCCGCAGCGTTGGGGTCGAGCTCGTAAACAAAGGAGAAGTAGTAGCTCTGGATGGCGGCCGAGGCGTAGTCCGGCAGGATGCCGTAAAAGACCTGGAGCAGGTCGCTACCGTGGAAGGTCCCCAGAATGGGTGTGCCGTAGTCGTACGAGGACAGGTATGACCAGCAGGGAACGTCTGGGTTGACCTCCCTGGCGCCATTGAGGAAGGCCCGCCGCGTGAGGATGAAGGTGAGGTCGCCCAGGATGGCAGCGATACGCTTGTACTGCGGGTACCAGTTGTTGAAGATGCTGGTGCCAAAGGGTGAGCCGTCGGTGGTAGTGTTGGGGTATTCGTCGACCAGCTCCTGCATCTCCTCCAGCGTGGCGTCGTGGAAAAAGACGTCGAGGAGATAGCTGGCCACCTCCGCTTCGGTAGTGATGTTTGACTGGAACAGCGCGAAGATCGTGCCTTCGTCTTCCTGGTCGCCGATGATAAATGGTACCTTGGCGTACTCGCCGTTCTCCAGCAGCACATCCGGGGACTTGGTCAACACGGTCCCATCTGGACGTGGCAGGTAGGACAATGCCACGGAAGTGTAGCTGAGGATGCCGGACACCGAGTTGGCTGCATTCAGGAAGGTCTCGTAGTCGAGGTCACGCAGGCAGGTCAGCGTGTCGTTCGCAGAGGAGCACCCGGCCGTATCGACCACTGTGTCATAGACGGTTTGTCCTTTGGGGCAATCCACCGGATCGGCGGGGACGATGCTGCCAGAGTCCATGATGGCGCCGCGAAAGAGTGGCGAGCCGTTGTAGGTGATGTCGCCGTCGTAGAGCGCCATCTGGTCAAACACAGAGATGGATCCAGCTGACTCGCCCCAGATCGTCACCTTGGACGGATCTCCCCCAAAGGCAGCGATATTGTCAGCCACCCATTCTAGTCCCAGACGCTGATCTAGGAGTCCCAGATTGGATGAGCCATCGGCCAGGATCTCCTTTCCGGGCAGGAACCCAAAGCCCCCGACGCGGTAGTTGACCGCCACGAAGACAATTGGCATATCCATCTTGATCGAGGCCTCCACCAAGGTCGCTCCGTCGTACATGCTAGTGCCGCCTAGTTCAAAGCCGCCGCCGAAGATCCAGAAGAGAACTGGAAGATTGGAGCTGGAATCGGTTCCCGTGGGGCGAACGATGTTCACCGTCAGACAGTCCTCGCCGGAGTCGGTGATTTCTTGGAACAGAGGAATATCCAGGGTATCCCCGATGATTGAGGTGAGGAGGTCTGATGGATCGGTAGAGAAGAAGAACTGTGGGCATGCCATTGCAGTGCCGGTCGCCTCGACGGTGCCCAATGCTGTCGAGATAGCCTGGGGAGGCTTCAATCTCAGCGCGCCTGTTGGAGCCTGGGCAAAAGGAATGCCATTGAAGCTTTCCACCGTGGCACCAGCTGCCCCGATAATGGTTGCAGAGGGCGAGGCAATGGTGACAGTGGGCGCGGACTCTCTCTTTGCCGGTGCCGCCCAGATGGTAGCTGGTAGCAGAGCGGCGAGGAGAATCGATGAGAGATGCCACATTTCGAACGGACTTGTTCAGAGGTTGCTGCTAGATTGACCTGAATGACTGAGTGGAAGATCATTTCTTCCTCGCGTTGATCAAGGCATCTTTTATATCTCACTTCATCCGAGGAAGTGGCAGCAATGAGTGCCAGTGATCACACGTGGGAGATCCCGACTGTCAATGAAAGGTACATACTACCCATTATTTACTGCGCAACACAGATTGCTTCTCCACCTTGACGGGGGTGAAACAAGCCCAAAATCGAACCACGAGACCGCAGAGATTGGATAGTACAGCGAGTCCTCCTCGGAGGATGGTTGATTTAGGAAATCATCCGTGGCTAGGTGATTTGAGATCAGTGGCTGGAAATGGCCCGAGTTCTTTGACACTATAGGATACCATCCCTGTATTGGCTGCTCCAGTATGTTCCTGCGTACAATGATGACAAGCGAGGCATCAAAACATCGTTGGCAGGTACAATATTCGGTCCACGTGGGCTGAATTGTCAGGCCTCATTCCAAAGTCCCAATTTCAGATCCTTGTTTATCCCCCAACTAGCATACCGTCTTTTCTCGGACGCACATGATTGTCTTAGATGTGGACCGAGGTGACTGTCTATGAACGGCGATGATCTTCTCGACCTATGGGTATAGAATAGACATTCGACCATTTGGACACGCTTGATCGACAGACAAGGACGGTTCCGTGTCTGTCTCTGGTCTTGATCCGAGGTTAGCAGGTGAATAATGTATTAGCTTTTGTCCCTCACCGTAGAATCCGGTCTATCTCCTGCCCCTCCCCAGAATGCCGAAACCCCGCATCGTTCCCCACGGGGCAAAGGCCGTACTGAAGGATCGAATCAATACTAATCCATCGAGGGGTACGAATACGAGCCGAGGATCGAGACTTGGCGTCTGATTAGTGCATCTTTTGATCTTGTGCGTGAGAAGGTATCGAGTGTTGAGTTGGATGAGGTGGAGGAGGAAGATTCCAAGAGCCTAAGAGGCAGGTACTATCACGTGTTTTTCGGAGCTATTTCACTATAAGTTAGCAGCCCACTTACTTTTGCTTACCAGGTGGGTAATATACAGAGAACAAGGAGTCTTTTCCAAGAAGGTAGTATGAAGACAGCCAGAAAACCAAGTTTCGATCGAGTATACAAAGCAATGAGACAAAATATAATAGATATCAAGTCTCTCTATTGTTGTTGTAGACTCCCCAGTATGCCGAGAACAGATCAAAAACACACCATAGAAGATAATATCAGGTCTTTATGAAGATCAAATGATGAGGCATCTTGTTGCCTGAGGCAGTAGCTGTTGCCTGAGGCAGTAGTTATTGCCTGAGGCCCTGAATCACCACTTTCTGTCCGCCCAAATAGGAAGGAGCCTCACTTCGACCTTCTGGCGTGGTAAAGCAAAGCAATTCCCAGCATATTCAAGGAGATTCCGTTCAAACATCCCATGGATTTGTTGTTTTGGTATGAGCGACTGTCTCTGAGGCCTGAGGCGTCTGTTTTCATTGATCAACAAACACAGCTGATCAGGAGAAGCGGCCAGCCTGCAAACAGTCTTTAGTTCTTATATTCCCTCTCCTTCCATCTCTCTCTACCACTTTCCTCACTCCCCCCCATCTCCTTTACTGACCAAATCCCTCCAAAAACCTCGGCTGGCGACGCGACAATGGTTCGACAGTTGCATATTCAGCCCACGAGGTATTTCTACGCGGTGGGCAACACGCCAGCCGTGTGTTTGACCCAGTCCTGTCCGCCAGACCATGACGCGGCGCTGCTCTTGCTTGGCTGTGGGGACGCTCGGAGTGTCCTTTTCACTGCCTATGCAGATCCAGGTGCTGGTACGTGTGGTTTCCCAAGGATGACTGGTTGCTAGTGATTGTTTCCTGCTGACGGGGCCTAGGAAAGCGAAACTTGGATATCACTTGTTGTGATATCGAGACCGAAATTCTAGGTATTTGGGACTCTCTACTGACGGAGAATCGCCAGGCTAATTGATCTCTCCTAGCTCGTAATATCGTCCTCTACACCCTCATCCTCAAAGATACCCATGACAGAACCGCTCGGAAGATTTGGAATATCTACTACCACATTTTTCTCGACAAGGACTCTCTAAAGCTGCTTCGGCGTCACGCTGCTGCTCTTGTGGAGGAGGGGGATACTCTGGAAGAATGGCACCAAGGCAAGTACGGAAAAATCATTCGATTCAGCGACAGTGGTACGTTTGCTCGGGTGCGACAGGCGTGGGAGTTCTACGCCATCAGATCGTCCGATAAGGACGCATTTGATGAGCGTCTGCACCAGCTTAAATCTGTGTTTGAGAAAGCCCGTAACATCCAGCGTCTGATCTCCGATGGGCAGGCCATCATTAATGCCGCGCGATCTGTCTCGCCTTGCTTGCCGTCCTCCATCGACCACCTGTCAGAACTTTACCGCTGGTATTGGGACAACGGTAATACCTTGGACGAACAGCCTCAGTCTTATAAAGAACTGAACCCCATGTTCGGAGCATTGGATAATCGTCTCATCGTTCATTACGGTACTGATCCTCTCTTGGGATACCACCTTTCCACTGCCTACACCCCCATCGAGGAAGGGTCTCCATTAGAGCCGGACGAGTCTCAGGCCCCCGAGCTCAGGGACGAGTACAGGGTGGCGTTTGATCAATTTCGCATCTATGCCGAGTCGTTCAGGGCCTTCTCCTCCAAACTAACGCTCCGCTTCGTCCAAGCGGATGCTCTGGCTCTTTGCCATACCCTGCAGCACCTTCGTGCGCACGGCGCAACAGACACGGCTCATTGGTACCGCGACAATTGGCACTATGAACCTTTCAACTTGGATTCTCCAGACTATGGTCCCCGAAATAGGACAGAGTCCCCAGCCCCGACATCCTTTGATGTTATCGACACGTCCAACCTGGTTGACCATCTTGGATGTATAAATGTCCTCGTTGCGACCAGTCCGCTTCTAAAGCGTAATTCCACATCTACTCTGCTCACTGAGCTGCTCGTATTTCACGAAGAGAACATCGATGATGGACTTCAGCGGCTCTTAGGTGGAAACTTGGCCACTGTTTCCCTTCTCCTCAGTCTCATGCCCATCCAGTATTGGACCGGCACTGCAGGGTCTGCCGCAGTCGACGAACTTGGCAAGTGGATCACGACCCCTACTCCCTCGCAGTCTCGTTACATTTTGAATTGGAAGGCCATCTTTGGAGGATCCTCAACGACCCATCAAAACTGCTTTCTCGAGTTTGATGGCAAGCCCTTGGCAGATTTGGTTTGGAAGCTTTACATTATCATGTTCGAGGACGAGTCTGAGGGCCCAGGACCCCAGGATCCAAAGGGAAACAAGAAGAAGTCATCAAAAGGTCTCGGTAGACACTCGGAGTTTTCCACACCAGCTACCTTTGCGTCCTTTCTTCGCGTATTGAAGACCCTCCAATTCGAAGAGTGGGAGATGTTTATTTCCCGCCTTTGCCAGCTCATCGAGCGCGATGCTACATCAAAACGAGCACAGAATTACAAAGAAGACTTGTATCTGCAACTGCATCTCCAAGACGTGAAATGCATGCCAAATTACAAGGTCGGGTTGTCCCAGTGGCAAGCTGAATATCACGCCTCTCCGTTATCTTGGAAGGAGCTGCCCTCAGCTGTCTGCGCCACCGTGGCCATTCCACACTCAAACGTGACCCTTTTTCAGGTCGGATCGCAGGCAGACTATGGGACCCCAATCTTGCAGGTTGTGCTTGCATCTCCACCCGGTTGGCCGAAGATATTTCAACACCATTTCGCCGGACCACAGATTGGCTTTGGCACTTTGACCGCTCAAGGCACTAGATTTACGGAAAACTATACGATTAAGGTGCAGAATGATCCAATGGGCTGGGATGGTACTGCACCATTGATCGTCTCCATCATGATTCCAACCTGGTTGGTACTTATATATCCCAGGCTGTCAGCTGAGATTTCAGTGAGACTTAGACCCAATACGGCCTTCGCTGAAAAGCTTGAGCAAAAGTTCGGCAAGTCTCTGAATCTATTCTCGTCTAGATTGTCCTATGGCGATGTATATATCACCAAACATCGACCGAACATGGAAGGAAACACCTCTATCGCACCACCAATCCTCCAGCACTACAGTCAGAAAGGATTTCAGCCAACTACTCTGGGATTCTACTACGTTCTGAACGAAAAGAACGAATCCATAGTCGGGGTTTCAAGTAGGCTTCGCATTCTTCCCTCCAAGGCGCAAGATATCTTTCGCAACAGAGCTGTTGTAGATATCAAAACCCCCTCGGCTTTCGAAACCACCGTCACATACCGCCCGGGTTTCTTCCACCGCACATGCTTTCCGATGCCAGTAAAGACAGCAGGAAGTAGCTCCACAGTCAAGCGCAAGGACGCCTATGTGCAATTTGAGGCGTCTGTTGCGACGTGGGACTGGCTGATGAAGTCTCCCGAGGCGGTATACCCGCTATCCTTGGGCGACAACATGCCAGTGATCCGGAGCTTGCATTATATAGCCCTAGACAAGATGCCCATTCTCGACCTCCGGGAAACAACCGAGACCGTCTGGATGGGCATTCATATGCGTGACATGTTCTCCGAAAGAGAGCACATTATACGCGAACCCGCGCTCAAGAATCGCGTACGGGTCAAGGAGCTACGGATCAACTTCAAAAACGGCTTGTTCCAGCTGTTCCTGCAGTACTCAGGAGTCAAGGTTGACCCGAGGCCCAAGTCATTCGTTCTCGTCCAACTGCCAGCGCGAGAGCGTCGGGTTTACATCTTCCCCACCGGTATCCGCCTGGACTTGACTGCCCAGACCATTGTCATGGACGCAGCTATAGTCCAAGTGGCTAGTCACAACGTGAAAGAACTAGAACCCCTGCTGAGCGGACTGAAAACCCGCACCCTTTACGGCGTGGAGGCGGACGAAGACGAAATTATTGTCTGGAAACATGCTCTCGTCGGTTTTGTCGAGCAGGCCCGCACATGGTCCCATCAGTCATCCTGCGAATACCTGAAATACGGCAAAATCCCCATCTCCCAGCTCCCGGGCAACCCGTTCATCTGCCACTGCGGCCAGGGTCGCTTCCCAGACGACTGGGAGCCCGAAGAGGCACCCAAATGGACCGAACTGAAGAAGTATGCCGTCCGCGCCGCCATTTCGCCGAGTTTCCCGGTCCCATTTGTGGAACGGTGTACGGATCGCGATGCAATAGTTTTCAGCAAATCCACCAGAAAGGATTCTGGGCCTTGCCCAGCCCTCAGTCCCGGTAATCTGGTGCCTATTCCTCCTCCCTTCCTGACGGAGACCGAGCTCAAGGAGATCAGCCAGGAGATCCGCGAGATGCACATGAAGATGGGGTCATGCTGGTCGTGTGGAACCCGGGACTTGGATGACGGGACTCCCCTGCTGACCTGCTCACGGTGCAAAATGGGACAGTACTGTTCTAAGGAGTGTCAGCGGACGGACTGGTTGTATGGAATGCATCGGAGGTTTTGCAGTGCATCGTCTATGTAGCTTAGTGGAGTCTATCCCGCAGCATTTGAAAAAAAAAAAAAAAAATTGTTTTCTATGGTATTACGCCTTCTCTTTCTCTTTTTCTTTGTCTTTCCCCCATCCGTTCCAACGTTCAAATTCGCCTGTATCCAAATCAAAAAGATCTAGCATCCTTCCCACGCTCTGATCGATCAGCTCCTCGACGGAGGCCGGCTTGATGTACAGCGCCGGTACGGGTGGGAAGATCACCGCCCCGCTCTGCGACACGGCCAGCATGTTGCGCAGATGGATATCACTCAGGGGGGTCTCGCGCGTGACGAGGACCAGACGGCGGCGCTCCTTGAGCATGACGTCTGCCGTGCGGGCGATCAGGTCGTCGCAGAAGCCACAGCTGATGGCCGCCAGGGTCTTCATGCTGCAGGGGACGACGAGCATGCCGTCTGTGCGAAAGGAGCCGCTCGCCACGGGGGCCGCCATGTCGTTGACGGCGTAGACGTGGTCTGCTAGCGCCTTGACGTTTGACGGGTGGTAGTCTGTTTCGTACTTGATGGTTGCCTCTGCCCACTTGCTTAGCACCAGGTGCGTTTCCACATTTAATCGCCGCAGCGCGATCAGCACCCTGATCCCCAGCAGCGCCCCTGTCGCGCCCGTCATGGCAACGACAATCTTCTTGCGGCGCGGTGCCGTGGGCACTTGCTCGCTGGGGGGTGTGGTGATGCTGGTTCTGAGCAGCGAGTCGAACATTTGAGAGAATCACAAAGGTCAAAATGAAGGTTATTGTAATGGTAGGGGGAAACCTTTCAGCGTAGATGAGATTCGTGATCAGTTCGATGGATTCCTTTTGTACTACTTGCCCTGCAGTGATAGTCTTTTTTTTTAAAAAAATATATCTTGCTATGCCTCCGAGGACCCGAGACCCCGAGCTCCCGAAGCCGTGATGAGCCGGACGGGACCCACAAGCTTATCCAGTTGCCAATGCGTCATTGAAGGAGATCATCTATCTGCAAGGTTCTTTTTTCTTGTTGTCTGTGAGACCTGGTACTTATTAAATTTGGAATCTAGGTCCATAGGGGCTTTTCTAGGAGGCCGTCTTCCAGAGAGAAATCGAATAATGGGACTAGCACGTATTTATTAGTGGGGGATAGATCTAAACTAGCATAGACGTACCGTTCATGATGGAGTCGAGATAGGTGACAGGCGATATATGGCTGAGATCAAAGAAAGTATTATTACTGGACAGACTTGAGAGTTAGAGAAGAAATGGATCCCTCGTAATGGTATGTGTGAGTGCCCACCTGTGTCCGAAATTGGGGGGAACATTCTCGCACTGCTGCAAGGGTGATGTCGCATTGAGATCGTCAGAGACCAGCCGTTGTGTTTGAACTGCTGTTGTTGTGGGCCTGCTTGGCAGGTGATGGGAGGTTGAGCTCTGCACAGCGTTTCGCAATGTAACCAAGGTCTTGATGTGTCTTTCTGATAACCATTGACTGTTCTCTTGCAAAGGGCGGCCGTCATCATTGGTAGCAGACTCGGCGCCCGAAAACACTTCGATCACCTTCTGTTGGGTGTCCAGACACAGAGGCTCATTGCGCGTCTCGTCCCAGATGCAGAGGAGAAGAGTAGAGCTTAGCACGGTGTGGACCATCGACCAGGTGCGTAGTGGAACCGTGCTGAGGGCTTGGAAATCAAGGAATGCTTTGGTTGCGTCTAGTAAGCTTTGCTTGGCTCTCGTTCGAAGACTAGCCTCAGGATCTGCGGCGGCACCAGCCGTGCTCTTGATTGCGGGGCGACATAATATGGATATCATAGAGGATATATGCATTTTTAAAGCAAGATGCTCGAGGTTCTGGTGGAGAGTTGTGCAGCTCCCACGATCTTGAAGATGGGCCTGTGCCCGGCTGTAAACTTCGTCAAGTTTGCTGAGAGCGTCAAGCGCTCGGCTGGCGTCTTGGAATTGCTGCTCTCCGCTTGTAATCTCTATGCCAAGGAAGCAGTTATAGCGCATGATCTCGACATAAGAAAGGTCAGAACATGTGGCGAAGGTTTGATCCAGATTCCAGCCTTTGGCTGAAGCAATCGGAGGGCGGTCATAGCATAAACTAAGAAGGCTGTCCTGCCAAATGATGGTGTTCCTAGACCCCGGTCAGCAACAAATAGCATGTGAAAATTCTCCATTGCCTTTGCTTTGCTTACCACAATGAGATTGCTTTCGACTTGACGGATTCGGGGAAGCTGGAAAAGCTCTTCTCTCTGTGTAAGCCTAATGCTTGGGCCAGGCGGACCGTAGTTCCCAGCAGGGCCCAGGCTGCGTCTGATTGCCCATTATTTTGTAAAGTGTTTCCAAGAATTAATAATGTTTGGACGATGTCTAGCGATGGCCGGAAAAGAAAGTTGGCTAACCGTAAGGCCTGAAAGGCTCGACGGGCTGCTCGATATTAGTACCTTGAACAAGGACCGTTGAAGGGAACAAAGAAAAAGCAGAAGCATACCGAGCTCCCGACAAACCTCTGAGCGTCGTGGATTTTCAAGATCCGAAAAATGAGCCCCAGAAGCCAGAGTCGCGAGTAAGAGACTAATCAGGCCGATGGACTTTTCATTCGCCCAACGCTCGGAGATGACCTGGGGATCTTGTATCTCACCGGCCGCATAAGCATTCAAATAGGCACACATGTCGGCTTCGAATCTGTCTATATCCACGAGGATCGGGTTGAATGGATGAGCTAGAGTACGATGAAAATGGAAATATCTGTCTGGTATCAGCCTCTCCCGTCCCAGTGGTCATCCACTTGATAGACAATCTGCTAACTTCAACACTTCATCACGCTGAGGTGCTACCTTGACGAGCTCTGACCAGCGATCTTGCGGCAGCTTGGCTTCCATGAAGGGATAAATGTTGTACGTATTCTGAAGACCCAGGACAGGGGCCAGTTCTTGAGCCATGGTCCCATCGCAACCCTGAGCTCGAAAACGAAGAATGGACACAAGTGAATTATCTCCGGAATAATTCACGTCTCTTTCTGGATTACTCCTAGGCGTGACAGCATCCCAATCTTGGTCCTGAACCCCCTGAACTCCCGCCTGGGGGGGGGATCTTTGTGCTTGATCTCGAGCTGGAGAAAGCAACCGGGAGCCTTCCAGCGGCCGTCTTTCACTCTCATTGCTCTGATCAACATCGTAGACGCAGATGTCCGGGTGGCCACGCTTCCGACACGTTCGACATGGCTGAGCGTTGTCACATTTGACCTTGCGCTGACGACACGGATAACACGCCCTGGCCTCTCGCTGTTGGCGTCTGAGCTTCAGCACTCGGTCGATCTGCTGGCGATCAACACTGGGCCTCGTCGAAGAGCGTGTAGGCATGTCGGACAGCGCGTTGTGAGTTGCGGCGATCAAAGCAAGGCAAGAACTGGAAACTCGAAGCTCTCGAGGGTGTTTCGGCTGTTGATGCCTGAGGCAGAGCGCAGGAGCTGCTGGTCACGTGGACTCCTCTCTCGGACAACCACCACGAACAACAACGCGACTTCCTTCGTCTTCCACTGCAATGAAATTCAGATGTGGCTCTACCTGTCCTCTCCAACTCCGTACGTAAGGGATGGATAGTTAGTCGATTTCAATGATCTCCAGACAGTCCCCATCCTCAGTCTCTATGCTTGAGATTCGCTGCGTTGATACAGCAGCAGATAGTGGCTATAAATCCGACCTGAACAAAGAGCCTAGTTCTAGGCAGTCTATTGGCTGTGTTTGAGGGTAGGCGTTCTTCAAGGTGACAGATCTGCAGAAACAGTACTACTCTCCTCCTTGGCTACTCAGCATTCCTGAAAGGCCTCTATGCTGACGGCGATGACAGGCCACCCACCTCCAGATGGCACCGGATATCACGGCTCCTGCCGTTGAAGCAATATGGAGTCCCACGGCTGCTTCTTCCAGATGATCGCCCACCTCCTGCCGGATTCTTACGTTGTACCAATTCCACTGCAGATAAGCAGGTCTGGCCGAGCCCCCGAGGCCCCGAAGTAATTGGTACGGGCGTGCTCCGAGCCTCCGAACTCATCACGAACGTATATTAATATAACATCCCAACCGGTAGAAGTGCCGATATCACTCTGCAAAAAGAGAAATAGAAGTCTTGCAATCAACGTCATGTCTACCGAAGCTCACCTCTGCTTCCGCTCCTTCGTGGAAGCCCTCAAGGCCGATAACGACCTGGTCGAAATAGACACCCCCATCGATCCCAACCTCGAAGCGGCCGCCATCACCCGCCGTGTGTGTGAAACAAACGATAAGGCGCCCCTGTTCAACAACCTGGTCGGCGCCCAGAATGGCTTGTTCCGCATCCTGGGCGCCCCCGGGGCCCTGCGCAAGTCGCCCGAGGAACGCTACGGCCGACTGGCCCGGCACCTGGGCCTTCCCCCGACGGCGACCATGCGTGAGATCCTGGACAAGATGCTACTGGCCAGTGAACTGCCCCCCGTGCCGCCTGTCGTGCTTGCCTCGGGCCCCTGCAAAGAGAACAGTCTGACGGGCGACGCAATCGATCTCACGCAGCTGCCTGTGCCACTCGTCCACCAGGCGGACGGAGGCAAGTACCTCCAAACGTACGGGATGCACATCGTACAATCGCCAGATGGCGAGTGGACCAACTGGTCGATCGCCCGCGCGATGGTCTCTGGCCCACGTCAGCTCACGGGGCTCGTCATCGAGCCCCAACACATCTGGCAGATCCGCGAGATGTGGAAGACGCTCGGCCGCGACGTCCCCTGGGCATTGGCCTTTGGTGTCCCCCCCGCGGCCATCATGGCATCCAGCATGCCCATCCCGGATGGCGTAACAGAGGCCGGATATGTGGGCGCGATGACCGGCCGCCCCTTGGACCTGGTCAAATGCGACACCAACGACCTGTACGTGCCTGCCACGGCCGAGATCATCCTCGAGGGCACCCTCTCCATCTCAGAGACGGGCCCTGAAGGCCCCTTTGGCGAAATGCACGGCTATGTCTTCCCTGACGATGTTCATTCCGGCCCACGATACACCGTCAACAAGATTACCTACCGGAACGGTGCCATTTTGCCCATGTCAGCGTGTGGAAGATTGACTGATGAGACAGTACTCCTCTCCATTCATTCCTTCCTCCCATCTTGGTTGATGATTGTTAATTGTTCATTTTCTAGCATACTTTGATCGGATCCCTCGCGGCCGCCGAGATACGCAAGCTCTGCCAACAGGCCGGTCTCCCCATCACTGACGCCTTCGCCCCCTTCGAGTCCCAAGTGACCTGGGTCGCACTGCGCGTTGACACCGCCCGCCTGCGTGAGATGCAGACCACCCCGGCGGCGTTCCGGCAGCGAGTCGGCGAGGTTGTCTTCCGCACTAAGGCCGGGATGATCATTCATCGCGTCGTCCTGGTCGGCGACGATATAGACGTCTACTCTGGTGCAGACGTGCTGTGGGCGTTTTCGACCCGCTGTCGCCCGGGCACGGACGAGACCTTCTTCGACGACGCCTCCATCCGTGGGTTCACCTTGATCCCGTACATGTCGCACGGTTCCGCGGATCCGCGCAAGGGAGGCAAAGTCGTTTCCGATGCCTTGTTGGCCGTCGAGTATACCGCCGGGAAGAACTGGGTGGCGGCTGACTTTGAGCATTCCTACCCGGAAGACATCAAGAAGAGGGTTTTGGCCAACTGGGATACATGGTTTAGTTGAAAATTACGATTTGTGCTTAGGAGAAGGTATCTCTATAGACTGAAGTCGGATATTATACAAGGGAGAGTGAGAAGGAAATCAAGAGAAGGGGAAGAGGGGAAGTTGCAGCAATTGTTTACCCCAGGCATCGTAAGATGTACAGAACAGAAACACCCAGTCAATTGATCAAGGAGGAAGACTCTACTCTATTACTTTCTATCTCTCAAGGCATACCGTGCCTTTCCTGTATTAGGGACGTATTGTTCCCCCTCCTTGGAAGCAGCCACCTTCTTGTCATCGGTCTCCTTCTTCTCCTCCTCGCTCAGATCTTCCCACACCTTCTTTGGCAAATATCGCTTGCGTGAGCCATCTTCCTGTTTCGCTGTACCGCTTCCCTCGCGCGTCTGCCAGTCTTCTTCTGTCCAGTTGTCCAGATCCTTCTGGTTCGCATTCTTGTCGTCTTTGGAGGTTGTGTAGCCGCCGCCGCGTTTCTTGTATTCAGCAGCAGTTAACTGGGCCTAGGCATCATATAATTCGTTAAAAGGCTTCGTTTGGGTACTATTTTTAATGAGATAGAATCACCTTTCGTGCAGACCATTGGCCGGGCTTTCCTCCCTTGTCGCCTTCGTGGATCTCCTCTTTGACTTGTTCGCGAAGTTTAGGGTCTGTATAGGACATGATGAGATACAATTAGTTGATACGACCAGATTATAGGAATATGTCGAGAAGAAAGAAAGGTGACTCGGTGTCTAGGTACTAGGTATATGTAGATGGTTGTAGTATATCCATGATGTCATTCAAGGTCGAGAAAATAACCTGAATTATTGATAGAATTAAGGTTCATCTGAGATCAAAATAAAGATCGTCATATCAAACCAACTGGCATTTCATTGGAGGCTTTATTGAAGAAGACTGAGTTGTTGTTATATGATTGCTGGTAATTGTGAGTAGTTGGAATCGTAAAAACTAATTGTTACTACTGGCAATTGCTGATTTACTATTCAGCCTAATGACTCATGTCTCTGCCATCTTTTTTATACACATTCTATTTCTTCCTTCTCTCTTTCTTTTTTCCTTCCTCTCTCTGTCTGTCTGATATTATTTAATCATAATGACCTCCATCTCACCCGATTCCCTCCCCCGCTTCACCTCCATCGTCTCGACGGCCTTCTCCTCTGCGGCCTTTATCACTGCCAATCTTTCCGAGTGTCTTTCCATCCCACCATCACAAATCACCCTCGCCCATCTTCGTGAATATCTTGCTCCTGTGATCGTCCGATCAGCAGAGGACGGTGCTCTTCTTTTTCAGGCTGGGGACTGGTCTGCTGTCTCATTATGGCAGAGACACTCCACAACACCAACACCAACAACAACTAAACTTAACCCCCTTCGAGAAGAGTACAAAAGGAAGATCGCAGCAGTAAAGAACAAATATCTACCGCCCACACCCTCATTCTATTATTATCTCGACTTTCTCGCCCGAAACCCAGACGCACCACGTACCCCGGGCGCCGTGTCCGCAGTGATCGAAGCCGGGTTGGAGCGGGCAAGACGAGAAGACTGTCCTGCCTGGCTAGAAGCAGTAGATCAGCATGTCGTCAAGATATACGAGCATTTCGGCTTCCGGCTTGTCGAGGAGGTGGTTGTCGGGGCTGGACGGTTTGATGCGCGGGGGGGGTTAGAAGACGGGGGGTGTGGTGTTTCTTTGTATGCGATGATATGGTTGCCTTAGCATACTTTATATCAATCTAAGCTATGTATCAATTATGAAATAATATATAAAAACTGCGCATTCACACTACAGATGTATTCTAATTATTGAGATACTCGCTGATACGCCTCTTCTGGCTGTGATCATGGCTATGCTCATGGTTATGGCCATTTTCATGCTCATCAACATCCTCAGGCCAGTCTTCCCATCCGTCCTCCCAAATCGCAGTCAGCTTTCTCTCCGTCTCCTTCCTCGACAGCCTTTGTCTCATCACGCCCTCCCAAGTCTTCATCTCGGAATTGTCCAACAGACACTCGTCCATGAACTTGGAGATGAGCGGCATGTTGATATCGCTGCCGATGAAGACGATCTCCTGTCTTCTGTCACCCCATTCACCCTGGAAATCATCCTGGATGGATTTTACCACATCTGCATCGTCGGGCCACTCGTCGCAGTCAACCTCTGTGAACCACGGCCCGCCACAGCCCACAGTGAGCATCCCACCGGCTTGGCTCCATTCGCCGAATTGAAAGGAACGGGTGGCGAGCCAGAAAAAGCCCTTGGAGCGTAGAACAGTCGAAAACGCCGGGTGGGAGCGTTTATTCGCGAGGATTTTTTCGGGCGGCGGTTGTTCAAAGTCTTCAATACTCATCTCGCTGCCGTCCACACTCATGCTATCGTCACTGTCACTGTTTTCTTCTCCTTCTCCTTCTTCTTCTTCCTCATCCTCTTCTTTATTTTGGAGAAGAATAAATTTGTCGTGTAGAAGAGTGAAGAGACGCCGGGGATGGAATGGTCGACGGGCTGTATACACGAAATTATTGATTCCATACCTTACATCATTAGCTTTACAATCATAGCAGTGTCGAGCAGAGATAAGAAGAGAATATTACTCTAATGTTTCAGGCTTGGGCGTCATCTTTTTCCCACTCGGTGTATTCATGAGGGTCATCTCATGTAGGGACCGTAACCAGCCCGCCCCCGAGGCAGCCTTGAGGAAATCAAAGCGGTTGGTGCCGATGATCTCACGCACGTCGACGCGCGAATAGCTACACTCGATCAACCTGGCGGTCGGGTTGAGCAGGCCGATGAGCTCATGGATGCGTTTCCGGGTGTCTGCGTCGACAGTTTCGATCTTATTCAAGACCAATACGTCGGCGAACTCGATCTGGTCGACCAGCAGGTCGGAGATGGTCCGTTCGTCTTCGGGGATGACCGCATCGGCGCCGTATCGATCGGATAGGAAATCGGCAGTGTCCAGGTTCGAGAGCACATTGAACGCATCGATCACGGTCACCGTCGTGTCGAGGCGGGCGATGGTATGCAGACCTCCTAGATTGTTGCTACCTCGGTTAACGACAGTCTCTAGAACAGCTAAACCGTATATGTTTCTTACATCTCGGTGAGAATTTCTTCCTCCTCCTCGTCAGCGGCAACCATCGCCGCGCTAAACTCCGCCGTGAACGTCTCGGCCACCTGCATCGGCTCGCTGATGCCTGTACTCTCAATCACGACATATTCCACCTCTTCCTGTTTCGTCAACCGAGCCAGCTCGGCGAGCAGGTCTCCACGGAGAGTGCAGCAGATACACCCGTTCTGCAACTGGATAAGTTTCTCTTTCGTCTGGGAGATGTGGTGGTTCGTTATCAGCGCAGCATCGATATTAAGTCTTCACGTCAGTAAGAGTGCCATTGATTAAGATGGATCAACAGTTTCAACGCAAGACCTACTTGCTCATATCATTGACGATGACGGCAATCCGGAGTCCATGATCGGGCGATTTGAGAATATGTTCGAGTAGAGTGGTTTTCCCACTCCCCTGAATGAATCATCAGTAAACTAGAATACAAGGAAGACTGAATACCCAAGAGAAAGAGAGGAGAGAGAAGAACTTGTACCAGAAAGCCAGAGAGGAGAGTCACGGGGAGTTGGCGGGCCGGTTTGCCTGAGGCAGCCATATCAAAGCAATTGCAGACGTTCCTGTTCCTTTGTAGTCACTGGCAACTCTCTGCACACGAACAAGATGAGGGAAATGGAATAGGAGAAAAAAGAGACCATAGCAACCTCAGGGATTCCATTCTATCCTTTATAGTTCTGTCTCCAAGGTATGACTATACAATGGATGCTATTGGCCGCCCAAGGTCCTCGCCTTCAAAGGTACTCAACTGGGCAGCATATTCAGGTACCTAGGGAGCTGGTATTAAGAATGTTGCAGATATAACTGGCTTATGAGATATACTAATGCCTATCAGTTCTAGACGTCGAGATTCCCTGTGGTTGTTCAGTATCAAGAGGTTACCTGGTAAGTCGAGCACGAGTGAACAGCTTCTTGCTTTGAGAAAACGAGATCAAAACTAATGAATCATATTTCGACATATAAATCATGAAGAAGAAACAGTTCAAAGAGGCCCCTTCATTGAAATATATTATATCTACTAATGACTAGCGAGCAACAATACTCCAACTGGTCAGAAAAGGCTATATCTGTCGTTGTCGCATATCCACGAGCAACCGAATGGCTTTTAAAAGTCCTCTATATTTACAGTATACAGCTCATCTGGAAATACTCCACCTGGAGAATGATGGCGTGGGATAGGCTTGCGTTGGCGCCGAGATTGTCAAGGGGAACGACATCCCTGCCACTGTTCTGTTTCACGATCTGCACAGAGTCAGAGACAGGGCTCAATAACTGCAGGAACTTCATATCAAGGCCAATCCGTGAGATAAGGAACAGAATATGTGATATAATTAGAAGGCCATGACTCGTTGAAGCAGCAAGGCGACTTATAATACACTAAGTACCATCTTTCCTGTCAACGCCATCCCCCATCCTCTTTTTTTCTCTTCTTCTAGGAACTTAATTAACTTCTGATATGACTTGCTCTAACTGTACGAATTCGAGTTCGACATCCCCGGATCTGGTAGGATGGGTCGACGAAAACTCCGGCCGCGGTACGCTGAGTCTGGTCACCACCTGTCTCTTCACCATCTTCCTCTGCACATGGGTCGTGATCCATCCGAGAGTTGACGCGAACGTCCGGCGCGCAACGCAGCATAAACTGGTGCTGTTCGTCAAGGCCGTGCTGGCGCCCGAATTCATCGCCGTCGAAGCGCTGCAGGAATGGGCCCAGTGTCGACGCATGGTACGCGAACTCACAACAACAGCAGCAGCAGCAGCAAAAGAACAAAAAGCGATGGGATGGCGAGGAATAAAAAGAGGAGGAAGAAGAAGCAAACCACACGGCGTCACCGGCGATGGTTGTCTCCTCCAGCCCATCCAGGCGTTCTACATCAGCATGCTAGCCCTACGGTATCGGACGGTCAGGGGGGGAGACCGAGTTCTCTGGCCGAACCAGTACATCTGGCTCCTAGAACAGCAACTGGTGACATGGGCCGAATGTGAAGCCAGCTGGGGACTAGCCGAGGAGCAGATCCGCGACAAGAGCAAGGCAGACAACGCGACCAAGCTGCTTGCCCTGGCGCAGGTGCTGTGGTTTGTGGCCGAGTGCATCATGCGGCCGGTCCATCGCCTGCCGCTCTCGCAGCTCGAGGCTATGACACTAGGGTACATCCCTCTGTTTGCCGTCACGTATTTCTTCTGGTGGGCGAAGCCAAAGGATATCCGCACCCCGTCCGTTGTCGACCTCCCGCCCATGTCGGCCGAGCAGTGGGCGGTCTTTGACTCGATGGCCATCAGCAACAAGTTCGACAACGAGGGCCTCCCAGAGCAGATTACCTGGAAGAGCATCTGGTATCTGACGCCGCGGGTGTTTGAAAAGGAAGAACAGGACGCTGCTGCAATAGCGGTGGCCAGTAGCGGTGGGAAATCATCACCATCGTCACCATCATCATCTTCTTCTTCTAGGATACCATCATCTCTGCCCAAACAGACCGTCCTGTCCCATTGGGATCCGCTTTTGTACCGCTCAAAGCTGATATGGCCGCTGACCTGTCTCTTCGGAGCATCCTGTGGCGCCCTGCACCTCGTCGCCTGGGACACGGTCTTCCCCACGGCCATGGAGGCGTGGCTGTGGCGCGTGTCAGCGTTTGTTTCTATTGTCTCCATGTTGGTCTTTATGCATTTCGAAAAGGTCATCCTTCGCTGGGGCGGACCCTTGACCATCCTCAGCCTTGTCTCGCCGGCGCTCTATCTGCTCAGCCGGCTGGTCATGATGGTCGAGGTCTTTGTTGCTCTCAGAGCGGAAGAGCTGGCGATTCACGACACATACCAGGTGTCAACATATTGGGTCCATCTGTTATAATTCACAATTTGCTGAAATTCATATATATTTGCTTATATGTAAAGAAAGAAGAAAAAAATTCAAAAATATACATCTATGAGCTTGTATCATCACATCATCAAGAGAGTTTGCTCAGCTGGTAAAGAATGGGTCCGTCGATTCGAACGACCGCATGACTGCCATGGTAACGATGGGGTAACCCATTACTACATCATGTAGGCCTGTCTTGAGAATCTCCTCGCGGATGACACCATGGTCGGTACGCCATTCCATGACAGACCCGGCCGCACCAAGATCAATCTTGGACTCGAGCTTCCTCATCTCCAGGTCCTCGTAGCTGATCCCCGCGGGTACAGATGCATTCACCGCGTGCCAGAAGACCATTGGCGTATGGTGCCAGGGGATGTCGTAGTCGTCTTCGGCATGGATGATGGTGAGGCGATACTTTTCGGCATTCGCTTCATGGGCTCGCACATACTGGGCGATCCGGTCTTTGGTCAACCACTTGTCGCGGATAAAGCGATGCAGATAATTGAACAGCAGCGGAAACCTAGCCAGCGGCGACAGGATGGGAATCGTTCCGGCAACGCGGTACGTGGAAACGAGAGTGGGCACATCGACAAAGGGGGCAACCAGAACTATCCCCGCGAGGGTGACAGGGGGGAACTGCAATGCCAGATGGTTGGCGACGGCCACGCTCACGGCAGTCCCCATCGACTGCCCGAAGATCAGGATCCGCGAGGGCGGGATCCCCGCCACGTTCATGGCCCAGTCAAGCACCGTCATTGCATCCAGGATCAGCCCGCTTTCCGAGGGGATTCCCGTGCTGCGTCCAAAGCCGCGGTAGTCAAACGTAAGAACGTGGATTTTCCCTGGCTGCCCGGCGGACAGCGCGCGGTAGTTGGGCACCCGATAGCCTGAACCCACGGTGCCCCCGGCTCCATGCATGTGAATTACCAGTCGAGCATCGGGATCATCACGCAGTAGTCGGAAGGCGTGGCGGGAGGTGATATCGGGGACAAAGCCCACCGGCTCCGCGACCAGTTCGAGCTCATGTTTGCGATAGAGCTCAATCGGCAAGACATGCCACGCGTACAGCCGCTCGCCGTCGGCCGTTCGGAGAGAGAACGGTGTGACTTGGTTGCGAAGAAAGCCAAATGTTTCTGGCACATTCAGATCCTTAAACCAGGTCATCTGGATAGAATGTAAATAAACCACATGCGACTGGAAGCTGGCGGTCGTGAGCAGGCCGAGCAGGGCCGCGTACAATGCGACCGAGATGGCTACTGAGACCGACGCATACTTGACGACCGAGGCGAGCAAACCGGCCATTATGAGCTCGAGCGAGCGTAAGAAGGAGGGATAGAGAGAAGAACAAAGGGAGAGTTGAAGCTGGCGGGGAGAGACGAAGAGGACTTGATTCGAAACGGACGCGTTGCAGCGGCTAACCTACCAATCAGCATCGTATATATCAGCATGGGTTGGATAGAACTTGACTTTGGCGGTTGAAGAAAGTCATCTTCTTTTCCTAGATGACTGTCTGGTACTGAAGACGACAGGAAGGCTCAAACCGTTGAAGAAGGAAGGATGAATGACAGATTGGGGGAGTGATGCTCAGGCTAATAACAACCTTCTATAAAGGGAATCTAGTCAATAATCACATGATACCATATGGTCACATGATGTCACATGATATTAGTCATGTGATTTATACTGTAATATAATAATATTTATCATTAAATATGGAAAAGGTGAGTATGGATTATTTATATCTAACATTCTCTGCTATTGAGTATTTGCGCAGTAAAGACTCGCTCTTGAGAATGTTGGCGTGTCTTAAGGAGCCTGGTTCAGGCAGAACATATTTCCAGATACGTATAGAGTACAATGGTCAATCTATGTGAAGGAATTAGATTCTATTATAAAGATATATGATTATCTGCTCTTAGCTAGAGTAACTGTATTGTAATCTAGATGTCTATAGTAAGAACAGTCTATCCAGGTCTCTAATTTCTATATATATATGGAGTGAGTACCTGCTGTACTACATCGGATAGCAAACAGGCATATGCATCTCGATGAGTCAGTTATAACCCCTCATCACACCACGAGGCACTAGAAGAGATAAATAACCTGGAAGAAGCACACATACCGTAAGAAAAATCAGAACAAGTATTCAACAAAATGTCCGTCCAGTCTGTCTCCATCTCATCCTCTCACACATTCAGCAAACCACCCGTCAGCGCCATCACGCTGGTCACCAACCGCGGCGTCCAGGGCGACTGCCACTTCGGTGAGACGGTCCAGCACCAGTCCAGACTGCACATCAAACCGGCGCCGACGAATCTGCGCCAGGTGCATCTCATCCCCATCGAGACGCTGGAGAAGATCGACCAGGCGGCGGGGAAGGTGGTCGCGGGCTCGTTGGGCGAGAACATCACCACGCGGGGCCTCGATCTCGTTCACTTGAGTCGCGGCACGGAGCTGCACTTCAAAACTACCACGAGCAATCAAGTAGCCGCCGTCGTCGTGCTCACCGGGCTGCGGAACCCGTGTCCGCAGATCGACAAGTTCCAGACCGGGCTGAAGGAACGGTTCGTCGTGCGCGACGCCCAGCGCAACATCATCGGCAGGCTGGCCGGTGTCATGGGTGTCGTCAAGCAGGGTGGGATCGTCACGCCGGGCATGAAGATTGTGGTTGTCAAGCCGGCTGTCGAGGAGAAGCTTGAGGTTGTCTGAAGTTTTCTTTTTTCTTCAAGAAAAAAAAAAAAAAAAAAAAAAATCTTTAATGGAATTTCATTCATGGGGAAAAAAAACCACCATGCATGTTTAATTGCCAGTCTTTCAAGTCAAAATGACCCTCCCGGAGTAGACTCTCCTCGCCATCCCAGACAAACACGTACGCCAGCACCATAGACCCATTATTGTCCGTAGTCGCTTCACCCACCTCGATCCGATACATCTCCGTCTCGTAGGCAGCTAGTCGGCGCAGCTCTGCCAGCGACCGGAATGGATATGCCATCCCGTGAATGGCCTCGGCGGAGGACTCGTCGCGCAGTAAAACGGGATACTCGCCCCAAAGCTTGGCGCGGAAGCCGTGAACCGTCGCTGGATGCAGCTCAGGGCGTGAGGATACGCCGAGCACGCGGGCGAGGGTGTGCGGGTCCATCAAGGTACCGTAGAAGAAGCAGTGGACGATTCTTCGCCGATCATATAGCTCCTCCATCTCAGGCAGTGCCTTTCATCTAGAGAAAAAAAGTTGATAGTATCATGTGCACATCATGTGCACATGATGCAATAATTCAATCGTTCCATGGTACAGATTAATCATGTCATATCCGGCAACCACCGGAACAACTCCACCTTCCATGAGTCTTGCACGCTCAGCCGGCGGTCGTCATTATACATGCTTCGGATGGCGGGGATGGAGAGCGCCTCGTTCATGGACAGCTTGTAGATGCGGTAGTGCTGGAGGATGGTGTGGCCCGACGGCTGCGCAACCTCCACCGAAAACACGTCCGGGGCACAGTCGTCCGCCGCGGCGGCGGCAACGCTGATCAGCGAGCAGGTGTAGACGTGCACGTAAAAGGCAATGTAGTGCAGCGACCCGTGGTGATCGTCTGCTGCGTGGTATAGGCGGAAGAGCTTGAAGAAGACCTTGGCGTGCTGCAGGCGGGTCTCTTCATTGATTTGATTGTTACGGGCGTAGTCGGCCATGATTCTCCTCTGCTGGCTTGGCGTGACAGAGGTGATTCTGTTGCTGTGGCGCCACGGCCAGTCCGGGACCAGGCTGGCGATGAGGCCGCCGGAGATGAAAAGCGCCTTCAGACGGGGCAGGCGCGGCAGCGCGTAGGCCCGCAGAACCTGGAACGAGGCCTCGGTTGCCGGCACCATGAGCTCTTCGAGGTCGGGAAAGGCGTCGGCAATTGCCTCGACCAGCTCGGCCACGGATTGCTGCGTGTTGCGCGGCAGATCCGGGGTGCCGCCGAGACAGAGCGAGCGCATCGGCGTCCGGGTGCGATTCTGGATGTAGCGCAGAATGCGCGCCGGGCTGCTGACGGAGTGCATCAGTGCCTCCCTCACGAAGAGCTCTCGCAGGGCATAATTCTTGTCCAGGACGAGCAGCAGGTGGTCCGCCATGTCCTCCGTCAGGATGGCGACGACAAACCGCGTGATGTTGGTCGCCTTGGCGAGGCATGGCATCATGAGGGCGGCCTGAATCTCCAAGCCGTGGGACCAGGCGACGGGCGAATTGTCGATTTCCAGCGACTGCAACGCCGTCAGGTCCAGCATGCGAGAGAGATAATCCGGGTCGTTGGCAAACACTCCGTCGTCCAAAAGGGTCGGTAAGAACCCCCAACCGAGCGACAGGTCCCGGATCCGAAGGGCCGGGAGGCCATGCTCCCGTGCCTCTTCCTCGTACGCCGCGACAAGCTGTGCAAGATGAGCCCGGTGGTGTGGGCTATTCTCGCAGAAAGTGGACAGGCCGAGCGATTCGAGCTCCGGACATGCGACAAGCACCCGTGCCAGGTCGCCAATCAAGGTAGGCGAGTAGTCCGGTATATGAGCGATGTTCAGCGTCCGCAGGTTCCGGAAGCGCGGGACCTTGGTGTCGTACAACCACGGGTGAAAGGAGGCATGGCGCAGCCGTGGGCAGCGTTCAACAAGCATCGCGGGGAGGTCAGGAGCATCGCCGAATCGCTTTTTCGCCGAGTAGGTGGCCGAAGCAATACAATTGCTCAGCTCCACGGATATCCTAAACACACCGCCAAATCAGACGAAGGCGAAATAAACCAGTTAATCTGCATCTTTTTTTTTTCCCTATCATTTCTTTTTCCCCAGGGGCCCGTACTCGATTGACCGAAGGCCCTGCATCTTGGCGAGCATCACAAAGACCGCGTGTGTGGTTTCAGCACTCTCATTCTCACTAATCTGCATGTACCGACCCAACGTCAAGTGTCTCGTATAGCACAGGCGGGATTTAACCGGCAGCTGCGAGAGGATTCGCAGCACCCGGAGCGTGATGTGTTGCACGTAGACATCGCGATAGAGAATCGGAGTGCACAGGGCGTGGAAGTACTTGGAAACGCGGCAGACGGCCGCCAGACTTGGTGTGGCGTTAACATGGCCAAAGACAACCAGATACACTTCATTCGGCAGCGCCGTGGACATTGTGGTGCTGGTGGTGGTGATGCTGGTGGTGGTGTTTCTGCTGGTGCGTCTGCCAGCGCCGGCCCGGCGCGGCCAACCGCAGTTCCCAGCGGGGGTCTGTGAACAGCTGCGAGGCCCTGGGCGAGAAAACAGAAGAGAACATGAAGAATCCACAGGCGCGGTTGAGATTGCTGGGGTGGAAGGTGAGGTGTAAGTTTACGTGACGTTTGACTATTTTCTTGTTTTGTGGGAGGTTCGGCAATTCATCATGTGACTGAGGGGTCATGTGGTAATAATAGAATCCTCCCTCATTCAGGGGCAGGACAGTGCATTAAGCATACTCCTATTCGTCTGGAATCACCTTCGGTCTAAAGAGTCTCTACATGAAGAATACGATAGAAAGCAACCAAGTCACTGCCGAGTCTCTCAGTCCATTCATTGGTCTTGTTATCTGCAACGAGAACGGTAAAGAGAAAGCATATCGTGATGACAGGCCAGCGAGACTAATAAAATAGACGAGAGAGGAGTGACCGCCATGTCCAGACTTGTCTTCTGTTGACTAGAAATCCAATCCCGGCGGCCCTGTTACCGATGTCGATCCGGCTTGTCGTCGAGGCACGGTGAAAGAAAGTCGACAGATTGGAAGTCGGTCTGCAAGCTAGGAAGAGAGGGTTAGTGAGGCAGTGCCGTACAGAGAGCAACACAACACATACCTTTTATTAAGTGCGGCTCATAGCAAGGGCAGCGCGCTTAGCCATTTCCAAAGCCGCACACTTGTTCACATAATAAACCATCACACTCTGGTCTTCGGCGTTCGGTTCGTTGCCGTGGAGCACGACGTAACGACGGGTGAGCTCATCATCACCGTGCAACCAGTCGGGAGGAGTGAGCCGCACAGCCTTTGTCATGGAGCGGGCCAGGTACAGCAGGAGGTCTCGGTCCAGTGCCTTGGCCATGCCTCCGTCGAGAACGAGGCCCTCCATGGACTGACACTGGCGCAGAAGACGCAGGAGGTCAGTTGCTTCGATTCCTGGGGTTTCAGAATCAACGACGAGAAGCTTCAGAAGGGGGCAGTTGATAGCCAGGTGTTCCCACACCTCCAGTGAAATGGATTTACCCTTGAAGACAAACGCCGTCAGCGTGGGGGGGAGGAGGTTCTGGAAGGACTGGATGGTCTCGATGGCAATGTCGGGGAGAGCAATGTGAACCTCCTTCAGCTTGGGAAAGGAGATCTGATTCAATTCGGCGATGACACCTTCATCCCGAGGTCCGGTACGGATGACGCGGAGGTTCGCTGCGTATATGTGGCGGCGGTCTGGCTGGACATGCAGCAAGGCTTTGGTGGGCACCGCCTTCCAGAGGAAAGCCAGGCCCATGTTGAAGAAGGTGGAGTTGACGCGAATCGCGGCCGAAAGGGATTTCTTGTCGTCCACGTGTGAGAGGATCTGATGGACCAACTCGGGGATCTGCAGCGCCTTCGACGCCATGTTGGCGTATCTGCTTGAAAAGAAGACAGAGAGAGAGGGGGATAGAGAAGATGGGAGAGAGGATGAGAAGGGGAAGACAGAGAGAAGAGAGGGGAGAGATGTGATTTTCTTTTATGTGTGTTGACGACTAAGCAGCACTGGGTGGTGAGGGCTTCAGCATCAGTAATGAGAAACTTCATCTCAGCCTTTGACAGGCCTTACATTCCTGTTCTACAGTGAAAGCAGGACTGGTGAGGCATAGAATTTAGTTATAGAAATTACTATAGTTTATTGCTGAAATGATGGGGTTGTCTACATGGTTACTAGATCTCCTGTCATTAATTTTGACAGGTTGTGAAATATTCATAGAGGCAGTAGCCTGACCATTGAGGCAAGAGTTTAGACTGATCAAGTTCCAGTAAGTACTGTACTCTACTGTACTTATCACAGTATCCTCAGTGCACTATTATAGGGACAGTATACTAAGTATACAGACAGTATAACTACTAAGTATACAGAGAGTATACTAAGTATATATATAAAAAATTATATAGATATATACAGAAAATATATAGATAATATCTAGACAGATAGACAATAGACAGATAGACAGACAGTTATTCATATCTCTAAATAGTATACCTAGTACCCAGAACAAGACAGAACAACTCAACGTTATCAGATTAAATCAGGTACTCCGTAGTACACTGTCACTGCAGATCTCCCGCAACGCAGAACAATACATAGTACAGAGTACTGCATACATACGGAGTATGTACTAGGCAGGTAGTCCGCTACCAAGTAAGGTGAAATCCCCGATCCGAGCCCCGAGACTCCGGTCCGTGACGGACATACCGCGGACAGAAACCCACAGGCTCAGCTGACGTGGGGATCGGGTCGGATACGGACGTGGAATCGGAAGCCCCACAGCCACCACCTCTTTGAACTTTCAGGTTGTCTGTCCTCTGTCCTCTGTCAGGTACTCCGTCGGTACCTCCTGTACATCCCCACTCCCCACGCTGTGGATTTCTAAGCTGCATCAGTCCCACGCGGTAGACTTAGTACTATCGATAGACTTAATCCACTATGTCTATGTCTATGTACATATACTATGTCTATTACATAGTTATACTATGTCTATTACATATACTATGTCGTACATATACTATGTCTATGTACAGGCCAGACACTTATCGGCGCCAGAAGTAGCTCCATCGGGAACAGAACTTAGCCGAGCCCTTCAATCCAGACAGCCAAACCAAATCCAGATGCATGCAGCCGCCCCCAAGAGGGAAAACGCAGCAAATAGGCGGCTTTGATTCGACGGAAATGCATCGAGTGGGGGCGTTGGATCATTAAAGGGGGAGGCGCTGGGATTGTGGAGGATCGGAGCTAGATTTGAAACTGTCACTCCATACTCCATCACGGCATCTTCTTTACCAACTTAGAAATGAGCATGGGCCTATTCAAGACTTGGAATATACTTTGGATGGGTCTGGGGTAACCTGGGGTATGCAGCGGATATACCAAGTAGTTACTAACTAGTAGCTAAAGTGACTGGAAAGTTGGAAGAACTACGATGGGAGGCTTGTGCAAGTATACCAGTAGTAAGTAACTCATCATACATTAATTACATGAGAAAGAAAAAACAAAAAAAGGAGAAAACTAATGCCAGTTCTTGCCCTTCCACTGCAGGATGATGGTGGGAATGACACTGACGCCCACCATGAGAGCAATGGCAACACCGGCACCGCCGGCAAAGCCGACGGTGTCGAACATCTGGGGGAACCAGAAGGGGCCGATGAAGCCCCACACCTGACGGACAAAGGTGATGAAGACACCGACACTCGCCGCCTGCGGGCGGTAGCAGTCGACGGCGTAGGTGACGTTGATGGTGGTGACAATCTGGTTGCCAGCGGCGGCGATGGCGGCACCAACGGCCGGGGTGACGTTCCAGTGGGCGCCGGCGTTCTTGATCTGGATGGCAAACACGACAACACCGCAGATGGTCAGGGCGTGGCCGATGTAGGCGAGCCACAGACGGTGTTCACGGGGCGGGGCGACCCCGTGCTTGCGCTCGCTCATGGCCATCCAGCGGTCGGAGATGAGCCCACCAACCTGCTCACCGAGCACGGAACCAAGGATGACAGCGATGAACTGCAGACCAACCTCCTGCGTGTCCAAGCCGAACATGACCGGGTACAGCTGGGGGATCTCGACGGTGACCATGATGGAACCCCACAGGAAGATCATGGCGTACGCGGCGGCGGGGATCATCACGCACGGCTTGGCGGCCAGGGTGAGCGGCTCAACAAAGTCGAACCAGGTCAAGGGGGTGGAGTCGATGCGGCCGAACTTGAAGTATTCACGCTTGATGGCTCCGGTAGGCTGCTGGGTCTGGACAACGCCGGTACCCTTGCGCATGTAGAGAGTCTCCGCACCGAAGGCGAAGTAGACGATGAGTTGGATGGCGTGGACCTAGACCGTTAGAGAGAGACAAAGACATTGAATATTTAGTGTGGTACATACGACAGCCATGATGTAGTAGATCCAGCGGTAACCGACGCGCTGGGCGACAAAACCCATCAGGAAGGGGGCCGAGGGAACACCGAGGGTGACCATGAGGGTCCAGTAACCCATGCAGCGAGCACGGTCCTTCTTGAAGAACATCTCGGCGACGACGGCGCTACCGATGGCAGCCGGGGGGCAGATGAACCAGGCGGCGATGGCACGGCACAAGCCCATGGTGGCATAGGAGTAGCTGTTGGCACAACCGATTTCGGCGACCAGGGCGCAGATGAGGGAGATGAGGAAGATGGGACGGCGACCGAAGCGGTTGGCCAACGGACGCCAGAACAGCGGAGCGCCACCCAGGATGGCGATGACGAGGGAGGTCAGGTAACTGGCGCGCTGCAGACTGACGCCGAGGTCCAGGTGGATGTTCTCAAAGGCAGCCATGATACAGGCGGCCGTGAAGGTACCCATCATGGCGTGGAAGGCCACCAAGGCCAGATTCACACCTTTCTAGACGACATTAGAAACAGGACATCGAATATCAGAATAACCAGAAGAAAATAAAAGACTCACCTTCCATGACGGCCAGTTGTACGGATCCGCATCATCCATGTCCGGGATAGGATCGAGATTCAGGGTCCCATGGCGATGGAGAAGGTACTGGCGGTGCTCCTCGGACAGGTTGTTGATCTCCTCATTCTGGAAACTCTCGTGGTGAGCGGCGCCTCCTTCAATGTCGTGGGCGCTCTTCACCAAGTCGGAGGCCGGGGGGCTCGCAGAGCCTTGGGCAAGTTCCTTCTCCATTATAGGGGAGGGAGGTGGAAGATCAAACAAGTTGGGAAAGGAGAGAGGTGAGAGAGGTGAGAGAGGTGAGAGAGGAGAGAGAGGAGAGGGAGAAAGAGGAAGGTGCGAGGGTTGAAGATCACAGCAGACAAAAACCCAATCGACACACCGGGCAGCGCGTTCTTATATGAAGGGAAGGCGCGGTGGAAGCCTGGGGTCCGGGGGAAGGAACGTCTTGGTCTGGCTAGACGTCGACTGGGGGGGGGGGAGAGAGAGGGAAGCCAATCCTGCGTGGTTGAGGAGATTCGGCCGTGCAATGCCCCTCCTCGGTCCCCTCGGTCCCTCCCCTTCTCATCTTCTCCCCTTCTCCCCACAGACAAATGACAGGCAACGCATCTGGTCTAAGCGACGGCAGCTCACCGGAGGTGGATTCCAGTGGAGCGCGAGCGACTTTGCAACGCTTTGCCACGGTCGGCCGACGAGTGCGATTGTGGGGAGGGTTGTGGGGATGGGGTGGGGATGGGGTGGGGATGATGTGTTCAGGGGTGGGTGGAAAGCTGGGGATGAGTAAGGACTGACTGACAGTGAGTGGTGAGTAACTAATCAGTTAGTTACTCCGTAGTTACTATGGAGTATACGAGCCGTTGGTCCGGGGAGGCCCTATGTACGTGTCCTGTGGAGCGATGACTTTTGCCAAGTTCAGCCCGACCGACGCTGATTATTATTATTAACGCTTATTGATCGCAGTGGGTGTTTTTGGCCTCCACACTTGGCAGGGTGTGAAGTCCCTTTTTGCTGTCCACATTACTCCGTACTAGTTACTATGATTATTGCCACAATAACGTGGCGATAAGAAAGTCAATTTCCGACACGTGCTAGTCAAAGCTAAAGGAATTCCTGTTCTTTTGGCGAGCGAGCCACGGTCTCGAGGTCGGTGGTACGGGAGAAGTCACAGCAGGGTCAGTTGCTGTCGTCGTCGGATGACAGGAAACTGTGGATGGGGCGCCCCTCCTCCCCTCTTCCCCATCAAGTCTGGGGATATGCCCAAGGGTGGAGACTGAGATGACTCTTTGACTTGGCTCAAACGTGGGGATAGCGTGAGTATGTATGTAGTACCTAGTTAGTTAACTAACTACTAGGTAACTGGTACTGACTTAGTATGTAGTTATGTACTCTGTATACTATGTACTGGTAAATAGACACGGTCGGAAGAGATCCTGTATGAAGGAGCAATTGCCTTCGTCCCTCCAAGATGCTACAATGTAGATTATCATTATTGTATTAGATTTATGGTATTACTATACTATCACTATTATTACTACTACTATACTACACTATCTACACTACTAACTATGGTCATTGCTTAACATGCAGATATACTAAGCGAGTTATTTACTTGGTTGCTGCAGGCCGCGTACTCCAGACACTACTGCATATGCTATATCTTGGCAGCATTATTAGAAATCCAGACGAAGCGAGACTACTACCCAAGTATCGATTAGTGCATAATTCTATCCAATCTGAATATGCAGCAGAAGGACAGAGTCCTTGGTAATCCAGCTCAGAGATACTCCGTACTACTCCTAGGGTCCCCTGTTCAATAGTAGCAGTGCCAAGTCCTCTCACTCCAAAGTCTAGACTCACTCCGTGCACTTCCGCAGTAGTACGGGGGGGGGGTACTTGATACGAAACATCGAGCATCCCCTACGGAGTACCCTGTACGAAGTCCCAGTCTCTGCTGATCATGTCCGTGGAACACGTGGAGCGTGCATTCAACCAGTAAACGCAGAGAAGATGACCAGGTTCAGGATTTTCCAATTTAGCTTGAT